TTTAAAACTCTCACATTCATATGAAATTTGCATGCCGGAATGAAAAGGAGGCAAAGCACAAAAAGTGAGCTGCCTGTGGCATTATGTAGGGCCACCAAATTCGAACTTGCATTCCTTGCCGAAACCAGGCATTACCTTCCTCCACTAGGCCATATACACTTCAGGCGCTGTTCATGTCCTCTGTTGCAATTTGATTGCCTATGAAGGCTTCGAGCGATTCTCTTCGGTGATTCAGACCCCAAGACAGGATACTTGGATGGAACATACGCTCACCTGACACCCGCCCACCTGCAGTCATTGTGAGCCAGTCTGGGCTCAGAGTTCCTACAGCGAATTGCCTTATAGGTATACTTGTTTTTCTCATTGATTCTTTCTTCCGAAAAGTAATGTATGTACTCATTCTATGGATCAATCGATGGGTAAACAGACCTTCTTGACGTGCTTTTCATTTGTTACCTCCATCGTGAACCTGGACGCGACATCGGTGGCTCAGTGAGGTTGTACCAGTGAAATACATACAAATGTAGAGGAAATACTTCAGTCGATCCAGGGTATTCTCTTTTAAACATCTGAAACTAATTTCACCATTCTGCCCTCCTTGAGGACCAGCCCCAACCTGAGACCTGCGAACCACCATTGTATGAGACTACCAATCTTGGAAAACCAGTAACCAACACGGACAGCAATACAGTGGAACAAGTTGAATACTTGATTCGAAGTGTAATAGTAAGACAGGTTCCAGATGTTTGTGAAAGAACAGCCGGTCAAGCACACACTCTGGAGCGCTGGATGAAGCTGCCGATGAGCGAGCTTCACGCCCGAGACCGCCAAGGCAAGATGTGCACGCTGCTGTTTAAGATAACGTTGAATAAGATGATGAAAACTAAGAGAGTTGTAGGAGAAGTGTGGGACATGAGAATAGAGAAATTCTCCCTCAAAGCTACCTCAACATTAAGGTAATGTCACCACCTCATTGTGACATTCAATTTCTGGCACAGGATTGAGTTGTGGATCCATCGCGGGTAACAGTGGAAACCTGCAGGGACCCCCACCATCGGCGGGGCGTGGGTGAGGTGAAGTCAAGGCCGGTTTTTTTTTTTTTTTTTTTTGGCCGGGCGGTAACGTTTGGCAGAACTTTTTACGCTCCAAACTTTTTGGACGAGATCCTGGCAGCGATCACAGTGTATGCGTTCTGCGACCTGAAGAACGCCGTGAGAAAAAAAGAAAATATCACCAATTTCTACGACAATTGAATATTACATTTTCTCAACGAATCGAAGCGCAATTGAACGGAAACACCCTACACAATGACCAAGACGGCGAGCGCAAAGCGCAAGCGCGCCGAGAGAGAGGCCCTCAAGGCCGCTGAGTCCAACAAGCGCGCCAAATCCTCCCACGACGCATCGGCCGACGGCAGCAATACCCCGGACTCGAACGATGTCGCCGACGGCGCCAACAGCTCCAATGGCACTAGACTGCCCAAGATCTTGCTGGAAAAGAAGCTGTTTGTCGAGAACTCGACCGGCAAAGACCGTGTTCGCGAAGCGAAGCTGTACGACCTCCTCAGCAGCGAGAACGAGACGGACCGCCTCGAAGCCGCTGGCGCCATCATTTCTAGTCTTCTCGACAACGAGGGCGTGACGGAGGCCTGCCTGACGAGACATCTTGATTGGCGACTGTTCCGTGGTCTTGCCAGTGGCAGAGCGGCGTCAAGGTTGGGCTACAGCGTAGTCTTGACGGAGATTCTCAGCCAGCTCCTAGGCCCGCCCAGGAACTTGTGCCGCGACAAGTACCCTGGTCTGACGTTCGATAAAGTGCTGGAGATGTTGATGGAGAGGACCCGCTTTGGAGGCAACATCTCGGGCCAGGAGGAGCGAGACCTGTACTTTGGACAGCTGTTCGGGCTCGAGTGCTTCGTGCGCGCGAGGATCCTGTTTCTCGAAGACGAGGGCCCTAACAGGTGGAACGAGATTCTCAGACTGCTCGTCAAGCTGGGCGGCAAGAAGATTTGGTTGCGGCCGCAGTGCGGATGGGTCGTCGCGCAGGCTTTGGCACAGCTGGACCGTCCCCGCGTCGAGATGGTGCTGCAGCAGCTGGTCGAGCTCGGCTGGGCCAAGACCCCCGAGGGTGTCGGCATCTGGCTCGTCGCGTTTGAGCAGTGCCCCGAATTGACTACCGGCGACAAGGCGAAGCACCACCATCCCCTCTCTTCGAGAAACCTGGGCGAGCTGGCGGGTATCCTGAAAGAGAGCGGGCAGGATGACGTGGAGAAGCAGCAGAAGCAGCAGCAGCAACAACAACAACAACAACAATCGAGGAGGGGCAACTACGTCAAGAACAAGCAGGCCAACTGGACGCCGCAGCTGCACTTCGTGTGGGACCTTATTGTGCGACACTTCCTGCGCAAGGGCCCTGCAGGCGTCGATGAGTTCAGATCGTTCTGGAAGCGAGTTATTGATGGTGAGTATCGAAAGGTCGCATCTTTTCCACACGCCGAGCTAATCGAGGCATTGCAGACAACTTCTTCGCCAAGACCGCCACCGAGGGACAAAAGTTCAGGGGCTTCCTGGTCTTCCAGAAGATGCTTCAGAGTTACGCCGACATTGATGACCTCCTCGACGTCCTTTTCAGCAGAAACCTGATGACATGCCTCATCAACCAGGCATCCCAAGAGGATCGCTTCCTTCACCGGGCAGCTCTGAAGACATTGAAGGTCGTCGAGGAGACTTCTGCGGCGCATCCTGAAGCCACTGGCATCATTCTCGACAACCTAATCAACAACAACGGACTGTATCGATTCGATATTATGACCAAGAGTAAGACGGTAGACAAGATTCTTCAGCATGTGAAGGCCGATACCGGCGAGGATGTCATTCAGGTTCTTAGCGGACCTGTCATGAAGACTTCCACGACATCGTGCGTTGAGTCCCTCTCTTTCAAAATGACTTGAGCTTGACGCTGACTACCACACAGAAAGGACATTAACTCGGTTAAGCTCGACCTTCGTGTTTATATCGAATACATCTTCCGCCTGACCACCTCAGCACCAGAACCTGCGCTTCAAGAGCTGACATCTCTCGCATATGCCAAGCCCATATGGATCCCGGAGAACGCAAACTCGCTCGTAACGGAGCTGAGCAGAAGCCGACTTCAGTCGGCCTTTGCCAAGCTCTCGCGCAAGGCTGAGGACGCCAACTACCTGTGCACGGCAGTGCAGTCGATCAACCCAGACTACATTCGTATGGAGGGAGAGATGAAGAAGGAGGTTCACGCAGCACGGAAGCGGTTGGAGAAGCTCATGAAGAAGAGTGCCTCCGCTAGCGAGAGCTCGACGGATGAGATCAAGATTTCACAGGGCTTGGCGCTGCTTCACGCCATTGCCATCTTCCAGCTCTACAACGAGGAGCCGGATGCGTTCCAGCTTCTGAGCGATCTCAAGGAGTACCAGACTCGCCTGCAGACGGACGAAGAGGGTGCTGCTGAGTTCTTAGTCGAGATTTTGCTTTCACTCGTCTCCCAGCAGTCTTCGCTTCTACGCGAGATCTCACAGCGGGTGTTTGGCTACTTCACTAGCAGAGTTTCTCCCAAGGCGCTGGAGCTGTTGCTGGACGTCCTTTCCGCCGACGAGAGCGCCAAGGGTCAGCAATCGCTCTTTGACGTGGACGCCGATGATATGGACGTTGAGGACATGGAGGAGGACGATGAAGACGAGTCCGACGATGAGGCCGGTTCTGACGCCGAGGTGGACTCAAATGTCGAATTCGATGCTCTTGACGCCGGCGATGATGAGGAGAACGACGATGACGAAGGAGAATCTGGATCGGACGAAGAGGCAGACGAGGAAGCACAGAACCTTGCAGACCTCGACGACGCTCTCGGCCAAATTCTCAACAGCCACCGCCTCGACAAGGACGAAGACGCAGAGTCATCGGACAACGACTCAGACATGGGCGACGACGACATGCTGGAGTTGGACGACAAGCTGGCCGAGGTCTTTAAGCAGCGCCAAAAGGCTGCGCCCAGTAAGAAGAAAGAGCGCAAGGCCGCCAAGGAGTCCGTCGTCAACTTCAAGCGGCGCGTGCTGGACCTGCTTGAGATCTTTGTGCGCAACGAGGCGGGAAGCCCGACGACGCTGGCGATTCTGCAGCCGCTGCTGCAGCTCGTTCGCACGTCGACCATCAAGACGCTCTCTGATCGGGCGTTTGAGCTGGTCAAGGACTACCAGAAGCGCGCGCGCAAGGCGAGGTCTGGTGGTGGCGGCAAGTCGACGGAGACCAACCTTCAGGAGGCAGTCGAGGTCCTGAAGGGCGTCTACGCTGAGCTTCAGGCTGGCGAGACAAAGTCTCATGCAAAGGCCGCGGTGCCTGCCTGCCTGATCGCTGCTTCTGGCGTGTTCCATGCCGGCAAGGGTGACCGCGCTGCAGTCGATGCCATTGTTGGGGGTGTGGAGGAGGCAACGGCGACGCAGCTGGAAATGAAGAAGGCCTGGGACGAGTGGTGCAGGAACCAGGAGGCTCTAAAGAAGAAGGCGGCCGGAGGTGCTGGGAAGAGTAAATAGATGGGGGAGAAAGTCTCAGATGGGGTCTGGTAGATTTTTATCTGATACAAAAGCTGTTGTTTCTGGCGCATGGGTATGGGATGGGAACAAAGATCTGGAATTGTGTCACGTCGAAAAGAAAAGCATTGGCCTCATGAGGCACAGGGAAGGTTCTGGGCTCGCCATCTTCAGCATATTTAATACATAGAGCCCAACTTCTACAATTCACACAGATTTCGCAGATCATACTTTCTGTTCCCCCTTATTGATCCTATCTACTCACCTCGATTTGGTTTGCCTTTTCAACTCGTCCTCTACATGTCAATTTGGCCACTGTACTAGCCAAGCTCCTTTGAATGAGAGAATACCAACCAATGACTTTTTTGTTTTTGGATCTTGCAAACTCGACACAGAATAAACCCAGCATTCCATATCATCCCCTACTATACCAAAAGGAATCCCTTCAAAACTTGACATCCCAAACTCCACCCTGGCGCTTGGGGTCGTTTTTAACAGGAACCTCACCAGCCCCTGAGCTTGCACCAACTTGGACAATCGTAGCATCACCTGAGCCAAATTCATACACTTCGACAGCGCGAGCTGTTCCAGTCTCGTCCCCATGCCAGGTAGCTCTACGGCTCAACAACGTAGCAGGAGTAGGCAGGTGGAAGTCGGGGTTCTCATCCCTGCGCAGCCTGGCAAGAGTACCATCGTCCCTGCTCACCAACAAGCCGAAAGTGACCCAGTCAACCTGGGGAGGCTCCCTTGTATCCTCACCGTCTGGGTCTCCAGAAGCTTCTCCTTGTGTCGACTCACCGCTATCGCTGGTCGACTCGGATGGCGGGCTGCCTGTTTCGGGTTCGGTCTCTCGGTTCCAGAAGGAAAAGTCATTTGGCGGGCCCTCGTGTGCAAGGGAGTCTGTAGAGTGTGACCATCTAGACTGATTCCCATCATACGTACCAGAGGGCAAGTCCTGACCGGGTGAAGCCGAGGCTGGATCCGGGTTGCGGGCTCTAAGCGTACCTGTTGCGGCCTCGACCTCTCGAAGCCACTGAGAGACGCCGATCTGGGTTTGGTCAAAGGCGAGCGAGTCTTCAGACGGAGACGAAGTGAAGCCTGAACCGTCCAGCTCTGATCTCTCGCCGAGACCTACCGTGGCGTCCCCTGTAAGCTGGCGATAGCTCAGCAAGGAGGTGGAAGATGATGCCAGAGAGCCTTCTCTAGATAGAGGCAAGGGGGATACATAGTCCGGAGCTTGGTCAGCCACAACCCGATGCTGAGCCCTGCACAGCAGAGAAGCGAAGCAACTAAAAGTATACATTTTGGAAGTAGTGTTGGGTGTGTGCTAGTATGCTTCTGAGCGCGTATTTGGATACGTATTTGGATTTGCGGCGAGGTAGTTTGGAGGTGTGTGATGCACTTGGGTGTGAGTATAATGGGTTCAGAGACTTGGACAATGGATCATCTCTTTTTAAGCTCATCCTTTGAGGCAAGGAACCGCTTTGGGTAGTTGGAAACCACCTTGGGTCGTTCTGCTTGAATAATGTATAGGAGGAAACAAGGGCATTGTTCTCTGTTTAGTTGAAGGAAGTGTTTACTCCACAGCCAACTAACAAGCACTCTATACATACACTATAGAGATTGTTCAACCTTAATAGTTCAGGAAACAGATACCTATTGTGCCGAGTCATAATAAGTTCCCTTTCTATAGCACATGTTAGTCATCCTTCCTCTGTCCTTTTCCCAAGGTTGGCTGGGGTCATTCAGAAACTACCATTACTTGAGCCCAACGTGAATGATACACAACTTCAACAAGAACGTAGCTTGATGTTAGGAGGGTCTGCTTGGATAAAAGCTAGATCACGACAGAAGAAAAGGATTACTAGCTTACAATCTAGACTGGGGATAAATATTAGAAAAGCTCACCTTTCGCGAAGATCTCTGTGTTACCCTTCAGTCTCGTATGCTAGATCTCATTAACTGAATCTTGGATTAGAACCCTTCAATTGAGCTTTTGCCGGAAACGACACCCCTTTAGACCGTCCAGCCGCACCACCAGCAACCTCAGTTGTGTGGTGCAACACCCGGGTGGGCAGACGGCCGGTGATGCCATCAAGGTCGGAGCTGCCACACCTTCTCACCTTCTGGCCCACAAACTCGTAAACGACATGCCGCAGATATCCTCAGATCAAATTCATGAAGCCAATCATCTTCTTATCCAATGAATCGGTTCGGGATCACGAGTACAATTATACAGTTTCGACGTAAATCAACCTTACTGACCTGCCCATTTCGACCCCGAGTCCTGGCAACCATGATGGAACTGCGGGAGTATAAAGTCAGCAGCCTCCTTTGCCCATAAACATTGTAAGCTTTTGTCCTTTATGTTTCCACTCTCCACCCAAAATCCAAGATTCCTAAAGTCACCACCACCAATACGAAGTCCCGACAATGCATCCTATTATCTCCTTCACGGCCGTACTCGGTCTGCTTATCGCCGCCAGCGCAGCTTCCCCCATTCAAAAGGACAAAGTCGCTAGCCCGGCGGACATCGCGGATATCTCCAATGACCATTCTTCAGCGATGACGGTCCCAATTGTGAGTCTGAAACCTGTAATCTCTTGCGGGTACCACCAATAAGACAAGATACTTTTTGCGCATGAACATGAAAGCTAACAGATTCCGCCACAGGACGTACGAAAAACTTCTTTCATTCCATGTTATGCGAGGTCTATATAAGTAGCTAACGAAATTCACAGGGAGAATGCTTCTTCCGCTGCACCCCAACGCTGTTTCTCGCCCTCACCTGGAACGAATGCATCCGGGATTGCATGGCGCCGAAATTGTCAAAATACGAAGGCAGGGTCGAAGACCGCAACTGGAAATGAACTAGACATGGAAGGATTCTGAAATTTTGAAGGGTTGACTGCGGTGTAAGACTAGGATGGTGGGCTTGCATCACAACTTACCACCGGACGAACATGCCAGGTAGACGTCAGCTTTGTCGCATCAATCTCTCAACGAGCCAAGTCTCTGGCCAGAGCAAGATGATCAATGGCATAACATTTAAATTACATGAAAACCCCCATCATCACTGAACTATGTAAACCTTGAAGCGCCTGAGGCGAAAGACGTCGTGTCTGTTTAGGAAAGTTTTGTGTGCAGGGACAACTTTTCACAGCGACTAACACGACCAACTGCTCGATGCGAAGAACTTTGGCAGCATAGTCGGAAGAGAGCCGAATGCTATCCATCTATGCGAAACGAGCATAAAGCTAAGAATTTCGCCAACACTTGGTGCGTCCAAGTTGATCTTGGGTTCAGGATTCCGCGCTGTCGCTAAACCATTCTGCTTGGAGTAAACACGAACGCATCTTTGTCCACAAACACACTTCGTTTACCGCGCATCTTGCAATTTGGATTGAAACCTTTAGCAAGGCTATGTCTTTGTGATCAAATATTATGTATTCGCCTACCCAAATTGGACCACGGCCTCATCCTTTACATCTACACATCTACACATCTTCTAAACTCCGTCCTAGCACAAGTTCACCTCAAGTCCCAAGGTAGCTTTCTCCCATCACCTCGATCTACTCTCATACCCGTCCGTGTGTTCAACAATGTTACAAGCCTGAGCGATTCCCACGATCCCAAACCGAAAAACCACAAAGCCGTTCTAATCAAGCACCCCACTGTGCCGGTCGATTATCCCAATACCCATCAGGATTCGCATAGGCCCGTAAACAGGCATAGAAACTAAAATCTCTCGTATCCGCCGGCCCGCCCTGCCTGATATTCGGCGAGAAATGCGCCCCAATCTTCGATCTACACAAGGGGCAACTGAACTCCGCCGCCCACGTCTCCTCCGTTTCGTCACGCCCGTTGCGAGCGCCACGGAGGTCCCGCAGCGCCAGCCAGCTCTTGAGGCACTTGCGCCCGACGTACTGCGAGCAGCAGGGCAGCATGATGGGCTCGTGGTTTGGGTACTCGTCCCACTCGGACATGCAGATATTGCAATTCGGTGAGCCGTTGGCGATGGCCGCCACGGGCAGCACGGCGTACATCTTCGTCCTGGTGTCCGCCGACCGGTTCCGCGACCTCATGTCCGCGAGCGCAATGGACGTGTTGCGGTTGATCGTCTCAAAAAGATCGAGGCCCGTTTTGAGCATCAGATCGAGCCTATCAGTCGGTCGGGTGCTGTGCGGGAGGATGGGCCAGTGGTGCTCGACCCAGTAGACGCACTCCTGGATGAGATCGGCGGCGGCGAGGTCGGGGTCCAGAGTCAGGTACGCCGGGTGTGAGGCGTGGTTCTCGTAGTGCGGGTTCGGCCACGGGTTGAGCACGGCGAGCAGGGCGCCGCCAATGTACATCATGATCTGCTCGTCTAGGCCGGCGTCCAGGGCGAGGAAGTTGTACAACCAGCAGAGGAAGCGGAAGCGCCGCCACACGGCGCGGCTCCAGTCTTCTTTGCCTAGCCAGGGCATCCTGTGGGAGTGCCAGTACGCGCTCGAGGGGTGTTTCTGGGACTCGTCCGAGCCCCTCTCTGAGATGGCGTTGCGGGCTCGCACCGCTCTCTCCATGAGTTTGTGTAGGCGGCGTCCGTAGGTGTCTCTGCTCAACCCCACGAACGCCATCTGGTGACCGGGAAAGTCGCGCTTATCGTTGTGCAAATTCTCCAGGTTGATTGCCCTCTCGGTCGGCCCCGTGGTAAGTTCCCACACTTCCTCATCCTCATCGAAAACTTGTCCCCGAATCTCCTCGGCAAAGGCCTCGAGAGTTCCAGCTGCATCGGTTCTATACGCCATATCCTCGAGGATATGAGCTGCTTCGTTCTTCCTCATGGCAAACGCAGGGTTCACGCGCCATACCTCGTCCATGGGCTTGCAGTCGCAGTGGAATACGCTGTGTCCAATGTGTGTCCGCAACAGCTTGCACCAGATCTCTGGCCAAGCGGACGAGATCTCCATTTCCCACTCCCGGCTCTCGGCTTCCACGGGGAAAGGTTTCGATAGCACCGTCAAGGACAGTCTGAGTAGCTGGCGGAGGTAATTCTCGCGGTAGATTATGAATTTGTGAGCCGGGATGGCCTCCAAATTGACCCCTGGGCCTGGGAGCCTAATGGTTCTGGGGATTGATTGCATAACTTCGTCGGGGCTCTCATAGTACGCATCGACGTTGCCGGTACAGAAGTAGCATTCTCCGTCCATTATCTGAACCAAGACTCCTCGACAGAGCCCGTTTATGCAATCCGTTGCGTGCAGATGAGCGCATCGAATCAAGTTGTAGACCCAATGGATATGCTTTCTGCGCGGTACTTCTTGAAAACCATGCTGAGTGTTCTCTCTGTAGACATTGTCTTCTTCTTTCACCAGATGATGGCCATCGATTCTTCGGTCCGGCAAAGGGTGTGTTTGTTTTTCGCCATCATGCAGCGTATATCCAGATGGTTTCGTGCAATAATACCTGCGCCATAAGTTGATACACATATTGAATACCGGGTTTCTTCGATGCTGTTCAAACTTGCTCGGAGATAGGTGACGTAGTTGTCGAATTGATGAATTTTACTATGCGCTTGGGGTTGATAGTGTCTATTTGACCCGTTGCAAAGCTGACAGAAAGGGTTCCATTTATTGTTATTCTTCCGCTTAACACTCTTCCAATACTCCAGCTAAAGTTGGCAACTAAAGGAGGGTTGAAAGAAATACTTCTGCTCGAAGCAGTTGTTCTCGCTGTGCCCCAGCCGGATGGGACAAGGGCCGCTTGTTGACGACGAAGGCAAACAAAGCCCCGAATGTGAATCAATTGTCAGAGTTCGTCAAAGGCCATTTCCCTTGCCACATGGATTCGCAGGAAAGACGCTGCCAGATTAAGCCCTTGCATTTTTCCATTGCACTCCTTGAGCCCATTGTCCTCAATTACTGCGACAGAGTGTCGAAGAACACCCCTCCGACGACTTCATGTCGTTCGCTCTTTGCTTTATTTAGAACTTCAGGAAACGTCTCGAGTTCCCAAAATACGACGAAGAGGATCCGGGAGGTCGTGGTGTCCAAGTGCTGCGGATGAAGAGGTATGGAAGGCCAGGCCCCGAGTCACCAACCACTGGTGTACAAAGTGAGATGGGTCGTCATAAGTACGCAGGTGCCTTTCGGGTACGAAGTGGAGCACCGGCCGGTCCTCTCTGAGTTGCGCGACGTCCCACCAAATATGCTTGGGTTCGTCTCCTAGCTTGAACTCCTTCGTGCTGACCTAACTAATCTCTGCAGAATTTCCAGTGACGAGATATCGGAAAACCCCAGCTGATTCTCGCCATGCACCGTATAGTTCCATTACGGGGAGTGCCGGCATGTGCTTCGCGACTCTGCTGGCTTGAGAAAGAAGAGTGTTGATGAGCTCGGGCTTCTTGCGGGAGGAAATATCCTGAGATGTCGTCGTCGGAACACGCAGACGCTGCCATAGCAGAGGCGATATAGGTATGCGTATTCTTCTCGTGCAGGCGGCAAAGAAGTGTGTGGCATAAACGATGTTGCAGATGACAAGCTCCTCTAAATCGAGACTGCGAACGAACAGAGCTCCGATCAAGCCTCTCGGGACTGATAGGCGCCAATCGTAGAGCATGTGTAGATCGCCGTGCTCGAAGATGTGGATTTTCGATAACGGTGGTTCCTCTGGATGAGACCAGATTGCCGGCTGAATCGACATCCTTCTAGGCTTCGATAATACAGAAGAGGACGTAGATGGCGATGGCGAAGCATCCGCGGTCCGCTGCGATCTCTTCATGAGACTGAGGTCTCAAACGATTCTTGATGCAATGGTCCGGTAACTCGATTTTGAACCAGATGTGCTCAACGTAACTTTGTCGCCAGTACTTTTTATGGAATGTCTTGGATAGAGCGGTCAGCGAGTGTTCGTCCGAACCGACTTGGAGAGTCCGAAAGTTTCTTGGCTCGATGGCGTTTTGCCAGTCCCTGCAAATGCCTGTGAATCTTCCAGGAACGTATTCGAGAATCTTGTCTCTGATCTCCTGGAGTAGGTCGCTCCATTGGGCCTCGCTTTTCGATGTATTCATGTCGTTTGGTAGGACTTTTTTGGTTAGGATACTTGGGCGCACTTGTTGCCATGATGCAGGATGAGATCAGACATGCAGAATGGGGAGAATCAAGTATGTTGAGCTTCAAGTCAAATTTTCTGGGCCAAGTTACCGCCGAATGCTCATGGAATTTGAGGAAGGCCATAACCCAGCTCAAAAAGGGCCAGTGAATAAAGAAGAAAGAGAGAAAAGAAGAGGAAGGTTAGGTATCCACTTGGAATCTCAACTCCTTCCTCCCGTCCTTAACCTCACCTCACCTTATCTTACCTTAAAGTACCTCGCCCTGCCTCCATCCTTTCCTGCTTTCCAATCCCGTTGCTAACAAGCTACTAGGGATCTCTAAGTCACCGAAGACCGCACAATTATTAGGGAAAGTGCACTTTCTCATCAACATCTCCTTTGAAAACTGTACCTTGCCCCGTTCTCGGTACGAAATACAACCCAAGGTTTTTGTGCTTCCTTGACCTCATCGTTCATTTGCTGACCTTGTACCACAGCTCGTATATCAAGCAGTCGTGCAGAATATTTATCAACGATGCCCCAAGAGCACTTTATGATCGGCTGGTCAACCATCGTGAAGGTGCACTGAAGATGGACACAAGTCGTCAAACAACACTTCAACAATCTGGGAAGCTTACCTCAGCTGCGCAGCATCCGCCTTACATAAGACATCAAACCCACACAATTAAGGGAGCGAGATCTGGATCAGTCTATGCCCAACGAGGATTGGTGCGATTCGTGAAGGCGACAGAATCCCTGCCCGCAGAGGTCGGAACCTTCTCCTTTCAGTCGGGGCCCTCTTTGCAGATGCAACAGGAGGGCGGGATCCCCTGACACCTGCGACCCTTTTGCCTTTGCTTTGCTGCTGCTTCCCACCCCGGCCGAAGCAGAGGTCAGAAAAAAAAAAAGATACCTTGTCCACGGGAAATTCCACCTCATCCAGAATCTCCCCCAGAGAGACCACATTTCCCATTCGTAATCTTGTGGGAGAAAAATTTCCTTTTCTCTTCTGCAGAGACTCGACAGATTCCTACCGGACGGGATACTGTCAATTCGAGACGACGAGTCAGGAGGATACTAGGGAAGGAAAAAAAAGAGGTACGTGGTTGTTGTTGCTTAGCTGGCAGCTCGCTCCATGCCATCAGTTGTTCCCCACGTCGAGACGAAGCTAACAACACCTGGCATCTAGCCACAGCTGCGCTTTCTCGATTCCGATACTCCTTTACCTTTCGGCCATTGCGCGCCGCCTTCCCGTTCCATCAGAATTCAACTGGACTCGGCAACGACAAGATGAAGTTCAGCAGCATTCTGTCCGTTGGCCTTTTGGTCGTCTCGCCCCTGGCTGCGGCCTGGAGCAAGGAGGGTAAGAGCATCGCCATCCTGTCTTGTCTCCGTTGCGCAGCATTTGCTAACGTGGGAAAAACAATAGATCGTGAGATTTTCCGTATCCGCGATGAGATCAAGGCCCACGAGGCCAACCCCGAGCAGACCTTCTACGACCTCCTCGGCGTCAAGAACAGCGCTTCCATCGACGAGATCACCAAGGCTTACCGCAAGATCTCCCGTACTCTCCACCCTGATAAAGTCCGCCAGCAGCTCATCGCCGAGCGCACCAAGGCCAAGAAGAAGGAGAAGAAGACCCCCGGCGTCAATGTTTCCAAGGCTCCTACTCAGAAGGAGATCAAGGCCGCTGTCAAGATTGCCTCCGAGCGCCAGGCTCGCCTCGGTCTCGTGCGTAACATCATCAGCGGTCCCGATCGCGACCGCTACGACCATTTCCTGAAGAATGGCTTCCCGGCCTGGAAGGGGACCAATTACTATTACAATCGGTACCGCCCTGGTCTGGGCACTGTGCTCTTCGGTGTCTTCCTTGTGGCTGGAGGTGCCTTCCACTACATCGCTCTGTACATGTCGTGGAAGCGTCAGAAGGACTTTGTTGAGCGCTACATCAAGTTCGCGCGCAATGCTGCTTGGGGAGACAACCTGAGCATTCCTGGCATCGACGACTCCCCCGCCCCTGCTCCTGCTGCGCCCGCCGCCGACGATGAGGAGGGCCCCCAGCTGCCCAGAAACCGCAAGGAGAGACGTATGCAGGAACAGATGGCTCGTAGAGAGGCCGCCAAGGAGCGCGGAGGCCGATCCCGCAAGCCCGCTCCCGCCGCTCGCAGCACCAGCGGCAGCGGTACCGCCACCCCCCGCGAGACGGTTGCGCAGACCGGCCAGACCGGCCCCACCGGCTCCAAGAAGCGCGTTGTCGCCGAGAATGGCAAGATTCTTGTGGTTGATTCCCTCGGAGACGTCTACCTTGAGGAGCAGGATGAGGATGGTAACACCGAGCAGTACCTCCTTGATGTAAGTGCCCAGAATGCAAGCTAAAGCTTGTCAACCTACCGCGACACGAGGTCTGCGAACGATGCTAACTCAAAGCAGCCCAACGAACTGCCTCAACCCACCATCCGTGACACCGCGCTCGTCCGCCTCCCCATCTGGGCCTACAACCGCACTGTCGGCCGCGCCCTCGGCAAGAACAATGCTGAGCTGGAGATCGACACCGAGGACCTGGACTCTGATGACGGCGAGATTCAACACACCCCCAGCTCCGATTCTGCCGCTGATGACTTTGAGCTCTTGGAGAAATCGACCGATTCTTTGGGCAAGGCCAAGGCTTCCGGTGCGCAGACTGGAGGCAAGACCAACAAGCGCAAGAACAAGAAGCGTTAAGTCATTGATTCAAAAAAATGGTTGGTGAATAGAGCTTCACGACGGGCCTCTCTGAACCCTCTGACGGGTTCTGCGACCTTGGTTGGTCTTGAAGATCAGACAAGCGACCCAGAGGTGCATGATGTGCCATGAAGCTGCAGTCAGTCTCGTCGTTTACGTAGATTATCCATCAATGCAAATTCTCGTGCGAAGTGAGGTACTATAGGAGGGCCACAATGTTGAAGGTGTCAGTGTGCTGCTTCGTGTCTAGTGCATTGTGCATCGGGGGATGAGGTTCGTTGAGAGAGTGTGTGTGTACTTCACAACAGGCCGTGACAGATACATCATACGGGCACACTTGTTTCCATTCCATTTCTTCACACCATCGTCCTCGAGCACCGGAGTAAAGGCCCAATGCGGTTAATGTTTCCCGTCAAACATGTCGCGACCCTGCGCAAGTGCGTGAGGCCGTTTCCTGCCCTCTGCACCTCGTAACTCTGTTTCGTCCCTTCCTATGGCATCATGGCTGCATGATGATTTGTTGGCACAAAAGATCAAGTGTCGCTCGGTGGTTCGTCCGCTTAACGTAGCGGCGATAGGCTTTTGTAATACTCAACTTACACCACCACCACCACCACCACCACCACCACCACCACCACCACCACCACCATCATCATCAACCATCGATGATGCTTCTTTGGCATCCATCACAGACACTCAGTCAGTCAGTCACAGGCACGGCAACAGTCTTGACACGACTTTGTTCAGGATCCAAGTCCATCAGTCCACCTCTCCTATTTTTTGAGTCTATATTCGTACCTCCCAATCGAATGTTTCCATCCACCACAACCACCACAATCCAGCCTCTCAACTGTCGGCCTGAAACATAGGAGATCCTATGCCAAAAACAGACCACTTGTGCCTGGCTTATACCCAAAAGAAACTAAACCCGCAAGCCAAGCGCCCACCCCGCTCTTCTATGATCTACGGCGACGACCAGGGCTCGAGCGTCGCCGCACAGCAACCACGCAACCCAACGCTCGAGCCGCATGGTCGCCCGTTTCCGAGCCGGTTCCAGCTTCGCGGCCCCATGGACCTGTTGATTCCTTGCCCTCACCTCTTCTACCACGCTTTAGTGTCTGTTCGCCAGAGACGCCATTTGAACCGCTAGATAGAAACCCTATCTCAATCAAGACGCTGCTTGCGTTCTTTCTGCGCTTCTGACTGGCGAACATGTCGTTGACTTCAAGGCCGTTCCCTGTCGACCTCTAGGATAGATCCCAAGGTTGCCTCCCACCCCTCAGAGGCTCAGAGCTACGGAGCAGTCTAGGAACCTTCGCCAGCTTCGTCCCACCATTTGATCTCGTCTTCTCACACATGGATTACTCCCCAACACATGAGCCGCTTTCCCAAGACCCTCGAGGGCGTCGGAGATTGTATTCGGACCTCGTTGGACGAGCGTTTAGTGACGATGGTCCCGCCCGCTAACCGTCGTCTAGACTCGTGTGTTCAGGTCGCCCGGCTCTCCACACCCGGGACACTAAGCTATTCTTAAGACTGGCTCGTACATCGAGATATGAAGCTACCCCTAAACCCATCTGCCACTTGGGTTGAGACGTTCTTGATATGTATATCGAGTAGCCCCTCCCTTGACCCTGACGGGTCCATCTTTCTTCCCGTCGTCTGCTCTCTGTCTCCCCCGGTCCTATCCCGTCGACTCGGATCACACTCTGCACATCCCATTATACCAAAGCTGTGAACGACGATCCAATGTCACCCTCGTCATGACGCTCATGTGAAGGAGAAAACGAAAGAACACCGCCAATCAAGGGAATACTCGTGGATGCTTCGATCCCATCATGGAGGATCGCAGCGGGCAAGTGCTGGCCGTGGCGGTCCTCTTTTTCATATTATGTTGGATCGCCGTCGGCCTGCGCATATACTGCCGCGGATGGATTACACGCTCGCTCGGCACAGATGACAAGATGATGATCGCCCTTATGGTACTTTCCCACCTCCACGAGAGACTGTACAATAAGTAAGAAGCACATATTCACTGACTCTCTTGGCAGCTCATCTTCACCATCTACCTCATCACTCAGATTCAAGGAGTTCGATACGGAACAGGCCGACATAGAACCGATCTTACCCCGGAACATAATCGGGACGCTCTCATGGTATGCCCTACTCGGAAGACCTTTTGAGTGCAGATTCACGACTAACACCCTCTCTAGTACTGGTACATCTGCGAACTACTCTACATCATATCAACCTGTCTTCTCAAAATTTCCGTCGGCTACTTTCTCATCCGCGTGTCTATACGCCGCAGCCACATCTGGATTCTCCGCATTCTCATGATCGGCACTGTATTGTTCGGCTCGACGTACTTCTTCATGGTCATGTTCCAGTGCCGGCCGATTCAAACATTTTGGGAGGAATCGCCACGAACAGATGGAAAGTGCTTCAACAATCGTGTGGTTATCATCATGACTTTTACCGCCTCGATTATCAACTGCCTCGCCGACTGGGCGTTTGGTATTCTCCCCTTATTCATTGTCTGGTCGCTATCCCTCCCTAAGCGCACCCGGCTCCTCGCGTTCGGCATTCTCTCATTTGCCGCCATCGGGTCTGCCGCGACCGTGGCAAGATCCGTGTATATACCGACCCTCCTCGACGGCGACGACTTCCTATGGGCGACTACTGATGTAGCTCTGTGGAGCACCGTCGAGCCCGGCATCGGCATCACTGCCGCGTCGCTTGCCACCCTTCGCCCTCTGTGGCAACTCGTATGGTACCGCGCGGGCATGCGGTCTCAGGCGCCTCGCGCGATAGCATGGCGAGAACGGTTCAAGGGCCAGCCGAGCTATGTTCGCAGCGACGGCTCAGACCCTCGTCACCCGCGACACCCCGTGCCAGATGACGCACCTCTTGAAGAGATCGAGGCTGATATCCGGGCCGAGTTTGAGGCGGAGGTGCCTCGCATCGCTCGCTCCCAAGACGGCTACAGCTCATCGGCACCGACGAGGCGGAGCGGCTTGAGTAAGGACTTCAACCTCGCATATGAGAGAGAGAGGCAAGACGATGATGCGGAGTCTCTCGTGGTCCCCCGCGACGACGGCGATGGTGGGCAATGGCTCTGTCCATCACCCCGCGAAGTAAGGCATTCTTTTTCTAATATTATTCTATCATCAGACCGAGCCTAGACTAACGATTGCGCAACAGGGAGACAACTCGTTTGAGCTCGAAGACGGCCTTCACTTGACACCAAAAGTCAGATCGCCGGCGCCGACTGTGAACTGGTGTTCACCACGCATGTCCGCCATATCCATGGGCTTCGGCTCCTTCAACCGAGATAACCGCGACTCGACCCATTCAGCCCTCACCCTGGGCGTCAACAACTACGACGGCGCAAACCCCATGAGCAACCGAGCGAGCAGGCTAAGCAGGCTGAGCAACGTCAGCCACCTTCACGATAACAACAACATCAGCAACAGCAACCGCGCGAGCAGACTAAGCACCCTCAACAGCCCAGGCAACCACTACCGAAACAGCAGGATGACCGTGGAAACGTACACGAACACGACGAACCCCCGCCATAGCAGCAGGTTCGATAACCGGTACAGCCGGACGACGCGAGCCAGCAGCCACTACGCCCGCGGCTCGCAGTTCCTGGCGCCGCCTTCGCCGGGAGACTTCCCCATGCCTAGCCCTCCGCCGAGCGCGTGGCAGATCAACGTCCCCGGAGGCATGGACTCGGCACAGTGGCTTTCGTCTAGGATGGCGGAGCATCCGGGTCATCCTGGCAAGAAGCGGTAGCGGACTTGCCTACTTACTCTACGACCTTCTCATCACCATTTAGACAAAAAGACTTAACATTACCTAATTATCGACGAAGACGAACAAATATATACCCGGCGTACAGGATACCACCACTACTTGAAATTTCGGAAACAGGGGGGGGGGACGAACGAGAGCATTGAAGTCGTGTAGACGGAGGAATAGCAGGCTTCGTTGCCACGAAGAGAAACAAGTCTTATCTACGGAAGGCAAACTACTTTGACGAAGGAGCAAAAAAAGGACAATATGCAAACAAGCCAGAAAATAGCACGGCACATGATGTATGATATATAGACCTGACATACCACCTAAGGTATCTCAATAATTTGACTTGAACTGCTTCAAAGAATCTGGAATAATCGTGTGAGGATGTCGACACTATTGTGCCTAGTTACACTTACTCAAGATCAGTGCATGATGGAGGTTTTCTCGGAACCTCGAGCAGATCAGATTCCTTTACCAGGCTATGTATTATATGACGAGAGTGTAGACTCGATTAGGGGGGATGATATGAGAGATTGAACACATCAGTTTGAGGACTTGACAAGGAAACTCGTCCTATGCCCTACGTTTTACTTTGGGGTCCCTTCTTTCTCATCTAGAGGGATGGAGATGTCTCTATACTTTCCCCGTCTGTTACGGCCCATAAATATGCCGGAAGACCGCAGAATATCGACATCGGAATGGTAGCGAGCGATTCTCCTCTCACCAAGTCACAACCGTCAGCCCGGCTTGAATTTGAATGTAATGTTTTATTGTTTTGGTAGTCCTGTTCGTTCCTCATGCCTGCCTATTGGTATACGGCCAATTGCTTATTCATAACCTTCTTGACAAAAAAGAAAATAAAAAAACAAAAGAAAACTGGGGAAGAGACACGTCCGCCGATGAGGGACAATCCAATAATTGCCCTCCTGATTATCCGACGTTGTCTTCTCATGCAGTGTAGGTATCAAGACAAGTGTCTGCTGCTATGCTGAAAAAGTGGTGATGTGCCATGGCTCTCTTTCCTCGCCACATTACATGTCCATGGCCTCGATGTTACCGCTTCCATAGTGCTGGAACGCACCGTACTGGTTCTCCATCTGCATCTGCATCTGGAGGCTCTGCTCCCGGGCCCAGTCATCGCCGAAGCCCTTGTAGACGGGGTCGGTGGCGGGCTTATAGCCGCTGGTGCCGACTGCAGAGCCGTAGTGGGAATAGTTGCTGGGGGGAGAGGCCTGTGCCAGCTCCTGCTCGCGCTCGTACTCACGACGCATAAGCTCCTCGTAGCCAGACATCATATACGGCTCGACTTGCGAGGTGATGGAGCTTGCCAGCCAGCGGCTGTCGTCTGACTGAACTTGGGTACCGTCAAGACTCATTACGGCGTTCTGCTGCTCCTGCTCCTGTTGCTGCTTCTCTGCTTCCATGCGCTCATATCGGAGTCTCGCCAGCTGCTCCTCTTGCTCGAGTGTTGTGCTTGTCCATGCTAGCGACGGGTTCTCTGTGCTCGAGGTAGGGGGTGCGGCGCGCCAGATTTCAAGAAGTCGCAGCTGGTGGGGCTCCTCGGAACAACGGAAAAGTTGAATCTGAGAAGGAGAGAGAACTGAAGGGTCGACGCCGTGTTGACTGAGGACGGCCTCGGGAGTCAACTGCTCGGTCTGGGGAGGCTCGGAGGAGGGGCGCTGAATGGGGGCTTCTTGAGCTTGCTGACGGACAACATGGGCGGAGTGGGTGTAGTGCTGCGTGATGGAGTAGATGATGGGCGCCGGTGTTGGGGCGGGACTGGCGAGGGTGGGTTCCGGGGACTGCTTGACTTCCTCCTCTACCTTGGGCTGAACTTCAGGGTTGAAGGTCAGGTTGCGGGAGAAAAGAGTTGCGAGATCATCTTGGACCTGCATGGTGGGGGTGAAGGAAACCATCGTGCTGCATAGAATGTTAGTAGTGGTTCATTGTTGTCGGCTCATTTTCCGTGTTACTCCCGGCGCCGCCGTGGAGGGGCCATCTCCGAACAAAGCCCGGCGGGGCTCCGGACGTGGATGATGATGAAGGGGCCGATGGCAACGAGAGTCTGTGTGAGGAGGGGGGAAAACCTACCTTTTTGTTTGATTGTAATCTGGTGATGATTGAAAAGCCCGAAAAGGCCCTTCGTCGTAAAGCTGCTTGCTGTAGAAGTAAATCTTGTCGGGGGTAGGAGCAAAGAAGACAGAAGTGTGCTGTCTTCTTGATGCTTTGTTTCTTGGCTTGGTAATCGGTTTCGGGGGTTCGGACAGTGAGTGGTAGCAGAAGAGAAGTGTTTCTTTATATTGGCTACTCTATGTAGGTACTCTCGAGTGTTTCTTCTTCTTCTTGGGGGGTCTTTGTTGAGAGCAGAAATAAGAGCACAAGAAACTCGAGAAAAGAGAAAAGGCGAGAGCGAAGAGTCACAGGAAGACGGCGGTCGAGTTGTTTCGTGAATCGGGTTCGGTACGGTGATTCCTTGGGCAGGAAGACAGCAGTAGTGGCGCCGGGGTTGGAGACTGGGTGGATGTGAAGTGGTGCGGCAAGGTCAGCGGATGCAGTGGGAGCGGGTTAGTGGTGGGGTGAGGGTTCTTCGTTGTCGCTGTCTTGGAATCTCGCAGGGGCGACGGCAGCGACACTTGGTTGGGTGTAGCAAATCGATAGTCGATGAAGTTCTTGTCAGGTACTGCGGATAGCCAGTCGTGATGATATCTTGCAAAGAGAAAAGAGTCAAGAAAGTCGAGGGTGAAAAGTGAAGATTGGAATTTTATATGGCAGAAGGAGCCACGGCCGTTCTCTGGGCGGGTAGAGGGGACCTGGAAGGAGGGGGGATAGAAGTGGAGGGCGGCAGGCACGAGGGGGGAGGGGGCAGCCTGGCAGGGGGAAATTGCCTTAGCTAGGAAGGAGGGGTCAATTGTAGCGGTAGCGGGCAGGGTCATGACGCAGCAAGCCCAACGATGCGTTGATGGGGAGGGTAATGTGACCTGACGCTTCAGTCTCTCAGCGCACTTTCTCACTGAAGCCGGGCCATCTCTTAAGTCTCTTTTCTTCGTCCCATCCCATGGGATCCCGTCTCCGGCGCATCGTCTGCATCCACACATCACCACTTTCATCACCAACCAACATTCGCACCAACCAACGCTAGCCGACCCGACCCAAATACCTACCATGCTCCCTTGATCAGGCAGGAATGAATGGCTACCTGAAATGCCTGTGCTTCTCAAGAGCATGGGCTACGCGATCTCCATGTTGAGTGTTGTGAGGATGGCCGATGATCAGTCAAGTTGTACGTGAATTCGATACCTAGGTACGGACGGGTACTCCTCCAGTGACATTTGATCCTTGGTGCAAGGTAAGATAACGGTGGGCGAAAGACACTTTGGCTAACCCGTAGGCATGGCCATGCACACATGCCCTGGCAGACAGTCCGGCAGCAAGCGTCCAATTTGAAACATATTCTCTCCAAGATCCGCACTCCTCACCCAATGGTTCCGTGACACGATCAGTCCACACAGCTTCTGGAAGACTACGGAGGTATCAAATCAGTCTCCCGTGACACACTCGAGCCCACCCGCCATCCTATGCGCACTATGTAATACCTTTCCCACCACTTGGTATTACTTCCAGTCTTCGGCAGGATGTTGTGACGACGATCCTCAAACTCAGTGCAAACACTCGATAACTTACCTTTGCTATTTCCCTACACTGCCTGGCGCGTTTGTTGCATGCCAGAAAGCCCTCAACACTTTCCCGTCTATGCTCGAAAGTCTCTAACAGAGTCTCGGGATCCCAGTCCAGTCTTCACCGCTCCTCGAAACCCCGTCCCAACACTCGTTTCGCCGGATCCATCCGGGCCTGGACTCCCCTAAGTCACCGTACTATCGGTACAAGACATTATGGGAGTCATGCCAAACGCTTCCACGGTTTTGATCGTATCTAACAGTTCCCTCAAGCAAGACGACTGGATACAGGTCTTATACACAGAGAAAACGTAGAAATCAAGGAGCTCTCCAAAGCCATTTGATCTCGAACCACACATGCCCAGCTGGTGCAACAAATCGTTGTTCCTCCATGTGATTTCGCAATGCCTCTCTTCTCCCGATAACCTCTCTACAGACTACAGCACCTGGCAGCTGCACACCACTGCAGGGTCAAGTGCGGGATGGTGGGGTTATTTTAATTCCCCTGTCAGCTTTGGTGTTCACGATGACGGGAAACCGGTCGTCCCACCAGCCACACTTCATCGACTCCAGCCACATCTTTAAAGTGGCTGGTGCCTCCCTTCCTTCCTTCCTTCCTTCCCGGCCTGGGTGGATCCACCTTCCCCCAGCTTCCCTTCTCAACCTGAGGCATCCTTGCGTCTAGCCTCGCCCGTCAACCTCGCGCAGCAACACGCAGCTCAGGTTGCCTGAAGCTCTGATCTCAAGGCTCCAGATTCCCCAATTCCAAACCACGTCCCGCCATCGTCATCCACCACACGAGCTTTCTCCCACGACCAGACAGCGTGCCTACGACCTCCACTCCATCACGACTCCTTTCGAAGCCCAACGAACTCTCCAGTCCTCAAGACTACACATCCGAAGCTTTCCCCGAATACCCCAAGCTCTCCTAATTCACAATGGTAAGCTTTCCCTTGCTAGATTTCCGGGGAATCACCATATCCAGCGACCGGGGTTTGGCATGAGCTACCAGAAGCAACCAACCCAAATTTGACTCTATCTCTGTGGTACACCACTAACATCATGCCTCTCTCGCCTTGTTTAGACGTCGATAGGCACAGGTTATGACCTGAGCAACTCCATCTTCTCTCCTGACGGCCGCAACTTTCAAGTCGAGTACGCCGTCAAAGCCGTCGAGAACGGCGGCACATCCATCGGTATCCGGTGCAAGGGTGGTGTCGTCCTCGCTGTCGAAAAGATCATTGCCTCCAAGTTATGGAAGCCCAATGCCAACAAGCGTATTGCTACCATTGACAGACATCTCGGTGTTGTAAGTCATCCGTTCCCCTCCCACAATCAGTTTACCCCTCCCTCCACTGCCTTGGTATGCATCGTAGCTTCCGACAATAGCTTTACCAAACCTCACGACCTACCTATCCCCATACCTCTTGCTCTATTGGCCGGACTGACAAATCAAAAGGTCTACTCAGGCATGATCCCCGACGGCCGCCACTTCGTCGACCGCGCCCGCGAAGAAGCCCGCGGCTGGCGCGACACCTTCAAGACCCCCATCTCCACCGCCGACCTCGCAGCCCGCATGGGCGGCTACCTCCAAGCCTACACCCTCTACTCCTCCGTCCGTCCCTTCGGCATTACCGCGATTGTCGGTGGTTTCGACCCCTCTACCGAGACCCCTGTCGACGGCGAAGTCGGCTCCGGCCCCAAGGTCGGTGCTGGCGGCAAGGACACCACCAAGAAGCACGGTGGTCCCTTCCTCTACATGATCGAGCCCTCCGGTCTCTACTGGGGCTACTATGGTGCTGCTACCGGCAAGGGCCGTCAAGCCGCCAAGGCAGAGCTCGAGAAGCTCGACCTCGCTGACGGCGAACTGACGTTGGAGGACGCCGTTAAGGAGGCTGCCCGCATCATCTACGTCGCCCACGATGATAACAAGGACAAGGAGTTTGAGCTCGAGATGAGCTGGATCAGTGATATTGACGGCCCCACCAAGGGCCGCCACGAGGAGGTGCCCAAGGAGCTGCGCGAGGAGGCGGAGCGGTTTGCCAAGAAGTCACTCGAGGGCGATGACGATGATGACGAGGACAAGAAGGAGGACGACAAGATGGAGGAGTAGGATACCGACAGCGAGGCGTGACTGGGTCCTGGCAGCAAGACGATGAGTAGAGCGGTGGCCTTACGACAGAATGAGACGAATTCAAGAAAAAAAAAAAGAAATCTGTCAAACACAACACAGGGGAAGCTGTCGCCGTTTGGGGGATGGCGTTCCAGAGGACCTTTGTGTACTTGTAAAAACACCATGATGAGGGCTATGGCGGCTGGATCATAGACTAATGAGACCTGGTTTGGGCAAGACTTATGATTGCAAGGACTTGCGTGAAGCGTGATCGTTGCTGGCGAGTCCTATGACGAATTGGGTGCTTGGGTCAAGCGATCAGCTTTGCTTCCAACGGCCTACACCGACAGCACCTCCGTCACATGTGTTCGATTCCTGGTGCTTTGCAACCAAAGAGACGAGAAATTCTAGACCAGGACGCGTCACTCAAAATCAAACTATGCGCAGAGGCACAGAAAGGTACTCCATCTCTATTTTGGCTGCAAAGGGAATATGGGCGGTTTCGGTGCGTTTTCGCTTCTCCTATTTCAGGGCATCTGAGGTCTACAGGAGGAGAGGAGGAAGTCGTCCAGGAGAGAAGGGGCGGGCATGCAATATAGAGGTCTCGAAGCGATGCAAAGCAGCCGAGAGAGATTTTCTAATACCAAGCAGTTTTCCCTTTGCCTTTTCCTTTGCCCTTGGCAGTATGGCTTGCACACGTTGCGGCTGCCATCTCTAGCGGAGGACTTGGCGGAGGAGGAGTGGCTGGCCTCAAGGCGAGAATGTGGTGTCTGTTGATATTGTTTGGTGAATGTTGCGGATGGTACATGTGCCTAACCAGCTCGAGGCGAGTTGTTCACCCTTGTTCCCGGTCTTGGATCCTTATTCCTCGTCTGCGTTGTATTCTGATGGGAACATGCAGACGCGGTGGGCTGGAATGGGAGACCCGTATGCGCCTGATCTTGGGGTGATGAGATTCGCTGCCCCTGGTTATGAGATGGAGACGACGCTTTGTGTTTTATCCCTGATGCTAGAAAAAAAGTCTACTGAAAAAGACCTGAAGTTACCTATCTCGAAAAATGGTCTCAAGCTATATTCATTTGGCCCTTATCATTACGATCCTAGGAATTAACTAGGATAAAGGAGGGAGGGAGGAAGGCATATCATACCTATATATTTGCTTAAGTTAATTTTAAAAAATAACCTAGGTGCTCCCCTCCTATAGAGAAATAAGAAGCTACTTCGGTAAGATAACTTATCAAGGGCTTCTATTATTAACGAGAAAAGTTATCAATATACAGCTCGCTAATATATAAACGATACTAGTAATAGAGGCGAGACAAGTAGTTATAACGTTATTAGGAGACTGTCTATCTTATCGACCTTGATTCGAATACTAGAATTACACTTATCATTGATACAAAACGACACTATCGGTCTATCGCTCGTATAGATTTCAACCGTCTAGCCCTTGCAGACACGGAGATCAACTTGGACGACGAGCAATTAGAGGAAACTAAGGATCAAAAGGAACTACTCGAGCGAACGTTTATAAATACTAGAACAACTTACAACGCGGTCCCCGCTTACCTGAGGCAACCTTACCAAGTACAAAGGATTGGCAGATGCATATTAATTAAGATTGTTAACTTATTCTCGTCGAACTCTCATCTCACAGTTGCTACACATTACTACTTTAATATATTAAAAGGGAAAGGGACTACATCGTTCGCTTATTCGGCCGTCCTTATAAATAGCATTGTCTAAAATATTAAACTTTAGGTAATAGCTTCTATATACTAGAATCCGCATTATCTATTAAAGAGTCTTCAAATAGTACAGTAAAGGGCATGCATCCATGGTGTGTTCCGTTTAGGATAATGTCAGGGAGACGAGGGGCCGCGATGCTGCCACAGACGACGAAAGCACTAGGCATAGAGACGACTCTATACAGAGAGACGACACTAGGCACAGAGGCGACACTGGTTTTATAATGTACTTCAATTCAAACTATCAATATAAACCGTTCATCGCGCCCCAGACATTTTTGTCATGTCGAATTCCATGCCTGTTTGGTTTTCTCGCTAAATATTTGGAATCATAAATAAAGACCTCAAAGAAAGTTGCCGCTCTGCCGTAACCCAGCCAGGTTCCCCCTATCCCATTTAAGCCTTGACAATTCTGCACACCAGGTCGGAGCCGTCGACTGAGTCGCCCTCCTTGACTTGGAGGGTTGACACCTTGCCGTTGTGCGGGGCGGAAATGACCATTTCCTAAGTTGTATGTTAGTAAACAGGGTAAGATGGTACCTATATGTAGAGTAAAACTTACCATCTTCATGGCGCTGAGAACAGCAATGGGGTCACCCTTCTTGACATCAGATCCCTCCTTGACACGGAGCTCAACGAGCACACCGGCCATAGGAGCACCGACTTGGCTAGAGTCGGAGGCATCGGCCTTGGGACGGCTGACGTTCTCAACTGAGGCCTTGTTGTCGTCGACAGTAACCTGTCTGACCTCGCCGTTCATCTCGTAGAACACCTCGCGCTGGCCAGTGTTCTCACTGAGAGGACCAATGGCCAAGAGCTTGAGGATAAGAACCTTGCCCTTCTCAAGCTCTACGTGGAACTCCTCGCCAATCTCGGGACGAGACAGGAAGTACTTTGTCGGCAGGACGGAGAGATCGCCGTACTTCTGGATGAACTTCTTGTAGTCCTCAAAGACCTTGGGGTACATGACGTACGCGGCAATGTCGCACTCCGTGATGGGGCCACCAAACTTCTTGTGGAGATCGCGCTTGACCTTGGCGAAGTCGACAGGCTCGAGGAACAGACCGGGGCGCTTGTCCAGCTTTCTGCGGCCGCGGAGGGCGTCGGAACGCAGAGGTTCGGGGAATCCTCCGTACGGCTGACCCATGAGACCCTCGAGGAACTCGAGGACAGAGCCGGGGAAGTCAAGCTCGCTGGCGCGAGCCTTGACGTCCTCAGCGGACAGCTTGTTGGAGACCATGAACTGGGCAAGGTCACCGACAACCTTGGAGGTAGGAGTGACCTTGACAATATCGCCAAGGAGGTCGTTGGCGTGCTCGTAGGCCTTCTTGGTCTCGGCCCACTGGGTACCGAGACCAAGCTGGGAAGCCTGGAACATCATGTTGGTGAGCTGACCACCGGGGATCTCGTGCTCGTACACCTCGGGGTCGGGACCGCTGAGGTGGGCCTCGAAGGGAGAGTAGAGAAGACGCAGCTGGGACCAGTAGAAGTCCAAAGCACGGACGTGAGCCGGGTTCAGGCCAGTGTCGTGCTCACTGCCCTCGAGAGAGGCAATGATGGCGTTGATACTCGGCTGAGAGGTCATGCCGGACAAGCTGTCGGTGGCAGCATCGACAGCGTCAGCACCAGCCTTGGCGCAGGCAACCATGGACGCGACACCAGTACCGGCGGAGTCATGGGTGTGGACGTGGATGGGGAGGTCGGGGTACTTGGCACGGATGGCACCGACCAGCTTGGTGGCAGCGTACGGCTTCAAGACACCAGCCATATCCTTGAGACCAAGAACGTGGATGTCGAGAGCCACGAGCTTGTCGACAAGGTCGAGGTAGTACTCGAGGTTGTACTTCTTCTTGGGGTTCAACACTATGATATTTGTTAGCAAAAGGGACATAACTCATGACGACAGTTAAAGAAAGGGAACACTTGCAGTCGCCACTGATACACACGGTACCCTCAACAACACCACCGGCCTTGTGGACGGCCTTGATACCGACCTCGAGCTGGTCGATGTCGTTCAGGGCGTCGAAGACACGGAAGATATCGACACCGTTCTTCTTAGCATGCTCGACAAAGTGGTCGATGGCGTTATCGGGAAGCGATGAGTACGCAACACCGTTGGCACCACGGAGAAGCATCTGGAAGGGAATGTTGGGAACTGCCTTTCTCATGCGGCGAAGACGGTCCCAGGGGTCCTCGTAGAGGAAGCGGTAGGCAACATCAAAGGTGGCACCACCCCAGCATTCCAGAGAGTACAGGTTGCTCAGACCGTGGCTAGTCTCCTTGGCAATGTTGAGCAAGTCGACGGTACGGACACGGGTGGCCAGCAGAGACTGATGGGCATCACGCCATGTGGTGTCCATGAGCAGCGTTCCCTTGTACTCGCGGACAGCCTTGGCGAAGGCCTTGGGGCCCTGCTCGGTGATGATCTGTCTCCAGCCCTTTGTGCAGGTCGTGGAGACGTCGATCTTGGAGCCATCCTCATTGAGGAGCTCGGGAAGGATGATGTCGCCCTTGAACTTGGGCTCGCCAATCTGGCCCTTGATGCTGCTTCCGTTGACGGCGACGTCACCGAGGTAGGCAAGAAGCTTCTGAGCACGGTTCTGGCTGCCAATGAGGTCGAACAGCTGAGGAGTGTCGTCGATGAAGGTGGTCCAGCAGTTGCCGTCAATGAATGTAGGGTGGGTAAGGAGGGAGGCGAGGAAAGGAATGTTGGTCTTGACGCCGCGAATACGGAATTCGACAAGAGCACGGAGGACCTTTCTCCTAGCAATTTCGTAGGTGGAACCGTGGCAAGTGCACTTGACCAACATGGAATCGTAGTAGGGGGTAATGACGGCACCGGCGAAACCGTTACCACCGTCGAGACGGACACCATTACCACCGGCAGACCGGTAGACTTCAATCTTTCCGGTGTCAGGCTGGAAACCCTTGGCAGGGTCCTCGGTGGTGATTCTGCACTGAATGGCGAAACCTCTGGTGGAGATGCGGTCCTGGGTCAGACCAAGCTGCTGCAAGGTGGCACCGGCAGCGATCTGGATCTGGGCTGCCACGATATCGATACCCGTGATCTCTTCCGTAATGGTGTGCTCGACCTGGATACGGGGGTTGATCTCGATGAAGTAGTATCTGTTCTGCTGGTCGACCAAGAACTCGGCGGTACCGGCGTTGCGGTAGTTGACCGACTTGGCCAGCTTGACGGCGTCGTTGAGAATGGCATCGCGGACGTCGGAGGGAAGGTCCTTGGCGGGGGCGATCTCGACGACCTTCTGGTGACGACGCTGGACGGAGCAGTCACGCTCGTACAGGTGGACAATGTTGCCGTGGTTGTCACCGAGAAGCTGGACCTCAATGTGCTTGGGCTTGTCCAAGAATCTCTCGACAAAGACTGTGCCGTTGCCGAAGGCAGACTTGGCCTCGGAGGTGGCTCTCTCGAAGTTCTCCTTCAGGGTCTCCTGGTCGCGGACGACACGCATACCACGACCACCACCGCCGTAGGCAGCCTTGATGATGATGGGGAAACCATATTGATCGGTGAAGCTCTTGACCTCCTCAAAGGTGGCGACGGCGCCTTCGGTACCGGGAACGACGGGGACACCGGCAGCGATAGCGAGGGTTCGGGCAGAGACCTTGTCACCGAGCGAGTCAATGACATCGGCAGAGGGACCAACAAACTAAGAGGGCACACCGAGTCAGTAGTGTTATCAGATTTTAGGGGGAGTTTTTAGTGGGATGTCTCACGATCAGACCGGCCTTCTCGACGTTGCGAGCGAACTCGGCGTTTTCTGAGAGGAAACCATAACCTTTTGGCGGTGTGTTAGTGTCTTGACCTCAAGATCTAGAGAAGATGCGTCTCCTTACCAGGATGGATCATTTGCGCGCCGTGCTCGACGGCAATCTTGATAATCTCGTCTCCAGCGAGATAAGCACCGACCGGGGTGTACTGGCCACGCTTGCCAATGACGTATGCCTCATCGGCCTCTGTGGAACACGGATTAGGAGGGTGTTTGGGGAAATGTCCAGAGGTAAGATGCGGACTTACTCTGTCTGTGCATGGAGAGACGGTCCTCATAACTGTCAGGGAGTTAGTATGTAGAGCTCGGGGGTTGCCCAGGTGGTGCGCTGTACCTGAAGACTGCGATGGTGTGCAGCGAAAGCTCGTGGGCCTGTAGAGAGTCAGCGCTGGGTCTTCTAGCGCCAGGACGGCCGTGTTAGTTGGAAGAAGTTGGGTAACGTACTGTTCTGAAGATCTAGACACATTCCAACGTGAGCATCACTGTTTCTGAAGCACTACCTGAACTGGAACAAGAACCAACATACACGAATGGCTAGAAGGTGGTGGTGGTTAGCTTGCGTGAGTCAGGAGCCGGGCTGGAAGGAAGCACTTACGAATTTCACCACGGTTGGCCACTGTAGAGGGGTAAAAGACAACGGGTCAGCACAGTTCTTGGATCCAGATCTAACAGCGGGAGAAGCCATGGAGAGGAGAACCCAATGGCCTCTTCTCGAGAAAGCTGCGACTCACCCAAGATCTTCTTCAGGTGCATGATGCTCGAGTTGGCCCGGATGTGGTGGATGGTCTGGGGGTCCTTCTGGACCTCCTCAACGTCGCCGTCCTCGAAGACATCGTTGAAGGTGACCTGTGTTTGAGCCATACTGGGCGGTTATGTGTGTGTGAAGGGAGAGGACAGGAAGAAGGAGGAGAAGACCGAACGGATTCAGAAGCTACGACGGCCCGTATTTGAATGGACCGAGGAGCAGGGGAAGCTGTTGAGGTCTCAGTTGCGAGACAATTGCGTCGGGGTGTCGGTTGGCGGGGTGGTTTGGTCTGCGTAACTTTGGTTTGGGTTGGTGGGGTTATCTCCCAGGTCTCCCAAGCTTTAAGCCGGTCTAGGTCTGGGTCCAGGGCCGGTTCGGACGTGCCGCTGGGTTTGGACTTCTGCCGCCTGGCTTTTTTTTCTCCTCAGGTGCAGATCAGGCGCAGCAGGATGCGGCGGCGCGGGTACAAGGCCAGGGGGGACTGAATGAGCCGAAGACCGAAGTTTGAAGCGCGCAACTGTGGTTGTTGCTTGTGCTGCTGTGACTGCTGGTTTGTGGTTTGCGGTGGTGTGTGGGCTGCGGAAGTTGAGCCGAGGGGGTATCGATTCGACACGAGAGGTGAAGATTAAGAGCCGAGGGGTAGCTCTGGCGGGGGAGCTGCTGCTTGTCTTCTCTACCGGGGAGAGAGAGAGAGAGTAGGGAGGAGCTTCAATGACAGGCGAGCACAGCTCTACTCTATTAACACCCGTCCGACCGAGAGGGACAGAAAGTGGGTGTCGGTGGTGGGGGGGTATGACGGTGGTGGATGCGAGTAGGTACGGATAGTTGTTGAGTGGTATCTTTTGGAGGAGCACAAACAACGAAGCAAAGCAGCTGACAGCAACTAGGTATTGTAGAGAGCCAGCAAAAGAGGTGGAAGCACGGAGGACGAGAAGAGGAAGAGAGGAAGGACGGGATGAACTGGAAGCTTGAGGGACGACAGGATTTATTGTATTTTGGAAGCTGGGAGCTTGTAGCCGTGTCAGGGCTCGCTCGATACATGTATCAATGGATGGGCTGGCTCCCCCCGTCTTCACAACTCTGTTGTGCTTCGGCTGTAAGTAGATACTTCGTGTAGACTGAGGTGTAGCAGTAGTCACAGTCTCATGGTAAGGTAGACAGGCCCTGGCAAACATTCTTTCGTCCAGAGTGCCTAACGGGCCATGATCTGTGATTAGTAGGTACACCCCAGCTTAGACTGAATAATGACAGACAGAGAACAGAGATAGACCAGACCAGGCCAGGCCAGATCCATCCGCCCATGTCCACCGTCCACCCTCAGTCACAGTTCAGACCAAGCCAATCTTGGTGTTACAGATGGCCGGAGTGACTTGCTCAACGGCAGGCAACCCGCGACGACGATGCGTAACTGGAGGCTGGAGGCTGGAGGCTGGCGGCTGGAGCTGGGATTGAGTGACAAGACAAGAGACGGAGAGCGAGGGACTTATCCACCCCTCGGTGTCATGAAGGAGGGGACCTTGTCTCCAGCTGCTAGCGCCAAAGTAAAGCATTTCTCGAGGGTCGTATGTACCAGTGTACATCCATGACTGCAATTCACAACCAGAGATGCAAGGAGGACGCGTTGCAGACGCCGCCGGGACGGTGAAGATTTGGCTCAGACGGAGCAGAGGATGGTGGTGGGATGGATGGATGGATGGAGGGGAAGAAGAGGGGGAGGGGTGAGACCGCGGAACATGTACAAAGGTACCGAGGTACAAGGTACATCCATACCTGAATACCTACCTTACCTTACCTACCTTAGGTGATGGAAGGTAGTTTCCCCCCCTTCCCTTCCTGCCCCCTCGTCCACTGACACTCCTCGATGGTAGCTGCCCTGTCTAGGACAGGAGCTTAGGCCACTCTGCGATGTAAGCTGCACTACTCAAACAGCCGCTTTGTCGCGGCAAGAAGGACAAGAAAAAAAAAAAGAAGGAGCGTCCAGAGTCCAGAGAGAGAAGAAAGAGACCGAAAAAAGTCACCCCCGAATTCTATTAGGTACACAATATGCCAATCAACCCCCAAGACGATGACTCGACCGAAAAAATGACATGCCATAACAAGCAATGGAATGTATCCCCGGGATTCGGCTTCTCGACATTCATCTCCCACGTCCCACCTGACTGACGACAACGGCGGCATGGCATGGCTGATCCTCGCACTTGGGATGTCTGCAGTCCACCGCCTCGCCTTGCTGCCGTCCTTGGCATTAGGTTGCGACGGATGCAGAGCAATGTCACCACGGTTCCATTTTCAAATGTCTTCAACTTGATAACTCCATCTTCACAAGAGGAAAGTTGATGGAAAGGCCCGAAAACCTGCCAAGGATCAAGGTGCGACAAATACCCGTATCCAGTATCCATAATGCGTAGGAAACGTCCATGGGAGTCTGGGAGACCAACCTGAGATGCTGATACCTCTTGGCTCTGCAATGCCCCCGCGAGAGAAACGCCGTGAAAGTCTGAAGAGAATGACGGCTGCCCTGAGAATAGTAGCAAGACCCCCCAATCCCCGCCCATCCCTGACCGAGATCTGTTTCCACCGGCTCCAGCCTCCGTCCCCGATTATTACTAGGTAGGTCGTCTCCAGCCCGCCGGCGCCTTGACCGCAGCTCCTGAGACGATTGGTGAGGATAGCCAAGAGATCTACCATCAACAGAAACGACCCCCAAAGAAACACTGTTATCTTTAGAATACGGGACAGCCTCATAGTGGACATGGCAGAACCAGAGAAACCCCACGAGAGGCGTCTATCGAGACTCTCAAACACCAGGCCTGGACCTGAAGAATGCAGCCAGCCGTAACAGAAAATAAATCAATATTCTAAAAGTAAAGAAAGATTGGCGGGGTCGCAAAACACCGCTAGACCAGAAGGAATTGACCAACCAGAGCCTGCCGATACAAACAGCTTTCCTCCGGTTGACTAACGGTTTCTCGAGGTGACAACTCCAGGACGGGATTAGTGACATTACCAGCATGACAAGTGCATAAGGTACTGACTGTCTATGGGCAACATGGGAAACAGCAAAACAGGCAATGCCCAACGATACAAGTTAAAAATAAAAAAAAAAGGCAATTGCTCGTTACGAGAGCTAAAGAAGCAAGACGGGTTGGCACCGGCAGTATCCAGCGCAAACAAATGCAAGTTAACAACACTGGGCCTGCCAATTCAATGAGCATCTATACGGAAAGCACCTCGCCCCGAGGAGTGAAATGTACCTTGTACCTCTCTCTTTCCCATCTTTTTCCTACCTTAGGTAGGTACAGATGGTGGCGCCTGTCACAAGGCAAGACCGCAATTACCATGAGCAACTGGCGGCAGGCAGACCGACAGCGTTGCACCTTACTCTTTCTTTCCTCAGTGCTCTCGGCTTCCCTTCCACCACCATCAGGTACCTTGTAAGTCACCTTACCCCAAGTTGCCGTCTACCTACCTTACCATGTCACATCAACTCGTCAATTCCCGAAAAAAAAGCAAAACATTCGGCGAACTTCGCGATGCCACGAGCACTTCACGGCTTCACGAGAACAGCTACATGGGTCTTCCGGGCCTCTTGACTGCCGAAGCCGAGGATAACACGGCTTTGCGCCGTGTCCTTCGGGCGTCCGCCTCTTGAAACCAGCACCACTGCCACCAAATCACCACAACTACCGGCTACTCTCTTTTTGCTTCGGGACAACTCGACGCGATATCAGCCCTCTGATGGATAATCTTTCACCTGCTCGTCGACTCGTCCCTGACCTTTTTCGCCCTTTCTGCCCCGCGGTCCAATCCATTGCAGAATGCGGGGTGACTTTCACAGGGTTCATCCGTCCGGCGCGTCATGCTGTACTCGTACCCCTTTGTCATTGTTCCCGAGGCGTGTGCTAGGTACCGCCTACAGCCTACGGCAACGAGAGAGCAAAGCAGACCGAAGATATCGTCGACCTCGGTTTCTTGCCCCGAGGGACATGGCGGCGGCTTGACGGGTCACGGCTGCGTGCCCAGAAACGATGGCAAGGCAGGCCACGCCGACCTTGGCCCGGTCTGGCTATCCCACCTACCCGCCGACCAACCTCCGCCCACACTTTCTATTCTTCAATTAGGTAGATGGACATCACCACATGTGCAACAGGCCAGCAATACGCATGAAGCCACACGGGGAGTATGGAAGCGCACCACACCCCCAGACCCTCCAGGTTCTTCTCAATCTTGACAAAACCACGCATCTCCATAAAATGCTTGAGCGTTATTCCCGGTCCACTAGTCAGATCTATCCCACTACCAACTTCAATCTCGCATCATTGGTTACATGAGTTATCTGGGCTGTCCTAGATTCCTAGACCACGTTCGGATCGACTTTACGACGTCTTTGAAAAAGACACTGCGACGGGGAGGTTGGAAACATCAAACCAGTATAGATGCAAGTCTTCGCATCAGCCATCTGATTCTCGACTCATCACACCGCCAAGGTGCCATGCTGGATCTCACTCGCGCTGCAAGTTCAAGGGCGACTCGGCCAGATTATCCTACGCAGCTAAGCCCGGACTACTGGGTAACCTACGATCCAAGACTCTTGGCCCCCCATCTGCAACAAGGCTATTTTTTTCTTTCCGTTTCCTCTTTTTGTCCCCTCCAGATCGCGCAAGCACCCAAGCGGCGTTGGCAAGGCCGCAAAGCGCGAAGGAGCGAGAAAATTTGACATCAAAATTGGAAAACAAGCCCACCATGAGATGAGGATGACTCTCAACCCAGATCTGGATACTCCGACCTCGGCTGGTCCGGCATTTGAGCATTCAAGCTTCTTGGTAAAAGAAACTGCGCACGTCTACCCACGGCGTATCTTCAGTCCGCCACCAGACCGGCGCGTTGATGACGATGGTAATAGCAATTAGCGATGGCTTCATGACATGCTGCGACATTTATTTCGCCTGGCTGGCCCCCCCTTTCCTTCTTCAGCAGGAAAGGGTCTGCCAGCTTGCGTGATCGGCCTCTGTGTGACTCTTCCACGTCCGGATATCACAGGTTATTTGAGGCATACGCCGTCTGCGTACCCGCCATGCACCCCACGATTAATAACGCCGGACTTCAGCACATGCGCGGTCCCAAAAGCGAAGATGGATCTGCACTCGGCCGGCCGTCCGGCGAGATCTGTGGCCTGTCCAAGACTTCAAGTGCCAGCAGCGAGGGAGGGGAGTGGGGGTCATCATGTCGGTGCTCTCGCAGTTTCGGAGAGGGCCACCATGTCACCATGCCACCATGCCATGGTGGTGCCGCATACGGTGTCCACGACTCTCGCGGCTTTTTGGTCCAGAGAGGAGATGAGACGACACCCTATTTTTTGACTCATCGAATTTAGCTCACCCTGTACTGTCTCCGGCCCCGGCCCTTGAAACCATGCGCGATTCGCCCGAAATAGGAGGGCTCCGCTCCGCTCCGTCCGTCAGGGCCGTCAACTGAGGCCCAGAAGAGCGGTTGATCTGGATCCTTGATGCGCGGAAGAAGAAGCCAACGGGACCTTTTTTTGCTTTCCTTTTTTTTTTTTTTTTTTTTTTTAGTTGTGAGAACTTTGAGAGTTCGGGTCAAGGCCCCGAGAACCGCTGGTCCACAGTCAAAGCACCGTCAAGACGACGACAGCCTCCGTGCCCAATTTCATTCGCCTGCGGCTCGCCATTACTGCTACCCACCTTATTCAGGTCCATGTGGTAGTAGCTTAGTCCAGGTTGCTTGCTTGGCTTGCGGTCCTTGACCCTTTGCTGCCAAGAACTTCACTTTGACTTTTCACGATTCAGAGCTGCCACACTTGCCGGGTTCCAGAAACAGTTCGCTGTTCTATTCTACGACTTTGCGGGCCGCAATGAAGAGGCTCGTCCCCGAGTGTTTCCCCGGGGAATCAGGGTCCGTTTCCGAAAAGAAAAACAACAATGCAAGGTGATGGTACAGAACCGCCAGCTACCGTCCGCCGCGGCTGGGCATTGCCACATTATGCCACGCTATGCTGTGCTGTGCTGTCGACGGGGATTCTCTCCTGTCAAGGCCTCAACACAGCCGTGGACTCGTAACAGGCTCTCGGCGCTCTTTTCACATCAAACTCGAACCTCTCCTCTGCGTCATCATTATGTTGGCGAGGGCCTTTCCACACCCAGCCAGCAAGTGTCTGCTGCCTCACATCGGCCCCTTTCCAAGCTTCTCCCTCTCCTCGAGTGAGGGTACGCATTTATTTGCCAACAGCCTCCTTGACCTTGGTCTCGACCTTAGCCTCGATGGCATCAGCCTTCTTCTGGACAGTCTCGAACGCATCCTTGGTTGCGGAAGCCTCCTTTCCTCCCCAGTAGTTGTACTGCATATAACGGTATCCCTGGGTAAGCTGGGCGCCCTCGTTGATGAAGTGGCACATGAAGAGGAGGTAGTTCTTGGGCGAGACGGCAAGGGAGTAGCGCATGAAGGTGGCAGAGTAGATGCAGAGAGCACCCGTCATCTGGCCGGAAATCCTACGAAAAAGGGAATGGTGTATCAGCATCTTATCTTGTCCGAGGATGCGGATGGCGGGGAGAGGAGGGATTCGACGTACAGGTCGGGAGACTTTTGGGTGTCCATGACAGCGGCCAGAGGGATACCGAAGTTGGAGACGGGGCCCCAGAAGTCTGCGGTGCGTGACGGGTTAGCTTACTATCCAGAGTCCATCTCGAAGCTATCGTGAGCGGCCGGCACCGGAGTATCGTAGTCCGTAAGCGCCGGGGGCCTGGAGGGGGGCGGTCCGGCACGCCAATCGCGACGATTTCGATCAAACAAGCTTCATCAATGATTGTCCGGGACTCGAGAATGCGATGCGATAGCTGGTGATAGCTTCAAGCAAGCTCCCTTTTCCCATTTGCTGTGTGGGATAATCCCCGCTAACTCCGGACAACGGAGCCGCGAGAGGAAAAAATTGCGCGGGCACAAACGTACGGGTAGAGCAGACATAGTCCGACACAGGGTTGGACCTGATCTTTGCGTTGATCGCCTTGACAATAGCAGCCATTTTGAATCTGGTGATTTGTGGTTTGGAAAGGGATTATCGTGACGGGGCAATTGGCAAGAGGTTGGTCGGAGAGTGGAAGAGGCGGCGGCGGACAGTTTTCCAGGTTTGGATCGCGAAATTGTTGAGAGGCAGAGGCGATGACCAAAGCTCCTTCCTCCCTCTGCAGACAGACACTGGTGCTGCTGCGGCGCTCCGAAATTTCGCGGGCGCGGACTGGACGTGCACTCTACGCTGGCACACTGTCTGGGACACTCCCGCACACCTTAATCGGACGGGACGGGGACTCGCAACGGGCGCCTCTGTACTAGCTTGCTGCTGCTATTACAGTGCTACGTAGTAAAGGGGCTGTAGCCTGTGGCTTGAATAGAAAGTGGGTTGCACGGAAATGGTGGAAAAGAAAGGGACATGATTGGATGGAATTTTGCAGGTCCTTTTCGGGGGGGGGGGGGGGGATGGGATGTGATGACTAAGAATTGCTTACCTCATATTTGAAGGTCAAGTGTGAACCGCCAGAAGGAATGAAGGTGAGTGAGGTTGGCGAGAGCCATTATGTAAGGTCAACTTACGGACAGGAAATACTTTATGAATCTAGGGTATGATATGGCTGTATAGTTTTCTGAGACATTCATCTTACGTATATTGGAGACGATAGAGCAACAAAACGGTGCTGGTTGCCAAAAGCGATTTCTGACCTTTCGGTTGGTTGATGTAAAGGAATTGGAATATCAAAGTTGGTTGTAAGAAAAGACAGAATAAATCGGCACTCCCCCATCCAGCTCTTTTCTTCAATCCCGCTACCAGCGTAGATTGACCCACCAAATCTAAACGAGAGAATTCAAGGACGGCCAAGGATCTAGATCAGGACGGCCGGAGTGGTGGACAGATGTTTGGACGGATCTCTGCGGACTGAACCGAACATCGCGCATTGGAGCGGATGGAGCCGCGGATGGGGGGCAAAAAACACGCCATTATCAGCTTATTTTTGTTGTTTTCTTATCTTCACCGCATAGCAGACTCTGAGGTAGAGTTTTTACCATTTGATCTATTTTTTGCCAAAGATTTTGATAAGATATTCTGAGGGAAATGGTGGATCTGTCGTCTTAAAGGGTGAAGTCCATGGATCATGAAGTTTGAGCCCCGGTTTGACGCGGTATCCCTCTCTTGTCCGACTGTTGGAGCTTATACGCGAGGCGCTTATGAGATCAGACCTATGGTGATCTTCGCCATGTTGTATTGTAGATTGAGGGGACGGGTAAGGCTGATGGATTGGTGCGGATGCCGCATGCCCCCCGTCCCCCGCTCTGCCAACTTGCATCGATGGTGAATCGCGTCAGTTTCAGGCTGTAGCTCCTTTGCGAGATGTACATGGGAACATTACTCTGCACAACAATATTCAGTCTATACTAGACTACGGATGAGGTGGAGGAACCCGGGGCTTGCCGGGGTAATGGAAAACGCGGGGAAGAAGCGGGATGATGTTTCTCGGGGATACTTCGTGTGGAGTCCGGGATGTTCTTTGCGGCTAACGCATGCCACCCGAACCCTTCTTCGATATATCCTCGGGGTATGTCTGGGGTTTCGGAGTTCCAGCTCTTAGTTGGAACTCCTTCTCTCAATCTTGAAGTACCTTGTTAGTCTTTGCTGTCGTCATGAGAACAGTCGGGTTCGTAGCCGAGGAGGTGTAAGTTTGATAGACGCAGTTCGGAGGTGGACCGGGGGGATGCCCGGATCTGGTTCCGGACGAGATTGGATGATTAGAAGGTGTCTATAGTGGTGGAGAATTCCGTTTGAGAGTAGATGTAGGGTCTCAATAGAAATGTTGCTCTGCTGGGTTTGTAGAATCCATTCGGACTGAGCACTTGATACTGAATGTAGCTTGGTCAGAGCCAGCTTGCTAACGTTATCAAAATATCAGGCATATTATTGAGGCTTAAAATGGGATCTCCAAGAGTGTTCATCTATCTACGCTTTGTGCTCTCGATAGATTCAAAGATGTTTCTCCATGGATGCCAAACGTTCAGATGGTGATCTCGGGAGGGGATATTCACACTGCTCTCGAGTACCCATCATGACACAGAGCATGATCATCGGGTCTTGATTTCTTAGCTTTAAGCTTTCATGGCCTGGTATCTCAAAATTTTCTAGATAATCTTACATCCTTGGCTTCTCTTTATCGTCTCAAAAAAAAAAAGGAGTCTTACTTGCTACTATCTTACACGCCAGGTCTCTAAAGCACATCTCTGCACTTCAACGGTGCTGTTCCAGAATATCGCAGCCTCAAGAGACCTCTTTTCCGCTGACCTGTAGCGGATTCCAGCTTATTGGTCATGGTATCTTGGTATTCAATATACTATGTCAAGGCATCATGCGCAACGTTCAGATACATATTCTTGGGGTTGAGGTTGGATATTGGAAGTCAAAGATCCGGAGGCTCTAGGTTCCATCCGGTTCGTTTCATTATCAAACGAATACGTTGACAAGGATGATCTACAGCCATGGACAGTGAATCAGGAAGGAAGTGACATGGAAGTTGCTTTGGATAAGATGGAAGTAGGGTCATCTGAACGGACCACAACACTTTGCCAGCAAGCTATGGCTTTGGCCAGGCACCCTACCAGTCCCCAGCAAGTGTGTCCCGATCTAGCCTTTGTGGCCGTGGTAGGATCTCTTATATCACCAAGTAACTAGCAAGTAGCATGCCGACCTCCGCTTGTCAATTTCAGACCCTGAGGTACCTAATATCGAAGTACTAAGCGACAGTTTCCTTTACACGAATGCATACTGGCCAGTACCTCGTCAAGGTTCTTAGCACACCATTATTCTGTGAAAAGCAATGGGCAAGTGCTTCCGTACACTTTTTTTGCCAATGAGTCTTTCTCTTAATCAGTTAAACAGTCAATAATCACTATGTCAATGCTTAGAATTGCTCCGTTCGCGTCCGCACCTATTCGTCCCTCGACTATAAAGCAAGCCTAGCGGAGGAGCAGTGCTAGAATTCTTTCTTTCCTTCGAGAGGATGTTGGGGCATGATCATGATCTTGCCATGACGGTCGCAGGAATGCGATTGAGATCGATGACTCTATCAGATTCCTCAGATATGGCCCATGACAAAGGATTTCATCCATGAAAGTAGGTCAAACATGTCATAAGTGGAAGCCGGTATTGAATCGTGCCTTTGAGCGCTGTTCGCGGCATCACGTGGTAATACACAATGATTGGGAGGAAAGGCTGGATGTTAGCTTGTGATCGTGACGGTCTTTCTTCAGTAGGTCCCTGGCATAGGGGTCTCGGGTTTGTGCTAATACTCGATGATTGAGAGGAGAGGCTGAATGTTAGCCTGTGAGCGTGGCAGTCTTTCTCGACTGGGTCCCTGGCATAGCGGTCTTGGGTTTATGCTATCTTGCCTTGATAAGACTTCGAGATCAAAGACTACGAGGTTTATTATATGACATTGCTTTTATTATCGGAAGTCTCAACGCTGGAGAACCCCGAGTTGAAAGATAGGTAGAATGAGAAGGAAAGCTATACAGAAAGAACTTAGCGACTTTGTCTGGAGTTACAGCTTGAAGCTGTATAAACCTTTGTTTCTATAGTGAGCAGAGGAGCATTACTCTTTTCTCTTGTGTTCTAAGGATACACACGAAAGAGATCATTCTCTCAGCCTCAGCTTACCATCACTAATGACTGCCAGATTTCTAGAAGGTCCGCATGTCGATAGCCTCATCCCATCTTTGCTCCTTCCCTCCGCAGCAACACTCCCTTCCAACTCAGGCAGGGGAGCTCGCCTTATATTCAGCTTGAGGTCGTCGCTCGTCAATCAAGCCCAATCGATCCCCATGGTCGAGCGTTATAACGCCCTGATCCGTTAGTAAAGAACTTGGTATGAAATCTCGAGAAATCAACGGATAGAGAATTTCGTAGGGGCTCAGTTCGATTTACGGACTGGGCACCCGAGCTTTTGCTTTTTCAAATCCCCTTGCCCTTTTGATGCCTTCCATCCCACAAATGCAGTAGAGGAGGCACCTTCCACTTGACTCGGAAACTTGTCGGGGCCGAGTACCCTTTTGACGATGTTTGGAGCAGCTGGTCAAGGAATGAAGCTGACAATCGACATTGTTTACCTCATGGCATTATCCTTGTCTACAGTACTACAACATCATGATCCCGGAGATGTCCTCTTCCATCACAGCTTGGTAGCGCCAGCGTTGCCATCCACCTCACCAAACAGCGTCATGAAGGCACCGTGGACCTCATCAGTTAAGTCGCTCGCCTGCAAGCTGCGTCCCTTCTTCAGGAAAGCACGCCTCGAGCATTCCTACAAGCAGTCAGTCAGCGGATCATTCATCCATCATCTCAGCAACAACACTCAACTTACCCTCGTAATAGCGCTCCCTCCAAAGGCAGCAAGTCTAACCAAGTCATCCTCCTTGATCCCCTCACCACCCCTATCCCACAACCCCTCAAGATACGCATGCCTCCACCCCAAAAACGTCGCTATCGACCCCGTAAGCGTATCACCCTGCCCACCACTCCTCTTCAGCCCGCCCTGCAGATCAACGACCAACGTATCCCTCCCATTCGAAATAAAGTCCTTGGCCCCCTTCTGGACAATAGTCACCCCCTCCAAAGCCCTCGCCAACGACTCGACCTTGGCCGTCTCCTTCTCCTCCCCATCACCGCTGGTCTCACTCTTCACTTTCCCCTCATCGACCTCGAGAGCCTTACACAGCCGCGAGAACTCGACGACATTAGGCGTCAACACAGCCAGCTCGTAGCCCTTTACCAGCCCGGGATCCTTTTGAACGACGAGCAGCGCATCGGCGTCGAGGACCAGCGGGATCGACCGCTCGCGGGCGGCGCGGATGACGCGCGCGACGGTCTCCTGCATCAGCGGGTCGCGGCCGAGTCCGGGCCCGATGACGAGAACGTGTAGGCGGGCGAGCATGTCGATGATGGGACCCGAGATCTTGTCCGGGTCCGTCGCTGCTACTGCGTCCTGCGCGTCTGATGGGGTTTGACGCATGAGGGGGTGGACCATGAGGTTTGGCGAGTAGGTCTTGATCACCGAGGCTGCGCCGGGGGTGCAGATTACGTGGGACTGGTTCCCATTCTCAGTTCAGTATATCATGAGGCATCCGATGTTGCCCTGATGAAGCCGGGAGATGAGAGACCGGACCAGACAGGACTGGACTTACCATATCGCATCCTAGCCTGGCACTCGCCATGGCTGAAAAGTATGGCGCACCAGTGTAATCGACACTGCCGCCAAGAACAGCGACGCGTCCCAATTGTCCTGGTTTCAAAGTGTAAGCAAGAGGAAGAGCTTCAACTATCAGATCAGGACTTTGAGCTGTGAAATCACCTTTGTGGAACTTCTCCAACATGGGCGGAATCATCCGCTGCACCCGGCTGAGAACATCCTTCGTTGCCGCAGACATTTCTGGAGTACTAGGGTCAGATGACATTATGAGATTGTGAGATTTCACAGAGGACGTTTGAACTTGGGTGGTTGTGCGAGGGGCAGAGAGAGAGAGAGAGCTGAGTTGACATTGGGAGCTCTGACAGCCAGATGATGTCACCTGCCGACATCCCGTACCATTTGTGAATTGACCCGCTAGAAGGCCGAGGCCGTCTTCATCATCCGGCGCGCTCTTAACGGCCCGGCGTCATCCTCGTGTCCTGAGATGATCATGAAAGTCCGGCAAGTGAATTTGTGAGCGGGACTTGACTCCTTCAATGATGCAGTAGCTGGCCTATTGTTCAATGAAGCGCCAGAGGAAGGAACAGAAAATTTTACGATTAGCGGCCGAGCCTTATCTGCTTTGCTGTACGCATCCCCAGAGAGCAACATATCACGACGGTACGAAGTACAGGGACAAGTTCATGAAAGGACAAAAGGAATCGAGGGCGTTAATTGAGTCTTGAGCTCTATTTTACAAGTGGTTCGACTGGAGATCCTTCCCCAAAAATCGCGTCCCCTGGTGCTTCCCTCGGACCGGCGCAAAACCCTCGAGATTTCCTCACGCCTCTAGGCAAACAAAAACTTCGGTATAGACAGCTACATCAACCCCGAGCGCTCCCAGTCGGACCATTTATTATGTCAGGTGAGACTTAAAATTTAGCCCAGGAAGCTCTTGGTGAAGGTGGTGATGACGTCCTTGAGGCGGGCCTCAAGGTCCTTGCTGAGGGCACCCTCCTTGTCGATGGTGGCAATCAGGTCGGACTCGTTGGTGCGGAGGTGGGACAGGAAGTCAGCCTCCCACTGGAGGATCTTGGCGACGGGGACGTTGTCAAGGTGACCGTTGACACCAGCGAAGATGAGGGGAACCATCTCGTTGACGGCCATGGGGGAGTACTGCTTCTGCTTGAGGAGCTCGGTCAACTGTAGAGGTATTGATTAGTGCTTGTCACCAATGGAGGCAATGATTTAGTCAACTTACGCGTTCACCTCTGCTGAGGGTCTGCTTGGTGGAGGCATCCAAATCGGAACCGAACTGGGCGAAGGCAGCGACCTCACGGTACTGAGCCAAGAAAAGCTTCAGGGAACCAGCGACTTGCTTCATGGCCTTAAGCTGGGCGGCGGAACCGACACGAGAGACGGAAAGACCGACGTTAATGGCGGGACGGATACCCTTGTAGAAGAGCTCGGACTCCAAGAAGATCTGGCCGTCGGTAATGGAAATGACGTTGGTGGGAATGTAGGCGGAGACATCACCACCCTGGGTCTCAATGACGGGAAGGGCAGTCATGGAACCACCACCAAGCTTGTCGTTCATCTTGGCGGCACGCTCGAGAAGACGAGAGTGGAGGTAGAAAACGTCACCGGGGTAGGCCTCACGTCCGGGGGGACGACGAAGCAGCAGGGACATCTGACGGTAGGCAACGGCCTGCTTGGACAGATCGTCGTAGATGATGAGGGAGTGCTTGCCGTTGTCACGGAACCACTCAGCGACGGAGGCTGGAGAGAATTGTCAGTCTCTTTGTCTGCTTAAGATGTGATGTAGACTGCTCGAATGTTTACTTACCACCGGTGAAGGGAGCGATGTACTGAAGGGGAGCGGCCTCGGAGGCGGTGGCAGCGACGACGATGGAGTACTTCATGGCGTCGTTCTCCTCAAGGGTCTTGACGAGCTGGGCGACGGTGGAACGCTTCTGACCGACGGCGACGTAGACGCAGTAAAGCTTCTTGGTCTCGTCGTTGGAGTTGTTCCAACGCTTCTGGTTAAGGATGGCGTCGAGGGCGACGGCAGTCTTTCCGGTCTGACGGTCACCAATGATCAACTCACGCTGACCACGGCCAATGGGAACCATGGCGTCGATGGACTTAAGACCAGTCTGGACCGGCTGGTTGACGGACTTGCGAGGCAGAATGCCGGGAGCCTTGAGCTGAGCACGGCGCTTCTCCTTGGCATTAAGAGGGCCCTTGCCGTCAATGGGGTTACCGAGAGCGTCGATGACACGGCCGAGAAGCTCGGGACCGACGGGAACATCGACCTATAGTGTTGTTAATAAACATTGACTCCAGTCGGCTATGCATGTTGAACCTACAATCTCTCCGGTACGCTTGACAGTCTCGCCCTCCTTGACCAAACGGTCAGAACCGAAAAGCACAACACCGACCTGGCCGGCCTCGAGGTTCATGCACATGCCCTTGACGCCGGAGGCGAACCTATAGGTAAAAGAGTTAGACGCGATGCATCTCCGAGGTGAGTAAAGGGCGTTTAACGTACTCGACAAGCTCCTCAGCCTGGACGTTGGCCATGCCGTGAACACGGGCGATACCATCACTATTGTTCCCTCGCCATTAGCAAAACTTTTTCTTGGTGCCGATGAGTTGACATGCGAGCTCCTCGTGCAGTCCGATGATGCATTGAAGGCTTTCCGATGGTGGCTCGCGATGCCGAGAGATGCCGCTTAAACGTACCCGACGGACAGGACGCGGCCGGTCTCGGCGAGACCAGCCTCCTCCTGGACACCACGAATTCTCTGCTCGAGGATGGAAGAAACCTCGGTCGGGGAAGCCTTGGCCTCGGCGTATGTGCGAGTCTGCATGTTGAAGACGGCGGGTGCGGCATTTCGGGCCTGAGGGTGAAAAAACAGGTTAGCCGAACGGCCGAAAATGTTATGGGCGGCTCCCGCCCCAAAACAGCAACGCATCCCCCAAGGGAGCTCGATGAAAAGCTCTACCACGCCAGCAACGCGACTCCCGCGAGGTTAAAAAAGCTCGGAGGGACCTAATTGGATATCGCGGAATCGATTGCTGATGTTTTTGGATGGAATTGACGTCGGTTCGGGGATGGGGAGGTTGACGGAAGGTGTGGACTTACGGCGGCGACTCTGCCGGCAGCAGAGACGGCGCCGACGGCGCGCGTCGACTGGCGGAGGGCGTTGCGGAACATATTAGGAGATCTTGGACACTGTCTAGATCGAAGGAGAATCAATTGCAATAGATGCAATTGAGTGGAGGGGAGATTGGGGTTGATGAAGGTGCCTTTGAAGGAGTGCAAATCGAGTCTTTTTTGGAAGAAGCCCAGTGGAGGGAAAAGAGAGTGAGGAAGCAGTGGAGCCGAAGCTGTGCTGGCCGGCCAATCACGGTGGGTCGTCGAGTTTTGCCTCAGTCCAACCCGAGATCTCCCTAACAATTTCCGACCACCGCATACGTGCCCGTCGTGGCCCCGTAACCCCGTGAAATGCCTGACTTACATAAGACAGGGGGAAAAGACGCTCTGGCATTGACAGGTCTTTAACGCGCTGGGAAGGACGATCTAATCTCAACCGAAAGGAAGGGGAACTGGGCCCGAGTGAGAAAAAAAAAAAGACATAAAAAAAATAAAAATTGGTGCCAGTCTGGCTTTCTGGCGCACCCATTGGGTTTGCAATACAATAGCTGTCGCCATCCATTGCGATACCGGGACTTTTCATCCATCGCCCCGGTATTTGTCTATCATGATAGCTTCAATTATCACTTGACCTTACCTATTCTCATATCTGCATGCATGCGCTGTTCTCTTAGTCCAGGTAGCTTCCCGGTGTTGTCCCCCCCTTCCCCGGCATTTTTGGTGCAGAGCTCTCCACCGTGCCATTCCACTCTCTTGAGGAATGCCAACCTCTCCAACTTCCAAGTACTCGTTGAGAGCCCAGAGGAACAGGACACAGTGCACATAGACGGAAGGCGTACTGAAGCTGTGGGACATTGGTGCCTCCGTCCGGCCGGGAACACCGAGCCTGACCGCCTCGGAGCAATGCGAAATCCGAGTCGCATTTCTGCCGTCAGCCTCGTAGTCTTACCCGCCGTTGAGCCTTGAGCCCAAAATCGAATCTCAATGCAACATTGGTCACGTGCAGCCACAAGAAGTCAAGTCTAACCTTGGCAAGGAAAACCGGCTTACCACTTCACGCGAGATGGGAGACTTAAACCGTGAGTACAGTATTGTAGCTTATTTGGACTAAAATAGACTAGCTAAACCACCAACGCCTAGGCCGCTCCCATATCGCGGGCCGTTGTCACCAAACAGAATCATGAGCAGCATCACGGTAAGAAGGAACTTGTGTTGTAAGCCGGCATGACGCCGGTCGGTCTCTGAGGCCGCGGCTTGACTGAATTTTTGCTCAAGTCAAGCGTGTTGTATGAACAACTGCTGGAAAGTACATGCCTTGTAAGCCAGTTTCCCATTTTTCGCCAACCGTTAACCCAAGCCGTCCCAGTGTCTTTTTTCGTTCGTCGCAGGAAATGAAAGCATTTATCGGACAATGCCATCGAAGCGAGACTTGAACCACTTGACGGTCTCGTCACGCTTGATGCGGTGGCCAGAGCCGATGCGGCCCTTGCAGCGGCGGCGGGTGCCGACGCGCTCGCCCTTGCGGGTCATGCAGACGTAGAAGTCCATGCCGTAGATACCGATGGAGGGGTCGTACTTGATACCGAGATCAATGTGCTCAGAGATACCGAATCCGAAGTTGCCGGTCTCGGAGAAGTTGCGCTTGCGGAGCTCGTATTCCTTGACCTTGAGGCCACGCTCGAGAATCTCCTCAGCCTGTAATCATCAAGTCAGTCTGCCATCCTTCCTGCGCAGTTTCGAATTTCGTCAAAATTGTCGTACCTTGGGGCCACGGACGGTGACGTGGACAGCGATCTTTTCGTTACGGCGGATACCGAAGGTACGGACGGTGTAGCGGGCCTTGCCTGTCGGGTACTGTCAGTTCATCGTTCCTTGTCGTGGGAATATTTTGGTGATGCCGTACTGTAGACGGGGGTTTGACCGGACAGCTGCTCCAAAACCTTGGCGGCACGGGTCAGTCTGTCACCAGACTCGCCGACGGAGATGTTGAGGACGAGCTTCTGGATGTGAAGCTCGCGCATGGGGTTCTGGGCCTTCTCGGACGACATTTTGGCGGTTAGTACTGCGGTACGGCTGGCTGGGCGTTTGGTGTCGATTGTCGATTGTCAAAGTGGGAAAAAGTTCGGCGCCAATTGGCAAAAAAAGACTTTGTGTTTTGGGGGGTTTGCGAGCCCTTGCAAGGAAGGTGGGTGACGACCCACTTGGAAGTGGTGCGCTTACCCGCGTCTTCAGCCACAGCAATGAGCCACAGAAGCCTGAGTGGATGCTTCCATTCCATAAGCCACATCAAGCTACGTACCGATTCAGAGCATTGAGGGTCCCGTCGTTTGGCCTCAGCCTTCCAAGGTTCCCTCAGCCTCCCGAAATTTGTCTCCGTATCCTCTGACTGCTGAAGCTCTGCCTATCGCAAGCATCGAACGTCGCCCTGAAGTCTCTCAGGCTTCGCAACAAGCATAACATCAATTTTTTTGAAGACTTAGGGCAGCTACGAAAGTAGCTACTCACACAGGCATCAGCCATGTCGAACAAACAGGGCAAGATGGTGAGCAACTCCTGATCTTTCTCTCAAAGTTTCAAGGTTGACAATACAGGCTGACACGAAGTAATTCATCTCTAGGCCGGTTACGTACGTCCTTTTCCTCGAGTTTGACCCGACGATCGACTTCGACGACTGCACAGAGAACTGACTGACGCGACTTAATAGATCAACTACCGCATGAGGGTTACCTTGAACGATGGCCGCCAGATGACCGGACAGATGCTTGCATTTGACAAGGTGCGCAACCCAATTCTACCCTCAATCGCGTCTCTACAGCCATGCTGACATGATGTACAGCACATGAACTTCGTCCTCGCCGATACCGAAGAGTTCAGACGCGTCAAGATCAGACAGAACAAGCCTGCCGCCCCCGGCGCTAGCTCCAGCTCCGGCCAAACGATCGAGAAGGAGGAGAAGCGAACCCTCGGCTTGACGATTGTGCGCGGCGCACACATTGTCTCCCTTTCAGTCGAATCAGAGCCGCCCGCGGACCCCAGTGCAAGACTTGGAAAGAGCGCGCCTGGCGGAATTTCGGCCGGTCTCACCGCTGGTCCTGGTGTTGCGCGACCCGCCGGCCGCGGCGCCGCCCCGGCCCCTCCATCACTGGCCGTTAGTACCTCATCAATCTTTGTTCATGAGCTTTGGACGCTGACTTTTGACATAGGGCCCTGCTGCTGGCGTTGGAGGTGGTGCTCCTCCCGGATTCCCTGGCTTCCCCGGTGCCCCGCCCTTCGGCGGACGTGGTGGTGAGTATACATACCCTTCTGACCCGCGAATGCGCTTCTGACGCTTCACAGCTCCTCCTCCAGGCTTCCCCGGCGCCTTCCCGCCCCCAGGCTTCCCTCAAAACGCCCCCTTCCCCCCTCCTGGTTTCAACCCCGGTCCTCCTGGCGGAGCCCCGGGCTTCAACCCTCCCCCGCGAAGATAGACTACGGATAAAGATATCAATACCTCGCATGCTTTGTAGTTGGAGGATGGTTCACGGATACCATTGGCGTTTGGGGATGAATGTCAAGATTACGAACAAAAAAGAAATCGGGCAGAAGAGGCACGCTGTTAATCGGCCTCCTCTCTACCCCTGAACAAGTCATAGGTCAACTTGCCAACCTATACTCGTTGGATTTGCGGAAAGAAATGGGCAGCATGGATTCATTCGACAGTTCTTCAAGTTACATCGAGGAGGAGCATAGGTAACCGGCGATTGCTGTGATATCATTAGGCAGCACAATATTCACCACAACGTACCACCTCATTGCCAACAGCCCATTTGGTTCTTCATGTTGATTTTACCGTGGCTTCTGATTGTAGAATGGTGTCTTGGTGATCTTTGAGCTTGCCAGACGGTCGGATAGTCAATTGCTGGCTGAAAATACATAACTTATCAACAGCCCCCATCTGGCACAACTGTCAGAGGGTGACGCTCAGCATATCCAAGCAGACTTGAGAGAAGTCGATGGAAACCTGGGGGCACTTAAAAGCGGGATCGGAATCTAACTTAGGGGCACGGCATGTTCATCACGACACTGCAGACGGGCTTCCCTTCTCGGGGCATCCGTTTGTTTCATGGCATGTCCACAAATGCATGCAGATCTGTGTGCAGAGATCAAACACCGCACATGACCAATGGGATACTTAGATGTGGACGAGACTACGTTTGCTCTCGGCAAGCCTTGAAACTAAATGATTTGCAACCTCATCCTAACACATGCTGTGAGATATTCCCCGTGATACAGCCTTTGCGAGAGGGCCATGAGAGTGCGTCTATCTAAGTTCGGGTAAGGTAAGGTAGGTATGTAGCCGGGGGGGGGGGGGAGCAGGTGGATATTGACCGTCCCTTCCACCGAAATACACAGGAAGCACATATATAACCCTCCAAGCCCATTCCTGTCACCAGCCAGAAGGCGCCCGTCTAGGTCGACGGGTCAGGTCAAACTGGCTGGGTGGCGGAGTGGGTAATGGTCAACAATTAAATTCTACACCAACCAGCCTACTCGACGACAGGCTCAGCGCATACCCGAGCTCGAATCCCAGCTTGAGCACCCAAAATCTCCCAGCATGAGCACCAAGAGATGTAGCTCCCAATTTAGCACCGGGGGGGGGGGGGTGAACTCTTTTTTGGTCATCTCTACGTGTTGATGCTTACCTTATGCGGCTACCTCACAGTAACGTTTGCTCCTTCCTCGATGTTTGTTGAAGGAGCGGTCGTTGCTCTTGCCTTCCTTGCAAACGGCAGGTGCGTGATCCCGTCGTCTACATGAAGTACCTCCCTACCTGCCTACTTGAACTCTTTCACGTCTTCTCAGACTTTCCCGACTTCACTCTGTTTCCTTCCTCTCCCACCTTGTAATTCCTTGTTGACGAGGACCTTCTCGCACCTGAATCATCACGTCCTACGGTCTGCTCGCCTTTTCGATCTCAAACCGTTGGCATACTGGTCCTTCCAGGAAGACATCCTAACCTAAACATGGGTCGTTGGGAATTCCGTATGCTGTCCTGCCCTCCCCTCTCTTATTCTCTGCTGATCAATGACACATCTGGTCTTTTCGAGGGCGACGAAGATCTTGACATCGTCGCCGCCATCAGCAAAACTTTTGGCGATGGTCCTGAGAAGCTTGATCTCTATCTCATGATCAATAAGACCGACATGGTTGCTCCTGTGGAGACGAGAGAGTTCTACAAAGCTGAGGAACATGCACAATATCTCCGCGGTTTCGTCACAGGAATCCGACGACGGCTTGACTCCGGAGTCGGTGACGAACTCTTCGAGAAGTATCGAGCCCTCGAGCACGACAATCAAGGCCAGTACCGAACCATTGTGGTCGGCGCCTTGATGATGCGTGCTGGAGCCAAGATCAAGGCAGACGACATGCAGCATCTACGCAGCCTCGTTCCCAAGATGCCTTGCCGATGATGGACTTTGGCTTCCGTGACCCCGGAAAAGCGCAATTGCTTGCTGTACTCGACAACTATCAGCCGGGAACGCCTCGAGACTTTCACGAGCCAAGGTAAGTCTAGCCAGATTGTCCATGCGAGGCATCGACTAACAGCTTGGGCTTAGCTGCTTCCATTGCGGCAAGATTCACGCAGACGACAGAATTAACCTGAAGAAGTGCGGTCATTGCCAGGCCGCCTGGTACTGCGGCATCGTAAGTCCTCAAGCTCGATGAAGTTCATGTAAAACTGAAGCTGATATAACCAAAGGACTGTCAGAAGACCCATCGCAAGATCCACAAGGCTTCGTGCAAGGAAATTTGGGAGAAGGTTCTTGCCAATGTCTAGGACCTTGTGATGAACAGACACCAGTCTTCACCACTTTGGCAATGCCATTGAGCTTGATCTTTTCTCGCGTTTAGCTAATATTCGGGTGAGTAGCATGAGCCGCCGGCGTTCGGTTGGTGAGAGACGCGAAAGAAGATATGGAAGGGAACGCATCTTTCTCGGACAACTTTGGTCTAGGTGCTGGACTGGGATCTTCAGATGAATTAGGCAGACAGGAGAAGATCCAAATGATACGCTTACAACCAAACACAACCAAACCATTATGTATTGACCCGTCTCGTAGTTGTTTTCTCAAATTTTTGTTCCGAAGTGGCCGAGGGCTTCTGCGGAGTTCTTCGGAGTGGGGGCACGCAAAGGTGGTCAGACAGCAGTGGAAAGTCTTCAATGATGATTCCCGAGACTCTAATGACAAGAGACATATCCCATAGTTGCTCTAGATCATCCCTTATGCCACTAAGAACCGGTTGTCAAGCTCAAATGCTCGAATCTCACGTGGAACACCCAACGAACTAATGACCTCGGTTCATCGCCCCAAAGACAATGACGAGTTTCCTTGCTCTAGGCCTGCGGCTCGTGGAACGCGGATGCAGTAGAACAGAATCCCCAGCAACAACAGTGTAATGTTTACGCCGAGGCCTGTGAGTGCTTTTCCGCATTGGTGTCTCGAAGGGTCTACATGTATATCGTCTTGCGTTGAGGACTTTATTGCCACGGTCAAAGATGGGTGTTGACTTATACAGGTTGATATACAGCCAATTGATCGAAGAAGAGGCTTCACACGGGGAAGGGAAGTAAAGGTATAGCACCTCTTAGATCTGATTTGTCTACCATCAGGTAGAATATCCTCGGAGAAGTAAATCGATCCACTTCTCCATCGCATCCAACCACAAAGTACAATGTGAGAACGAAGGGAACAGCAACGAGGCAGAGTATACCCACCTTTAGAACCGGCCTTAGACACATATACTCATCTCAACATCTCCAAGGTTACCATCAATCACACATGTATTCTCGATTCACATGGCCGACGGAAGCTCTATTATTGAGTATGTACTCCCGCCACGTCTAACACGATACTCATACACCACTCCAATATCAAGTAATCAACACGACTTTGACATCCCGCTCATTAAGCTAGCAGTCGACGTACGCAGTTTAACATTTGTCACATTCTCAAACGTCTGTAAGTACAGGATCGAAACACGCCATCAAGTCTGCGTACGTCAACTTGTAATCTTAGTGATGAAGAGTCCGCTCGCCTCGGGGTCAGTCAATCAGACACCTGAATGCTTTACCTGGCACGCCTGAACAAATAGCTTCCACGACGAAACAAAACGTCGGTTATCTAGCAAGACCAGACTAGCAAATGGTGAAATCCATGGTCCGTATCGCTTAAAGATATCAGAGACAGTTGACTCCTTCTTCCCCTCCCTTCCTTCCGCTCCCATCCCGAGTCCCCTCCGAGCACAACACAACGCTCGATAGTTCATGCAAGTTCAACAATAAAACGTGGGAAGTGGAAGGAAATAAATAACAAGATTTTCTTCTGTATGACAAGACAAGGAGGTCCAACCGTTCAAACGTGGTTTCCAGGATTTAAATCGGATAGATCATCCCTTCGCATCCCATCCCATCACCTAGATCTTTCTCTCCCTGCATACTCGCCATCAACGGTCGCGACACTGGGAGCAACGGGGATGTATTAAAAACATTGTCACTTTCATTTCCACACTTTTTTCTCACCTGCCTCCCTGTCACAGCATTCGCGCAAGATTACATTGTCTCTCTCTTACTTGCTCCATCCCAAAGCACGCGCCCGTTGAAACGGTTGCCAGTGCACAAACTTTTTTTCATTTTTGTCTCAGCTTGGGTCGCTTCGATTGTTGACCACGCCCCCCCATGTGGAAGAGGGAAGCGATGGATCAATGGTTTTGCGTATGTCTGGGGCTGCAGCCCGCGTGGAGATGAAGACATTTTTCTACTCAGTTGGCGTCGCACGTCGCGTGTTCGCGTGTCGAGGCTCCTCGAGTTCTTGGCTAGCAGGCGATGGCCGTCCCGGAATCTCGGTAACACGAGAGAGAGAACATGGATACGAGATCCGCTTGGAGCATGTCTATCTCCGTGATACCAAAAAATGGAAGGCTGCTCTTCCTCGACAGCGGCCTCGTAGGCTCATGGACTCGACGTTCTAGATCTCGAGATTTTGGCTACCTTTGAACGGTTATATGCCGGATGGAGACTCCCGTCGAGAATCGAGATTTTAGTCAGGTTGCTTTCCGACTAGGCGACGGGAATAGCCTTTGGCTTGTTAGTAGGTACGGCCGTCGTGCTCCAAGAGCCGTTCGTCCGTGAACCTCCGCCAGGCGATGGAAGATTCCGGAAAGGCTTCGACGGGAAGAGCACTAAGTCGACAGCGAAAGGGCCCAGACTCCAGGGTCGACTACCTACCTACCGCAGTCGGAAGCAGAGGCCCAGTATCCCCGGCCACATCGGCCGCAGCGTACCTACATTGACGGTGTGTAGGTCTTGCTGCTGCAAATGTCTGCAAGCAGATGGGCACCATTGGGAGGGGCCGCGCCGCCATGCATACCCGGAAGCTGCGCGACGGGGAAGCCGGTCTCGCCGGTGTTCAATTCTGGAGCAACATCTCCTCGAGCAGTAGGGTATCTGGACCGGAACGTCCCCGGACCCTGGTCTTGATCCCACGTTGTGAGCACGATGTAGGCGAGAGCTCGCTGCACCCCTTGCATCACCAACTCTGCGTGGTGATGGAGGCCTACAGCCACCGACATAGGTGTTCGTCGTCATCCAGCATGAAGGGGCGACTTTCTGACTCGAAGGGTGGTAGGTACACACACATGCTGCTATGGTTTTTTCTTTTGTGAGGAATCGTTTTCTTGCTAGTAAGCTTAGGAGAAACACGTTTGATGTCTCTCTTCCAGGGGCTTGGCCGACAGACAACCGACGAGAGCGGGTGGCTACAGCAGAGCTCGTGGCTTTCAGGGCTGGAGGTGATTTGCTTCCGATATTGCCAGTTCGGATCAAAGGTGATGGCCCGAGATCGCTGCTACCTGTGCGTCACAGATTGTCGAGAGATGCCGAGAACGATGATGTGCCTTCGGTAGTGATTGGTGATGAGATCGTGTGGCTGGCTTGGGAGGGTGTGGCTGTCTGATGGTCCGATGATGTACTTACCACGGCTGGCGACATCTACGATTAAATGGGGAAATCTAGCCATTCATGGTTAACTCGACAAGATATGGGAGATCGGATTAGCGAAAGTGTGGGAAGAACTTACCTGGCTCATCCTCCGTGACACGGGACTAGCCAATGTGCTCTGGATACACAGTACGACTACTACATGTTACGGCCGCCCGCAAGGACCCGGGAAATCGTGTACGACCGAAACCGTGGTAGAATTTTTGTAAGCCGGAGAGCAGATGAGCTGAAGAATTTGTAATACCACGCGGGACAGAAGCTTCTGGAGTCTAGATAGACAGTCGCATTTGGTAGTCTGGCATCGATGCTGAGCCGCATCGCAATCTTGTAAACCTGTCGATTATTTCGTAGACGATATGCAATAATTGACGGCAGGTGATCCGATCATGTAAAGTGCAATGCCAGCTGCTTTGGGACAAATTTCACATCAGGACTGGGAGCAAGCACGCTTTGAGTACCTTAACCGGGAGTAGAGGCGATGTACAGCTGCAAGATCCGGCTAGCGACCTCCGCCAAGCTGGTTTGCTGCCGTCGACTACTGCGAGGTCATTATTCCCTCTTCTGCTATTGAAAAGGATCAGGAAATATCGACTCGAACTCGCGAGTCGCGGACTTGCGGTCTCTCAGTCCTCACGCCCGAAAAGGTTCATGACACGACAGCCAAGTTATCTTACTTGGAGTTCATTGCTTTTTCCTCGAGATGATGGTTGCCTCGCGCAACACCTACTATGCAGGTCTCAAGTCTAGCAGTAGGTATGGGAAAAATCAACTTTATCGGATGCACAACAGCACAGCCGCGTTGACTTCCGCCACTGGACACATCAGAAAACATCATTTTGTTGACCATTGTGTGAAGTGTGCCGCGGGTTTCTTCCCTGAAGGAATTTGCAACACTTTGGCTCCTGCTTTGTCCCTTGACGACAACTTACGAAGGGCTCACTTAGAACCAGCGCCTTTGGGTGTCTCGCGAACCGGCTAATCCATTTTACCTGTGAGGGAGGGGGCAGAGGCAGTGTCCACACCAAAGTCAGAAAAGCAATCAATCAAGACTGTGGCGCATCTCCGCTTGAAGACACTGCCATCACTAGTGCTTGTGTATTGCCTGACGCGGCCATGGCCAATCACCAGCCCTCATAGACTCTGGTGTCTTCTCACTGACGACGGTCAATTGGATGAGCCTGCCTGCCCCTCCCAGGTCGGGCTAGGTACTTTAGCGACTGTCGACTCGCATCCGGAAGCGTGAGTGCAGCGTCCGGAAGTATTGTCTCAGTCATCACTGTGATGTTTCCGTACAGGAGCGGGTCTGCCCTGTAATCGAATGGGAATCCCGGAAACGGTAAAGCTGCTGATGAAAATCCATTGGAAAATCATCCATTGATGAAAGGTCAGAGTCGGGATTGAGTAGAGGTACGACAGAAGAGAACTGCCCATGTTGTGGTTGACGATGAGACCTAGGACTACCAAAGTGGCTAGACCGCTTCTTGTAAACCGACTTGAGGCTCGAAAGCGGGCTAGACGGTAGGCGTGAGGCGACGACCCAGCTTGCCAGCATCTGACAGCTCTGCATCGTCTCGTAGAAGAAGGACACGACGTCGTTTGTGTCACATGAGGTTGCGGTAGGCACGGGCTGTCGAGCCGCGACCGAAGGGCGGCTCCGACAAAGGTAGGTAGGTCCCTCTTGAAGACGAGCTCGGGCATCGGCATCAAGCTGCGGAACCCCGGCCAGCCAAAGAGCTGCGAGTTCTTGAAGAGTCTTCTAATCCTTCCAATCGGGCTTTGCGATCACACGTTGCTTTAGCGACACCTACTCTAGGCGTTTCTTTCCATTGCTGTTGACGAACCCCCTTGCGCAAAACGCTGGTCAAGCTGGCCTGCCCCTTGCGTTTGGAAGCCCTCCCTAGACCCGCATTCGCAACATGAATATGGCTTCGTGGCTCAAGGTCACTGGTGTCACGGGCTGATCTGCGAGCGGGGTGGCTTCCAGCTTAGTCGAACGGACGTCTAAAGGCAAAAAACCGAGAGATATCTGTGACAAGAGCGGTTGGCTGTGCCCGTTCCGACGTAAGACTAAAAATCCAGGGACTCCTCTGGGCAAGGATCTCTGGCTAGAGAAAGGGGCGTTTTTTTTTTCCCCCGAGCCGATCAAGCTCTTGAATCTGAAGTCTGGACCCTGGGGCCGGGACGTTTCGCGGCCGTAGTCTCGTCTCGTCAAGAAATCCAAGCCATTGGTGGCTAGGCTGTCAACTAGGAGGAAACTTCGTGACTGCATTCAGCAATGAAGGTTTATGACAACGTCCCGGCTGGGAAGCGGAGCTGAAGCCTGAGGGAAGATTTGAGATGGAGACGCTGCCGAGGGCCCAATTCTTGAAATCCAGTCGGGGAAAAGCAGCGCCGGAGGGCAAATTGCGTGTTGGGACGTTGACAGAAATGGGACGCTTCCGATGCCAGGGTAGCATCCCGGTGGATTTTCTCTGGGTCAACTTAACGATGCCATGTCGGAGGCAACAAAGACTCTTCCACTCGGCCTTGATATCCGTACTTTGTATCCGTAATGATACAGGAAAACCTGGAAGTAGGGCATTGTGTAAGAGAATGCAAAGCTTCCTTCGACTGGCCTGCTTGCACCCTCGTAGTGCTGGTTTATTGGCTCGATGCAGCACCCTGCGGTTATGGTGGCTGCAATGAGGACACTCATCTGATGTTGACAAGTTTTGTGTGTTCGCATTAGCGGCGGCGATCTTTTCGGTGATGCCCTCAGAGGGTTACAGGTAACAGAAGTAGCGCGGCTGCCAGGTCGGCCTCGAAATCGTTTGTCGTGTTGCCCTGGCCGTCGCATGCGCCAATTATCTGCCATGAATTTGCGCTCTGACGACAAAGCGAGTCGTGTCTGCGGGATCAACAGGCACGAGGCAGTGGAAAAGGTGACAGCCAGTGTTGAAGACGACGCTCGAGCCCGGTTGCATGCAAGCGAGAAAGGTTGCCCAGGGTGCTGCTGTCAATATTTGACGGCGTTAAGTCCAAGCTTCCGTGTTGGTGGAGAGAGCCGGGGTGAAGAGGTCGATCACAGCGGCATCATATCAAGCTAGGTGCGGACTGGCACAATTCGTGCTTGGGTCAAGCTGCCCAAAGTGTGCCTTAATCGGGGGGTGCAACTCTCAACGTCTCTGAAAGGCTCGCCAGATGTCGTGCATGGCGTTGCTTCACGGCGAATAGAGTGCGTAATCGTTTAAGAAAAAGGCTTGTTTGGTGCCCGATACATGGCGACATGGTAGAAATGGGCCATGATCCAACGTAGGTACTGGTACCAAAGACTCGTGAGGTCTGTCTTTGAGTTGAGGCTATCTCATGTCATGCTTCTCGCATCTTGCCAGGATCGACTTCTGGTGGGTGGTGTCGAAGCTGTTTGCGACGAGAGACAAGACGTAACGGCCGCGATGGGTTTTGATAGATGGCAGGAGGTGGCTGGTGGATGTCGCTCTCCCCCGCTGACAGATGACAAGCAAGCCTGCTCGATACTGACAAGGGAGGGCACTGTGTTACACAGAGAGACTCTGGCGACTGACGGAAGAGGGTCCGAAATCAGTCTTGAAGCGGCGGCTCGGAGGGTCTAGCATGGACGATGGCTCGAGAGAGATTGGGTGGCCACTGAGGAGCTGGTATTGTCAAGATGGTTGGTTTACCCTGTTTTCGTTTTAGGTAACGAAGATGAGGTGACGATGAGCGATGGAGGATCGGAAGGTCGTTGGGAGGGAATCGATCATATTGGCCCGGCAGTGGAATAAGAAACGAAACGAAACAAAATGATCAAAGAGGCATCGAAAAGGGCATAGAGCGTGCAGCGGCAAGAAGCCTGTAGGTCTGGGCGAAAATGATAGAAATGTCGAGAAATGACGGGAACAGACAATGACCACCTATCGAGCGACGAAGGCTTGAGATGGCGATAGGAAATATTACTAGTGAATGTCAATTACCTTACCTCAGCACTCGGGCACTGAACCTCGAAGAAAAAAGGTTCATCACCTGCAGATGCAGGAGGGAAGGAACGAAGGACCCTTGTTCCGTGCACTGGTGCTCTTTCCCTCTTGGTCCTCTTCCAACGTCCTTGCCGTCTGCCTCATTTCTCATACCAGGTAGGCACCCACCTCAGGTAAGGTAGGAACAGGAGAAAAAGTACATACGATGTTTACCTTCAATGTGCAGGTGCAGGTGCAGTGGACAGGAGGATCCGCCGGGAAAGATACCTTGAGCATTTGACGAATACCAGGCACAGCAGGGACAAAAACCAGCAAAAAGAGGGCCATGCAGAGCTGGATACTTCTGCCCTTGCATCGGCTCATGCGCTTCTCTTCCCTTTTGACAGTGCCCTTTGGACGTCAATTGGCTCTTCGGTTTTGAGCATGGGGTAAAGTGAGAATTAAGGTAAGGTAGGGCAGTCAAGATATGCACCTTATCTTGCCCTCCTGCCTTGCGCTGCCTCTCACGATCGGTCCTGCCTCCGGTTTTGTTACCTTAGTTCATAGTGTTGCAGCTTGCTTGCTCCTGCCCGCTGAGAATCCGTAGCTTCAGGCTGACCTCGGGTTGTTCTTTCCCTCGAATTGTGTCAGAGCCGTAGCTAGGCCCCAAATGAACCCCCCTCAAGAAACATATCCAGTCACAACGTCTGAGAACCCTGCACAATCCCTGCTGAGCCATGAGCAACCACCCCTGTTTCTTTCCTGCCATGTCCACCCACATCCATACTGGTCGGGAGGGAAAGAAGGAAGAAATTTTGACTGAGCAGTTGCGACTGAGAGCTCCTGCCAGTGCTGCCCTTGCTCCAGAAAGCGCAAAGGCGCGCCCCACCCCACCATCCCACTTTCCAATTGCCTCTCCCGCCCGCGGACTCACCCCCGGTCTGCGCCTTTCCAGGGATGGCTACGCATGTGGCACCGGCTCGAGGTGAACTCCTCGGTACGTATCTTTTTAGCTTCATCCAGCCGTCTAGCTTCTTCCCTACCCGTCTTCTCGCTGTGTCTCTCAGACTCTCATTCTCTCGTCTCTTACTCTCACTTTTTGTACTTTTGCAGTCTTGTCCACAAAATCCAAGACATCCATCTTGAATTTCGCTCACAGTCCTCGCCTTTCTTCGCACTAATACGGCGGGACAATACACCCTCGTCCTCTCGTTCCCTCGCCTTCACCCACTCCTACTGGCCACCACTTCCACTCCTGCTCCCACGCCCGCTTGAACCTCTCTCTACTCCATACGGATATTTCACGTCAGAGACACTGGTCCTCGACAGTGTCAGAGACCACACAAGACCTTACCTTAGACAGCAGCCACACTTTCCTTCCCCGGCGTTGCTGCAGCTCGACATGGACATGGACCTGGATCTGGCCCTCGACCCAAACCTCTGACCCCGAAGCTACCTCTACATCTGAGCGCACCCTCACCCTCCCGAGTCCCGTCACCCTCACCCTCTCACACTCTCCTTGAGAGGTATTCGACCCTCAAAAGGTACCTCAGTCTTTTGGCCCGTCCCGTCGTCGCGTTTCAACCAGCCTCGACTGTCATATCTTAAAGCCTTCACTTCTCCGGTCCCTTTCTTCATGCCCGTGTCTCTACTTAGCCCTCAAGTACCGTACTTCACCCTCGGTCTTGTGCTGATCTTCGGTCGACTCTTCACTTTTCGTCATAAGCATCCTTAAAACTTAATACTCGGCTCGGTCCTATCGTATTCACCCTCACCTCACACTCACATTTGCCATCGGCTCCGGCTTCAACTTTCAGGCTGAGCTACCTTCCTTACCTTTACCCCTTGCCTACAACCTCATCCAACTGATACCGAAGCCTGCGGTACCTGCCTACCTCTTTCCACTTTTCCACCTTTCTTATTCTCATATCGTGTCTCGCCTTTTCCTTCTGGCAACACAATTCTACAAAACGCCCCCCATTCCCACCCAACCATTTCGTTCGGTCGACGACGACCTAGAAGCCCAGGAAAAAACCAGGTGCCCGCCATTTATATATTACGACCCATCTCACCTTGACGACCTGTCTCACCGAAGGAAGAGTCGTACAATCTTGATCGTACAAGTACCGCCTCCAGCCAATCTCTTCACGACATTCTCAGTCAGGGTTTCTGTGTGGCCCATTCTTCGGCTCATTGCTCTCAAGTTCGCTCAACCGACGTCGCGCAGACGAGGGACCACTTCATTCCTGTGTCTGACCCTTCGCCTTATTATCGGTTCAACTCTCGCGTCACCTTTGGTGTTCTGGATTCACTCAGCCAATCCGGTGAGACTCGATTCACTCCAGTTGTTGGCCTCTCCTGGTCTATGATCACTTCTGCCCGGGTGTTCCTGCCTACTCTCGTGGCCCCCGAACTTTCTGTCTCACTGTGACCTCACTTTGGTCAGCTCCCAATAGTGTGGCCGAGGCCTCTTCTTCCCATCTTTACCCTCTACCTCGCTCCTTCCCTCACACCTCAGTGTTTCGACGACTACACACGCTCCTCCCACAGGATTAATTTCTAAAATTTCCTCCTTTCCTCCTTTCCTTGTCATACCATCCGTCTTTCGCGGTTCACTCTACTTATAATACTTAAAACCACGTCTCATATCTGGTATGTTTACACTTGTCTGCCCAATTGGCCCTCCTGCCAAACTCACATCCGAGCGCGAAGAACTCACAAAACTCTTTGAAGATCAGACAAACACGCGCAAGTAACCGTCACTCGGCCTCTTTCGCCATGCCTACCAGCTTCGACCGCTTGGAGAAGCTTTTCTCCCGGAGAAAAGACTTCTCCGTCCAAACAAGCCCATCAACGCCAACTATGGAGTCATCGGGCCCCAGGACCGCAAGTTTAGATCACAGTTTTCCTCAGCCTTCCTTCATCCGTCCGCGAGTCTCCCGCATGAAGGCTAGAGAGGAGCGCATTGTAGCATCACAGAATGAGAGACGTGCCCAGAGCCTCCCGGAAAACCAGTCCGAGCGCATCTCAATACACATCTCTCATCTCAGCAGTGCAAGCACGACAACTCTTACTCTGCCAACCCGCTCCATGTCGCTCAATCATCGCAGGGAAAGTAAGCCGGTGGCAAGTCTGCGTGGATTCGATTTTCCTTTCCCTCCCACATCCCCATCCCCGGCTTCGCCTTTTAGTGCCACTTTCTCTCCGAAAACTCTCCCCACAACGCATAAAGTTTCCCTCGAGCACCGCCACAGCTCTGTCATCATCCCTCCCAGAGCCGACACCCCACCTACCTCGGACCACGAGGACGACTCGAGCATAAAGGGATCCCAGGGCCGGCCATCTTCTTCTCTCAGCAGGGACCTGCCAACACCTGCCGCATCTCCAGAAATGAGGCCCATCAACGACATGAGATCTCGGGACTCTGCAGAGTTGAGCTTGGCCAAGAGAAAGGCAGCTGCTGCAGCGACAAGACGTCGAAGAGAGGAAAAGGCAGCCGCCTTGCGCCGGCCTCAGGGCCAGTCCAGACCTCACAGATCCATCACTTCATCAAGCCAGATCCTCAAAGGTGGAGATGTCATGGATTTCTACAACCTCTCTGACGAAGACATCTTGGAGGAGCCAGAGTTGGAGGATGCCCCGGAAACCTCGATAATGCCGGCACCCTTACGGCTTCCACCTTCCCCGCCGACCCCGGCCTCTACAGTGTCATCGGTCGGTTCCAAGCGACGAACCTCTTCTATTCATGCCGATGATGTCGCCAAAGAAGGAGCGTTACAGGTTGCTCAGATTGCGGCCAAGCACAAGTTTGACCTTGTTTATATTGTCAACTTGTGGCCCGAAGGAGCGTCAGAGTTGTCGTCACCCACGTTCCGCTCTTCTATGGATTTCTCATCAAGGCCCTCAAGCGTGAGAAACTCTCTCCTTGGGCCCATGGATGGGCCGATGGTGGACACAACTTCTGGTATGACCGGGCGTCTGCTCGCCGCCTACGGCTTATCAAACTTGACCAGCCCTTTCCGCATCTCGGCCACTGTTCAGTCCAGAATCTTGAAGCAGGAGGGCTGGATGGAATACCGCAGCGACGACGCGCAGGCAGGCGAGATCGCACGGGGCTACGGCCACGCCTTCCACACGGCAACAGGCCGAAGAGGCTCCGCAAACTCGAGTCCCCGGAGCTCGGGTCCGCAAGATATGGCTCAGAACGATCGCGGCATTGTCTTTGCCGCCTACCGCTATCCGAGCAAGGACTCACAAACAACCGGATGTACCAAGGAGGAGCTAGACGCATTGCGCGCAGATGCTGAAGGCCTCGTGGACTACCTCGTTGCCATTCACAAGGCTCGACGACTCCGAGATCCCATGACACTACAAACCTTAGTCGATGAGGACGCTACGCCTTAGTTTACGCCAGCGCCACACTTTAAACACGCCGACACGACCGTTTCTGATTTATACCAAACGCGATCAGTGCAACGGATATTAGATGATTACGACCCGTCATTCTTTGACACATTCTTCTTTGGCTGGATTTACACATTTTTGCGATTCGTCTTTGATATGATACCACATGGAGAGCATAGTCCTTCATTCGCGACATGGACTTCGTCATCTAGCTCGAAAAAGGACATTTTCAGTCACATCCAGACAGTTCAGGTGCTATGCATAAGCATCGAGCGTTGGAGGCGACTTGACAGAGGTATGGCATGGAGAGGATGGGTTCTGAACTAGTCCATCCTGGACTCTTACGTAGCAAGTGGACTCGATCCATAACGAAAATAAAAACTCATGATACCTCAATCCGGTTTTCTCCCCAGCCACACTCGCAGGTCCCTGCTTCAGGCCGAGGCCATATTCCCATGACCGCATGACGAATCCGAGCGTACGCAGTCTTCGGCTTTACCGGCGCGACCCGTACTCTTTTCTTTCTTTTTTCCACAACAATCCGATCTTTGTCTTAATGAACTCTCTTTCTTCATGCCTCAAAGCTATTTTCTTCTTCGGCTGACATGGATAGACGAGCCAAGCTCACGAGTCGGGTTTTGATCTTTGGGGGCTGAGCTGGAGCCCATCAGCGGTGGCGCATATAGTAATTGCTCATGGGAGGCCTGACCAATTCGCCCATTCTTTTGGTTCTGGTAGGGCCACTGACAGGTCCCATCTTTCCTGGCATCATCATTCCATCTGGTAGCGGGCGATTTGCAGTACTCCGTACACACTGCTTGGGGAGGCCGGGGAACCCCTGGTTTCAAAACTTCCCGCGACGCTGGTTGGGTGGGGGTGGAGAGCGAAGAAGAGGGAGAGGATCCGGGTCATTTTTGGACCTTGTCTGGCCCAGACTTTTTTTGGCCAGTATGGATACTCCAATGGCGATGGGGAGGAGGGAGGGGCTCTGGGAGGCGAAAATGGCAACGCCGCAACGGCAAAGCATGGTCAGGCATTGAGGAGGTCTCTGTTCGCCATGTGGTTAGAGGGGGAGGTGGCTTGTTCAGTCGTTACGATGGTACGCTGGCGTGGGCTCGGGGATGGAGTCGTGGCCGTTGAGAGCGTTGGTAAACTTGGCGCCGGTGGGATTTGATTGTCGTTACATCAGGTCAGAGTATTCTTTTCCTCTCTTGCCTTCAATCCTTTAATCTCTGTGCAACCCCGTCCTTCACTGTCTGGTTACGAACCTAGAAATACAGATGGAGGAAGATGAGGATGCCGAGTTGGAGGGATAATCGCGCCAACTCTGAAAGTTTGAAGGGCTTGACATGATGTCAGCTGTGGTTCTGACGACAGTCTGACAGAGAGCCGCAAAATCTGGCCGGGGGACAGACAGTTCATGATTCGATGGAATAGCGTGCGGCTTTTTGGAGACGCGGTTATGTACGGACGTAGTGTATGGGATACTGCACAGCATGGCATCCTTGGGTTTCGTGAACTAAGCCCGCCACCATATTGCCCACATAGCTCCCCTGCCCACCCGCTGAACCCCGTTTTGATAGGGTTGCAGTGGATTGGTGGAGAGCTTTCGAGCTTCTCCGGGTGGTGGGAGGAGGCGATTGCGAACGTTTGGCTGGCTCTCCTCATTCTTTTTCACATCCTTGGCAACTATCAGGAAACGGCAGGTTTTCTTGGGTTAGTAATTGACTGTCTACCAGGCCTTTACCTGACCTCAGCGGGGGAGAAGAGACATGAGGGGGGGGCGAGTTGTAAGCTTCGATCCCCCCGCGCAGCGAAGAAGGGCAAAAAGAGTTAATGCGTCTCTTGGGTGGATGCGACGGCGGCAAGACGGCACGAGCGGTGGAAGCGTGCCGGTGCCATGTCTCGACTCTCTCTGGCTTACCTTTTTGCGATTTTGGCTTTCATTTTTCTTCTGGTTCCCCCCGCCGCGCCCGCGCGGATGGCTTTTGTTAGTCAACCAGTGATGAACGGCGTTTGGTACGGAACTACGCAGTATGATGCTACTATTTTGCGCGGCTTACGGCTCGCGGCTCGCGGGCGCGCGCATGCGTGTCTTGGGGTCAGGAGTAGATGAGGGCTGGGCATGCAGGCCCGGGATGCATCTTACAGGGCCATCTGAGGTACGACCACTTCTTGGCTGCGGCGCGGGCGCGACATGCAGTAGAAGGGGGGCAAGGCCCAAGGGAAAGAAATGATCGTCTGCCCCGTCTGCGGTGTATTTCGATATTTTGTCCGCGGCGTGCCTTGCATTAAGTGCGTAAGGTAGGATTCTGTCTTTGTTTCTCGGTGTTTTGATAGCGGGTGGAAGCCGAAGGATGGGTTGCATTGGTAGTTCCTAGTGAGTAAAGCATGTTCGTACCGGTAGTGAATCGTGGGTGGGAGGGCTAATGCAGGTTCTGGATTATCAATGACGGAAGTGAATGGTTGCAACATGAATGCTTGACGTACCTAGATGGGATTCTGATGTGGTTTGGCCGTTTGAACATTGATGGACGGTGGTATTGGACCTGATTCTGAACATGTCTGGTTCAACCACGTATCTGGTCGGGTTTCTCTCGTCGTTTACGTTTCTTTTTCTCAATGTCTCGGCAGAGTCTCGCCAAATTGCCCATCAACAAACCCGAATCCGAGATGCAAGTTGGCGTTCAGGCGTCCGAGAAGGCGGCTGGCGTACTTTTTTTTTTTGCATGCTCTTGACACTGCCACAGCTGCAGTGTTGCCCTCCCAAATCAGCGCTCAGACGTTGATGAGATCGGGACCGATTTTCCGGCTCTCTCGAGGTGAGGTAGGATGGCGCGGATGGGAACTCATCACCAGTCTTGCGGGGGGTAGCTCTTTATGAGACTGCTACAAGATAGCGTTCTGACTGATCGTCGATGGGTGGTGTGGTTGCTATGATGTTTGTCAGAAGCGGATGATTTGATATCAGATTTGATGCGGATCCATTTGAAGATCTGATTTGACCAGCTACTCTACCTTAGTTTCAGGGGGCACCCTCTATCTGAATGCTGTGGATTTAGCACTGGCGACAGTGCGATGAACTGCTCCGGTGGCGGCCAACGTCAGATTGAGACGTCCTGATGCCATTGGACGAACTGGGCGATGATCTGAAATATCAGAAACACTCAGCCGGCTCCGAGAATATGTTTCTGACACTACATCCGGCGCCGGCGTGGAACGAAGAGGAGGCCACGAGGCGTATGGGAGTGGCGTTTTTGCCCGTTTAACGTCCGGGCGCAGGCAGGCGGAAGCCGTCTCGGATGGGCTGAAGCTAGGCTAGTAGGCTTTGGTGGACTAGGGGAAGCGTGGCTAGAGCTTCCGGGGCCGACGCTAGACTCTAGACGTGCTTTGGATATCAACGTCCGGGTTCCAACTGTGAAACGGAACTAAGGCGATGATCGATTTTGATGGAAGGGGGAGGGCCAGAGACCTTGATGAGCAGGGTAGTGTGACGCAGTCGAATGTTGGGACAGCCTTCAATGTATGATAGAATCAAACGGGCTAGGAGTATCCAGGTGAAATTGGACGGCGTGAGAAGGTCGTCGCCTTCGAGCGGCGAGTGATAGGGTCGCTTGGTTCGATGAAGCTTTTGGAGGCAGCTCTGGCTATGATAGCATAGCGCGATGGATCAGTGACTTTACTCTCCCAACATATATGTCAATATAATCAAGAGGAAAGAAAATGAAGGCGAGAATTAAATATTCACCGATCTTCCTGTGCTATCTTGCAGGTAGGAAAGAGCCATCTCAACGTCTCCGCCCAGTGCTCTAAGAACCCCCTCCTTGATTCAAGCTCTTCCAAGCCTCAAATACTCTGGGCAGCATACAGCTCTCAATCTTATTGCGAGCCTCTGCAATGGCTTCTCTCCTCCACTCTGATGACGACGTTGGCAACACAACCGTAAGAGCAGTATTACAGGCTAGTACAGTGCCGAACATGGCTTCTTCATTCTCCTCTCCCAAGGGAAACCATCCGCAGCCCTCTCCAAGGACTTTGATCATATGCATCAGCCAAGCTTGTACCATCATAAGCCTCGGTCACACAGCGCCGGGGCCAAGTGTCGGTGATAGTGTCGAGCAAGTGATGAAGTGGGCTCCATTTCGGATCCATGCCAGGTCTTACAGTTGGAGAAGCTCCTTCTGTGATTAGCCATCTAGCGTTACGAACTAAGGCTTTGTTATCTTCCTCATCTCTGAAAAAGGACCTAGGTTCCAAAGCGGCGGCCGTCGCATACAGCGCAAGCATGCCAATAGTGCAGGTCGTGACCTCGGAACAATCATCCTCGGAGTCCATGTCTGAATAGACCGAGAGCTCATCGTTGTGGAAGTATTCTATCACGCCAGACCCAACACGAAAATCGACAATCTTTTGAAGATCAACTTTTGACACCACCAGAAATTCTCTAAGGGTGGATGTCTCCAGGGCTTGGAAATTGCATTGGCATGCAATCAAGAAGCAATCGAGAATCTCTTGATCAAGAGGCGCAAAGTGTGGTTCGTGTTGCGCGATGGTATCCCACAAGACATCCGACATCATCTTGTTCAGGCCCGGTGCCAGAGGGGTTGTATAATCCTTGCCCAATACTCGGACCTCGCCGTTGAGAGTGATTGTCTCAGCCTGGAGACGATCTTACCTTCGGTTCCCGAAGGACAATACCAGGCGCCTTCCGATTCTGAAAAGAGATAACGTGCCGCATTTGACTTTGCCACGTTTGATGAGAATTTGAAGATATCAGTTGCCACTTCCGATGAGAATAATTCAGAAATATTGGGTGTCGGATCTGTCTCTTCCATGACCAGAGCATATTCGAAATCGTTATTGTAGTGAACGCTACGCCATTCTGGCGTGAAGGGCTGCTCCGGGTCTGCCCCGAGACGTCGCAGGAGGGCGACCGAAAGCTCATTACGCGCCGTTATGGCGTAATACAACGGCGTCGCACCACTTTCCACCACGACTTCGTCAACATCCACTCCCATACACTGCACGAGCTCTTTGATGATGGGCCAATTGCCGGAAAAGGCGGCGGATTGGAGTGCGGAAACCATCACCGCTGGACCTGGATACTTTGTCGGATCCAACCCCCTATAGGCACTGGCGAAGACCTGGTTGACGCGAGGGTAGTTTGGCGAAGAATGGCTCACACTTACTTTTCGAGACGGAGCGCCGCGGGAGAGCAGTGGGCGCGCGACGGAGACTTTGTGGTTGCAAATAGCAGTGTGTAGGGGCGTCCAGGCCGGCACAGCATGCCCCATCAAGTGACAACCGGGAACCTGAAAGGTGCCTGGGGGAATACACTGGCACAGAAACCTCGCCGGCATTTCCATATCGACAGAGTGCTGGTCCAGTAACCACTGGACGGTATCGTAGTGCCCGCCCTTTGCGGCGAGGTGTAAGGGCGTCGCGAAGCATGCTTTCGACAGCGCGACCTTGACACCGTCATCGCTTGGAACCTCTCGGCGTTTCCACTCCTTCCAATATTCTACTTTTACCCAGTCTTCGAGGCACTGAGGAGCATCGAATGAATAGACTTTGTTCATGTCGGCGCCGTGCGACGCTATGCGCTGGAGAGTGACCAGGTTCCCTGTCGCGGCGCTTCTGGTAATGATGTCGGTAATGCCATCGCGTATCGCTGCGAGGTATACTTCTTCCTGAAGATTCGTGTGGAGCTTGATGCTGACTTGCGCGAGCGCGGCGACGGTGCAACTATCTAGGTAGATGCAGATTTGTAGCCAGATTTCGGCAGGAAATTCCCCGTGCGGTATAGTTGACGACATGGTGGTCGTAAATGAGGGATATGTGCTGTGATTGGTGGTATGGGAAGACGATCAATGCGATTGTTTCGAGGACTTTTTGTAAGTTGCCCTACAGAAAATGACCAGAAGTCTTTCGGGAAGCTTTGAGGCACGAAGGTAAGGATAATCTAAGGTACCTAATTACATACTTCAGTGCAAATCATCAAGGTAACCACCAATGAGAACCTGGAAGGAGCAAGAAGATAGCTCAACCTTTTCTTTTCTCCATTAGCCTACCTTGCAACCAATCTCAAGATTTTGATGCGGGGAAGAGTTGCGAAGACGGAAAAGTCCTTTGAAAAGTGTTTCTCAAGAGACTCTCCGGCTCGCCGTTGCAGTTCGGCCTCGGCCTCCTTCCGGAAGACTGACTCCACCGAGCCGTCCCGATCTTCCGGATCCCACTCATACGGTCCACTAAGTCTTCCGCTGAAAGTGCATTGTCCGTGTCTCGTCAGACTGACGAATCATGTATTGCGCTTGATAGTATTCCGTGCAACTGAAATGAGGCTAGAAGCGTATCATGACAGGTTCTTCGTGTGAGAATGAAGACTAGGAAACTTCCGGGGACGCGAGAGACAGCACGTTCCTTGGCCCTAATCAGTGGCCCTGGACTACTGCTGAGCGACCAAATCCTTGAACTGACGATCTTACAGTCGCTGTAGGGAGGAAAGGCGGTGGCGATGCCTTTCAAGCTTTCATCCGCCGACCATGCCCGGTCTTGTACGCTGGCCGTGACCCACCCGGCGGAAAACACCCACATCGCCGATGACCCGCACCGCACCGCACCGCGGCGGCGGCCAATGGCCCCCACCCGCTCAAGCATTCGTGTTTTTTTCCCGACAGTTTTCGCGCCAGTGAACTTAATTGAACCCTGGCTCAAAAGAGATAAGGAAAGCGCCCCCAAATTTCCCTCAACGATGAGTAAACGCGAAGGAGTAAACATGCTAGGAGTTGCTGGGTAAGTTTGATTGCCGCAATAAACGAGATAATCCCTCGCCTTGGTAAGGCAGATAGCCATATTGGAACTTTGGAAGGACCTCAGATGAATGGCCGTATAATGCTGCATGGGGCATCCCTTCGGTCACGCCGCCGGACACTAGTCACGGACTGCGACCGACTCAAGGGATGAGCGGGCACCGGTGGAGAACAAGCCTTGATTGTCGCGAGAGAATCCAGGCCCGATCACGCAACGTTGACGAGTGACGAAGGGTCTCTTTGTGTTTTCAAGCTTTCCTGGCGTCGGATCAAGTGCCGTCTTGCATACCGGATCTTCCGGATGAGCACAGCAGCTCACTTAGTCATTCTCGTCTTTTGACTAATACGACATATTCTCTAGTCGCAACGCGACATTCGCATGCTAGTCTCTGGAAAAACCTGGGAATAAGATGCGGATCAAAAATCATGCCCGTCGCTCAAAGTTTCATGATGCAGGACAAACGCACAGGGTCCAACCCGTTTTTCCCGGATGTGCACAGCACCAAGCGGTAAGAGAGGTTTTCACCACCTAGTTAGTCCCACGCCGGTTCATTAGGCCCAAAAACCATCCGACGTCATGACAGGCGATCCCTCCATCCCAGGTTACAAGTAATCTATTTTACCACGAGAGACTTTTTTCACACAAGCCGAGGAACAAATGGCTAGTGGCTGCCATAGCGAGACCACGTTCCCGCCGCTAGGGCCGCCGACGCAGGCATGCCGCGTTGATCGGTTGACGGGGCGGCCAACATACTTCAGCCGTCCGATGTCCGGAGAGCTGAAAAGGCTGACGACGTCCTGTCACCTTCCTTCCGTCCCATCTCACCTCATCTCATCTTATCTCAGTTTGCAGTTACATACGTCAGATAACATACTGCTATCAAATACCTATTCATCTCCAAGTCAGAGACCACTATCTCACCCGATTGAACGAGACCAGTTATTAAGAAAGCGCAAATCAATACGGGTACAGTGGCCGAATAGTTTAAGCTACACACACGTCCGCTGCGAAAGCAACCTCATAATGTCATCCACAACCACCATCCTCACATCCTCACAACAAACAATGACATCGCCACATCACCCATCCCCGCAAAGCTGTCATCCCTTCATGACACTCCCCCTCGAACTCCGCCTTCTCATCTGGGAAACCTTCAGCTCGGAACCCCGCGTTTTCGAATACCGTGTAGACACCCACCTCATCAAGCCGCCCCGCGAGTACCGCCACCCCCGTGCCGCGGCCCTCATCACAAACGCAGAATCACGAAAGGCAACCCGCGCGCTCCTCAGGCCCTTCCCGCACCCGTACGACGTTCAAAAGGATTCCCGCCCGTCGCCGCCGGAACTGGAGTTCGTGCCCTCATCAGATATCGTCTACCTCCCACCGCTCGTCTACCGCACGCGGCTCGGTGCGTGGGATTCACTCTGGACTACGAAACCGGGGATCGAGAATGTAGGGATTCACTGGTCTGTTCTGCTCGACGAGCGGCGTATCGCGGAGGCGTTGCGGGCTTGTTCGCGGTGTTTCACTGATATGAGGAGGTTGTTTGTCTTTATCGAGTTTAAGCCGCTTCCGCAGCCAGAGGAGGAGGTTGGTAACGGTGGGATTGTGAGGTTATTGGGTCCTGCGGAGGATGAGTACCGCTTGCCGAGTCTATATGCCGAGGCGCATGGGTTGATGGATGAGTTCTGGACGTGGGGGGAGCTGAGTACGGCGCTTCAGAAGGTTAGGAGGGGCTTGAAGTGGGCGCCTGAGATTGAGGGGGTGTTGTACACCAGGGAGATGGAGGAGGCATCTGCGTTCTGAGATGTTATGGGATGGGTATGTTCGATCGCTTTCTCTCATCTGAGCTTTTTGATGGTCGTTTTGATCAGGAAACCGGGCTGATTCGGGGTCATGCTCTGTCAGAGGATATCATAATTGTGATGAGGTTTCATTAGGAATTAAGCTCGACGTGCGGCGCCATGATCGGGCGGAGGGTCTCACGGCATTTTAGCGGGTTTTGGGGTGTTTTGATGACTGGTCTGATACAGAACTGCCACTATTCAATGAGATACCAAGGCATTTTGAGCATATTCGGAGACTTTTCCTTGTGTGCGTTTGTGTAGAAGAGAATAATCAAGTTGCTTTCTTTTACTATGAAATATATCTCATCACATTCCCGAGGAACTCAACTTCCAGAGCCCTGTATATCTGGGTGTCGTCTTCAACTTGTTCGTACATCTCACTTCTGCCTCTACTCAAGCCGTTGAGATGGGGTGCTCGTGGCCACAGCCTCCGTCAAGCTCAAATCCACGCCCGTAGAGCTCCGAGAGCCTCGAGGCCCATTTTCATTATCACCTCAATCTCAATAACCTCTTCTCCAACCTCCCCCACACCCTTCCCTCAACGTCCCACTCATCCTGGTCATATGATCTCCATATTCTACCTCCGAATCCGACAATGCATCAAGCTCGCCATCCTCCAGTTCCTCGACTTCGGTCTCAAGCTCAAGCGTAGACTCAAATCCATGCTCAACCTTGTGCTCCTCTGTATCCTTCACTTCACCCTCCTCCATGCCACTTTGAAGGGCCTCCTCTTCGGTCTCCTCTTCGGTTTCCTCATCCCACACTTTACTCTCCTCATAGTCGCCATCCTCCTCTTCGACATAAGTACCTTCATCGATAAGCCCGTGCTGCCTCAGGACCTCCTCAACCTTGAGCCTGTCAGACCAGTAATCAAATGCATCGCGAATGGCGAAAGCCCATTCTGGCGCGGTTTCCGGCCTCTCATGTAAATCACGGACACACATCTCCCACGCCTCGTACACTCGAGCAACCCCTCCGAGACCACCCTCCCCGAACGGGAACCACGCTCCCTTTTGCACAAGAAGACGGGCAAAGGGGCCGATTGAGCCCAACGCAGAGGGCAGCGGCTCCAGTTCTCGCAGATGGCCCACCATGATCTTCTTCATCAGGTAGACGAAGGGGGTGAGAGACGGGTCCGGGTCGGTGTCACGCATGCCGATCGGGTTCGCGCCCTGGGTCATCAGCCACTTTAAGGTCGTCAGGGCCCGCCCCTGATAGTCCCAGTCCATCGCATCAATCGTGCCACAGAGAGCGAGCATGCCGAGAGAAGAGCCCGATAAACGGTCCTGCTCTTTGTCGGGAGGCATAGTAAGGGGACAAGTTGCGCGCCATAAGCCGTTCCGCTCCGCAAAGCCCCATCTGATGAACTTCAAGAAGGGGCAATCCTGCTCGAAAGTCACTTTATCTCCGAAATCCAATACGTCTATCAAAGGGCGAAGAATATCCGTACAGTCGCGGTCGACGCCACAGGAGACCTCGCAGATGAGGAAAAACGTCGACTGAAGTTCTCCTACAAGCGGGGCATATTCCGGCCGATGCGTCCGTTGGGTCTCCCGGATGAAGTCCGCGATGACTTGAGCGAACGAGTCAAGAACCGAATTACAGTCGGACTCGGTTGTATCAGTTAACACTGGCAACAACAGCTTTAGCAGTGATATTTTGGGGCCGTTATCTGCAGAAGCGGTCCAAAGGCTGTCTTCCACCGTCATACGCTGCTTGGCGGCCTCGATATGACCCTGGGCGATGGCCAAATCGAGTGCCAGCGTCAATAATGAGTTTCCATGATGGAAGCATACCTCCACATCGGCCCCGAGGCTGAGCAAATGCGACACAACTTCTCTCTCCGTGTGTACATTGCGCTCGGAGGGACGATACTCGCAGGCGTATTGAATCGGCGTGGCGCCTCTGTTGTCAGGACTGTCTACCGAGAGGCCCCAGTTCTTGACGAGATCGCTCATCACCTCCAAGTTCCCAGCACGAGCCGCATCGTGCAGGGCGTTATGCGGCCTGGAACTTTCCAGGGCATCTATTGCCCAGAGCCTCGCCTCTCTGGCGGGCAGTGGGACGAATGGGCACGTTTCCGCGCCCGCTTCCGGATCCCAGAAAGGGGACTTTCTCATGGCGTACTCACCCTGCAACTGAGTTGTCAGAGATGCTCCGGCGGAAAGCAGAAGGCGAGCGACGGAGCTGTGTCGCTGGCACAAGGCCACATGTAAAGATGTGCGGGCAGGGCGACAGATGGAGGGGAAGGACCGGCCCCTTGCCATCTTCCCGACTGGCATGCAACAGCATAGGCTTCTCCCGGGGCCATCGACATCGACGTTCTGATCTAGAAGCCACTTGACCATCTCATAGCGGCCTCCTGCGGTAGCCTGGTACAGCGGGGTGCCCCAGGTCGTCATCCTGTCCAGATTTTCGTCGCCCTTGGGACCCCATGGTAGTGGTGCCACGGGATATGCCTTGGCAATATCCGCGCCGAAGAGATGGGCGCGTTTGAGAGTGTCGAGATTACCAGTCTTCGAGGCGTAAGTGACGCAGTCCGACGCGTCGTCCCGTATACTTTGGAGATACAAATTGCGATTGAGGATGTCGTGGAATCTGTGGTTGACCCGTACCAGGCGTGCCCTATCGGACTGAGAGAGGTAGCTGTTGACGAGCAGCCATAGTTCCGCTGGTAGCTCGTCAGTCGACATCATAAATCCTCTCAACGCGATGCGAATTCGAATCCAGCGTCGAAGTCGATGGAGAGAGCTGCGATGAGCCTGTATTGGGACCCACCCCTGCACGATATCGCAAGTTGGGGGGGGGGGCAAAGCCACACCGCCACAGTGCGGTCATGAGCCACGAGAACCGCTTTCGACTCGTATAGTCACAATGCAGGCATTCTGTAATAATCAGAGATTGGTTGCCAATTGGAGGGGAAAAACAGGTACTTATCGACATTTCTTTCTCATATTCCCGAATGTAAGTTTCTGGTGTGTATTGGTGACCGCGTTGGAGTTCGACGATCGACAGGGTGAACCACGGGCAATGATGGAGTAGCATCCGGACAGGTGTGTCCCAAGGACTGGGGCACCATACATTTCCCTCCGTCACAGCCGATGCCGATCCGGACGAGAGCGGGGCCGTGTTCCGGGACGAGTGCTATGTTGTGCCTGGTATCCAATTTGTTGATGATCTTCGCCAGTAATCGATCCGCGCTGAGGCGCCGAAGCCTTCGACCGTCATATTGAAAATACATGGCAGAATGAGACTCACTCAAATGGTTCGATGTCTGCGCTAAAACAAATCTCCTTTGCTGCATAGGTATGCTGATATTCCCTTCGAGTCGGGCGAAGTCTCACTCCTACTGGTACGCTTCCTTCCGGTGACAGACACCCGTATGTTAGTAGCCAGTAAGGCATGTAACACGGCCGAATTGCATCATGAAAGATCACTGACATACGACTTGTGAGAAGTTAATGATTCTTGATTTAATTTATGATGCATGAGGGCTGGGAAAGCCGGCAGAGAGCCAAGTCCCCACCAGTACAGCCGGGCAGCATCAATCGCCGGCGATACTCCTCTCTCTCTCTCTCTCTTTCTCTCTCTCACAGGAAACCGAGGCTATCGACGTCTCAAGACCCCACGGGACGTCTACCAAAGCTCACACGTAGGCTGTCTTTGAGGGCAGTTAAAAACGCTGCGGAAGTCCTTCGAGTTGTCCAAGGGCCCCTTGATTCGAGCGAATCCTGGAGAGTGCACGTCGGCCCCAAGCAGGTAGACGTCGTACACCTTCGAAGACGACACGTCGCACCAATTTTGCGCCCATTTTAAGAAGAAAATCTGGTCATGCGAGAAACTCTGCAGGCCAGGCAAGTCGAAATCTTGAGACTTCTTGTCTGCCTGTAGTTTCTTCCATGCCGTATAACTTGTCGCCACACCTCCAGCATCTGCTATATTTTCACCAAGCGTGAAGTTACCCCGAACGGGAACATTCGTACCATTAGGCGCAATGACTGTGAACTGCTGATACTGATTGGCGAAGCATTTGGTACGATTACTGAACGCCTTGAGGCTCTGCTCATCCCACCAGTTAGTGAGGGAGCCGTTGGCAGCATAATTGTGCCCGCTGTTGTCAAAGCCATGGGTGAGCTCATGACCAAGAACGGTGCCAAGTGCGCCATAGTTGACATATGAGGGATAGGCAACATTATAGAGGGGCTTCTGCTGGATACCAGCATTGATGACGATGTCGTTGAAGGTTGTAGAGTAGTAAGCGTTTGTTGTCGATGGGGTTTGCAACCAAATGTTCTTATCAGCAGGCTTACCAAGCAGAGCCCACAGTGACTTGCTAGAGAAAGTGGCAAACGCGAGGGCATTGTCAAAGTAAGAGTCGGTAACCTTGAGACCATTGTAATAGTCCGCAAGCTTGCGTGGGTTTGTGGTATCTGGAGACACGTCGGGGTAGCCGATCTTTTTCGAAATGGCGTTAACCTTCACTTCGGCCTCTTTCTTGACTTCGGATGTTAACCAGTCCTTTTCGCCGAGGCGCGAGATAAAGGCCTGCTGAATTGTGCCCATCATGTTGATAGCCAGATCACGAGCTTCGTTCGAGTATGCCTTATCGAGGTAAAATCGACTCAGAATCCAGCCGAGCCCAGCAGGTAGGCCACTCCATGGGACACCCTCATCCACATGAGCGACGCATTGCTGCCATCTCGGTGGCTTGCCAACCAGCTCCGGATCTGTAGCGCGAAGCTTCGATTTCAAGTCGTTCAACCTTTCCGTGACATCTGTCTCGACAAAATTGGAGAAGGTGGATACAGTTTTCCAGATGAAGAATCCTTGGACTGTTTCGACGGAGGTGTTGGCGAGAAGCTGAGATAGATTGCCAAAGTAGGCGGGGGAGAACACAAGTTGATCGGGTGTGTAGTCCGCAGGAATCAAGTTGTTGATGACGAAATCGTGACCGAGTTCCGGGGCCACGCTCGTGACCTCTTCCAACTTGAATTTTCTTGCTGGCGACTTTGATGACTGTTAGTTCCGCGGCCAGACCTAAAGGTCAGGAAATCACTCACAGTTGGGCTTGCTTTGCTGTCATCGGTGGCCTGCAAAGCGACCGCGTCCTTCTCAAACTTAGTGACGGCTAGAGCGAGTCTCTGAGCATTCATGACATCGAGTTTCGCCGGATGGACTGCCTGAAGAAGTGCTGCCATGATGCGCTCGTACTCCGCAACGGTATCATTATTTCGGGCTACAGAGCCTGTGAGTAACGGCGTGCCTCCAGGGATGACGGATATGAGTGTCTTGTTCTGCTCAAAATCAGTATGTATCCATAGTGGCAGGCTTTCAGGTCCCATGTCAACATACCGTATTCTGGTCATCAAAGTCAACAGTGACTGACTCAAAGGTAGAAATGCCAAGTTGACCAAAGAGCAGTAGCGTCTTGCCCATGTTTTTGGCATCATTCTTCGAGATCTTGCGTTCCTTGTCCTCTGTAGTATTGGCCACAGGAAAAGCCTCCGCGACGCGGTTGACGAGATTGATGAGAGGACCCAAGCCTGCAGCTTTAACAGCGGTGTCATTGATGCAAGCATTGTATATCTCTACGATCAGCTGAAAGTTGTCTCGATCCACGCCTACTTGCTCTTGTGACAGCGATGCCGTGATGAACCCGGCGTCTGGCCCGCTGGGATAGGTGCCTTCTACGATGTTCTTCAGCACTATTGAGACATCACTGCCGACAATACCCAGCGATGAGGCCTTTCCTTGGCCAGCCCCAGGCGCATGGGTTGCTTTCCACCCAGAGCACGCATCTGCCAAGAAAGTGTATTAGCCAACCAGAGTCATGCAACGTACAGAATCCGCAGCAGTGCCGAGTAGGAAAACAACGGAAAAAGATGTGAGACATGGATCCGAAGCTTGGGCGCGGGGAAACTAGAGCTGGAAGCAATGCGAGTGGGGGAAACAAAAGGCAATTGGAGTCGTGCGACGCACATTTGTCAAAGTCTGTGCACGGATCGATGTCGGTATGGTTCGGCGCGAGACTCATGAGAATGTTTGAGGCGATCTCGAGACAAATCGGTGTGGTGCAAAGGCTGCTGCCGTCCGCGGCCGCAGTGAAGGGAGCCATTCTGTCGACTTTCGAGCAGTGTTTCGAACGTCCTGACAGAGCTAGCATCACAAGTCAGCGAGAAGGCTCTTGGCCAGTTGAAGTACTTGATAGACACACCTTGGGATAAAGAAGCGACCTGGCAAGCCGGACAGTGAAGCTGAGACGCCTGACACTGGAACCAGAAGCGCCTTTCACGGATAACGCCAAAGTTAAAGAGAGAGAGAGAGAGAGAGTAAAGCTAGCGAGGATCGGTTGGAGCTGGTTCATCCAGTGTGGGCTTGGGAACGAGCTGGTCCCTATATATAATGGCTCGCAAGGAGAGAGAAATATGCTTTTCCTGCAAACCTTTTTTGGTCTAGACGATGTTGGGCATCGAGAACCATAGAACACAGAATAAAGATGCCAAAAGCGGTAACGAGAGGGCGGCGGTGGTGTGGTGTCGTTGATGTCGCAGAAGAAGAAAGGCAGCGAGGCGTTGATCCAGTTCTCTTCAAGCAGTCCGAGTGTACCCCAACAGACCAAGTACCTGCTCTATTCAACTGTCTCATGATCTTCACTGTCTCTAGCCAAAGCAGAGTCTAGCTAGTTGCACCTTCCTAACCCATCCTTGGACGTCCTGGAACATCGCAGGCTGCAGGCGAGGCTGCCTTGTTTCCTGCCAAGACTGCCATTTGCCAAAGTCAAGCCAACCCCAGTTCGTTGACACATCGGAACTCTATGTGGTGACGAAGTCGACTCGGCGGATGTTCAGATGTGCATGCGGCGAAGGTAAGCATTGCGGAGAAAGGCAGTACAAAAGTGCCGCTCGCCAAGGATCGGGGGCTTTTGCAGAGTAACCTCCGGAGTGACATTTCAGCCGCGGGAAGCCGATCCCGACTCCCCGTCCCGTATCCCCCGCGTATCTTAGCTCAGTTTATTCTCTCAAGTTGAGTAACACGATGTCGATCATCTATGTGCGTTTTTGCAGAAAATCGCTCGCGAATTGAGGCTGCCAGATGGCCTCTGGACTGGTATCTTGGCCTGCCCAGAACGGACAGCTGGAATATTGGGCTGATATGTGGCTGCGACTGAGCTTCCGTACTGATTACCCCAAGCTGGTTTCGTAATGCCATGTGGACGCACGTGTGTCGTGTCCCAAAAGCCGACAAGTTGGTTAGCGCGGTGGTCAAATGAACGGCGCGATTTGTTCTTGGAGGCTAGCTGGTACTCTATCAACTGCAGTGAAGGACAGCATAACAATTGTTCACCTCCAACACTGGAATAAAAGAGATGAAAGTCGGCGACCAGCCCACGCAAATATCCCATACCGCAAACCGTAGGAAGAATACCACTTGGCCATCATGTTGGCAGCGCCAAGAATCTTTGCATGACTGTTAAGCAACGGCCGACTCTCGGCAGACCTGCATTTTGACTTCCTCAGAATAGCCTTTTAGCAAGAACCTAGCGTCGAAGGCTAGAACTTGCGCGCGAAATGTGCTTCACAGGGGCTCTGGAATGTGCAGCGATTCGTTGGGTCGATAGGTATTCTCTCCCAGGATCCAGTGGGACGAACAAAAACCTTCGATGGAGACCGTTTTCGAAAACGAATGCGGAATGATCATTTGCAGCTTGCCACGCCTCGTCATGAGCACGCGAGACCAGACGATGGCGTTCCTTGGTGGCAGAGCCTCAAAGTAACCTAGTGTTACCGTTCCTGGCGTGGAAGCACAATGAGAGATCCTTCATCCGGGCAGATGGGTCGATACTTGGGATGAGAAGGTCTGCACTAGATGCGGCTGAAAGCATTCAGCCATTGCGGCGACTCCAAGACTTTGGCGCTGCTGCTGATCCGATATTGGCACTTGTCATACACCACGATCTAGAGATCTGCAGATCGTGGGACAGACGCGGTAAGATGGAATTCGATAAGCCATAGGTATCACAAAGCTCTTGAAGGTGAGGAAAAGTAGATAGGTGGGAGTCTGACGAAGTGGAAGCGGATGTCGAAGGAGGAGGAGGGGGCAACTGGGCACGTGCCTGCTGAAATGGCCTGTGCACACCTTACCTCAGCAAAACAGCACAGACCACTTCCAAAAAAGACAAGGGGGGGATCCCCGGAGGCAATGCCCCGCAAGCTGATCAAGCCACGTTCACCCTTTGGTTCCATGCGCCACAATGACGTTGATGTCAGTCAGGCCTGGTTCCTCGGGGAGGCGATACCTCCAGCGCAATCTTTCACTTGATCACCTCAAGCCTGCAGCCTCTCCTTCACCCGTACTTTGCGTTTGTATCGCTCTTCCACCATCTAGAAAAAGCCTCTTGTACCTAAGCCCTACCGGTCACCAAGATGGCGAACACTGGCGCCCCTCCAAACTACTGTAAGCTTCCCTCCAATACCCCACCATAGCTCCCGAACCTCGACTAACATGGCGCCTACAGACAAGATCCTCGAGATCTCGGAGGCGGCTACGACCCAGCAAGTTCGCGATGCATACAAGAAGCAAGTCATTCGCAACACTGAGCCCAATTTGCCTCATACTGACCTTTACTTTCCAGAGCCGCCTTGAAGACACACCCAGACAGGGTCCCCGCTGACTCGCCCGAGCGAGCAACGCGCACCCGCAAGTTCCAGCTCGTCAACGACGCATACTACACCTTGTCCGATACACAAAGACGCCGAGAATACGACGCCCAGCGAAAAATCTTTGGCGCATCCGCCGGTACAACATACGGCGACTTTTCCGACGACGACTCTGATCCGGAGGAAGTACCCCCACAGGCCGGCCCCAACCCGCAAAATGCCTACTCGTGGGCATGGAACTTCTTCACCGGCGGGAAGCAAGGTCAACAGAACGAGGGTCAGCGCGCACAGGCAGACAACGCACAGTTCGGCGATGTCTTTGAGGAGATGTTGCGCGAGGAGGGCATGGCCGAGGAGGGTACCAACCGCCCGACGAGCTCGTTCTGGAGCATGGTAGGCGGTCTTAGTGGTGGCGCGCTTGGCTTCATTGTCGGAAACATGCCTGGCGCGCTGGCGGGTGCTGTCGCTGGAAACAGGCTTGGCTCCGTTCGAGATGCGAAGGGCAAGAGTGTCTATGCCGTTTTCCAGGTCAGTGCGAATCTGGAGATATCTACCGGGTAGATCCCGTCAGCCTCTCTTTCCAGATCGTCTTGCGAGGTAGATTTGTACTAACATGATGCAGGACCTCCCCCAGGCAGACCGCGCGAGGCTGCTTACTCAGTTGGCTGCTAAGGTGTTCAGCCATACTGTAGGAGCTTAGGAACTTTTGGGATTTCAGATGGGTTCAGGATGATATCACATGGGCAGCTCGGAGTTTTGGGTTCGGTCAAGATCGGTATGAATAGGTAGTTTCATCATGCCAACTTGGCACTTTGGCATCGATACATTAGATAGCTTTTATCCCTTCAAAAGTATTGCCTGTCGTCAGAAGTGTGACGTGTCTGTATAACACAGCTCGACGAACCTTTCCTCCATTTGACACAACACGATCCACGATCGGATGGACCCTGCCGCAACACACACCATGGCCTCCTCCACTGACCGGTATCTCACAAATTCCACTGTCAGTCACAACCCCACCAGCCTCCACGAGCCATTGCCCAGGTGGTGTCCGCGGCTCCGCAGCTGTGGATGTGTGCAGCGGGGTGAAGCGGGGTCGTCGCGCGCTCTATGATTAGCTGATCGCTTCCGGATCTCAAAAACCAGTCACTAGTCAAGGTGCCAGAGTGGTTAATGGGCTGCCCTGCTATCATACCTTGATTCCAGATTAGGCAGTGGCTTCGGTCGCGCAGGTTCGAATCCTGTCCTTGACGCACCAGATCTTTTGATGTTCTGGAAAACTCGATCTCAAACTTAGCTTTTGCCAATCTCCCCGTCTCTTTTGTCTCGTGGCTAAGAGCCCACTACCTATTGCATACCGGAAATGCGTCTAAGCGGGCGACAGCGCCCCGGGCCCGGTTGTTCTGAGCCCCACTGTACATCCCTTAGGCAAGTGAAGCAAAGTTGCGTGATCAAACATAAGGTGATTGAATCAGTAACGAATGTAAGTATATATATGTATGTATACTATGTTTACTACCAATGGATCATCATACACTTTTGCTATGCTTTTTGCTTGAATATGCTAATACGGACGAACTGCCGTTGAACAGAACCTTGTAAGAAACTCTCTTCTAAGGGAGTTCATCGCTGACAAACGCCGCACGTGGTGGCCTGGACTTGGCTTGGACTTTTGCTGATTGTTCCTCATCCTCAACGTCCCATGTCTGGCGACTGCCAGAGTCGCCTGGATATTTCTGTGACGCTTGCGTTCCTTTGCTGGATATCGGCATGGCCGCTAGCTGCGAATACTGATTTGACCCCACGAGTTTCAACAACATGAACAGCCACTTGAACAGGGCCAGTGCTACGACTTCCGACACCTTCAAGGAGTTCTGAGCAGTGCCAAAACGGACTGGCTTTGGAGGTGCATCCACCGAGTTTTGGTCACTGCTGTCGTTGACGAGTGTATCGTCGCTGGAAAAAACGCTCCCGCTCTCTGCTGGCGATCGTTGGCGATTGATCCCCGCCGAGGTAAGCTGCTGGTGGGAATATTGATTCAAGATATCCACCGCCACATTTTTCACTACATCGAATTCTTGACTAGGTATTTCAGTCGGTTGAGATATCTGCTCAAATGTTGCCGACATGGGTGCTGGCATCTCAACTGGGACGGTTTCGTAGTTCTCCTTCTGCATGGCCATGTTGAGACCATGTGCGATGCCGTCGAGTTGTTTCTTGAAGGCGGACTTCGCTGACGATAAGTCGATCCGAGTCGTCGTCGTATTATCGGTGTCGCTCGACCTTGTGCAAAATTTCGAAAACTTGTGTTTCCCCTGGCGCATCCTGCTCTTGAGACGCCCCTCGACTTCAACGCACATGGTCACCGGCCGACCACTGTGCTCGAATGCGAAGCCAGTATGAAAGATGTGCTGTCGAAACGGATTGCAATCCGTCTCGTTCTCTTTGAGCTCCCATTCCAGGGACCTGAAACCCTCTCCATGCTTGGCCCTCTTTACCATTCCTTTGAAGGTCCAGCTGTCGATGATTCGTCTGGCAACGCTGCGACGAGTTCCCATTCCTCCTATTTCGAAGAAACCTCCCGCACCGAGCGTGGGCTCAAAGGCTTTCTGCTTCAGCTCTGATGTGACCGTTTGAGGGCCTATGAGAGACTGAGGTCCAAAGTGTTCTGTCACCTGAACCGCGTAATCCGAGTCTAGCGACGTTCGAACGTGCTTCTGAGACCATCTTCTTCCAGCTTCAGCTCCATAAGAATCTTGCTCGGCCAGCGTAATGAGGACTCTGGCGTCGCGCAAATTATGTCCCGGCGGCTGCTTAATTGAGATGTCGAGGTAAACGATACCGGCAGGGTTCCTGTTGGAGCCGAGGACGCCCCATTGTGCCTTTTTCCAATGATATTTGCACTCAACTTGGACCTTGCCAATGGCGCCGAATCCCACGCAGAGATGAGATCCACGAGCTGTGTCTTGATCGAAAAGTTTATAGTCTTTCCGGCCGTATCGGCGAATGCGGAGTTCTGGGCGAAGAGCCTGCTGTTCTACAGCAGGTTGATGTGCAAAAACTGTACTCACGGGGGCGGCCATGGTTTACTGAGAAATCAATCCGTCCTGGCCACGATGAAAGAGGAATAGGTAAGCAGCCTGATTATGTGTTGGAGGACAGGATCGCATGAAATTAGCAAAAGCAGGCTGGGGGCTGCCTCCTGCAGGCTATCAGGAAATGAACAGTTTGGGAAACCCCTCAATGTCGTGCATGCATGATGGATGGTCGCGTCTGCGCCTGGTGCGCATAGCTGCAGGCGCCTGCCCTAGGAAACAGCGAGATTCGTCTAAGTTGTCTCGGGGGAAGCATGTTGAAGCACGTCAATCTGGTTCCATTGGCCTCTTATCGTAACCTAGTAGTTGTCCGCGGTGGCTGGGTAATTGGCTGCAGGTCAGCCCAAGCAAGCTTATGGCGTAGTTGGTGTAAGCATCGATCCAGCTCCATGTCTCTTTGATCCGCCATTTGCCCCTCACTCTGGCTCTTCAGCCTACTGCATCTCTTGGGTGTTTCCTTCATCGTGACTGTTGGTAGACGGCTTCAGAGAACACCCAAGCGATACCTTACCTTTCTGTGAGCCATGTTTCCTCGTCCAGAGTACGATATTTTCGAAAGAGGGGGGCCTTCCACATCCGCAAATCCTCTAGGGAGAGCCGAGACGGGTAACAGAAGAACGGCATTTCACGAAGCCAAAGTGCCAAGGCAGCGACCAGATCTGTCATTTCTTGACAGAAATAATACTGAAAGCGATGCAACCAAGGCCCTCCAACATAAAATTGCATGGCAGTCCGGTATGCTGCCTTTTGTGCCAGCAGCACCACAGGTGCCGCAGGATCAGTAGATGCGGGAGTACCATGCTAAAGCAAAAGCAGAATACATTAAGCGGCACCAAAGGGAACCATCTCCTCCCATAGCATCCCCGCCCGATAACGAAGAAGCTCCTGCCAATTCCAAAGGGAAAGAACGAATGAGAGAGGAACAAACGAGTGAAGAGCGAGTTCGGGAATGGCAATCGAAAAGTGCGAGTCCGGGCGATGACGATAGTCGAAGAGCTCAGGGCGATCGGTCAGATGAGTCGAGTTCGGGTTCTGTCACTGAGTCATCATTGGATTTCAGTTTTGACGGAGATTCGATTGATGTTGCTGTGCCCCCTACGTTTCCTAGCTTTGCGAAAAGGTCCCGAGCTGCCCCATCCTACAAGGTACCGAGACCTTTCGCTCCCCCAAACCCTCCTGCTGGTAGACAGCATTCCCGTCTCAATAGACAAAGATCCTGGCGACATCAATCATTTCCAGAACCTCCGTATGGGGGACGAGGTAAACCTGCAATGGGAGAAGCCCCAATCAACACCCCGATGTCTACGTTCTATCATTTACCTCAACAATCTGAGGCTGAAACCCCCTATAACCCATATGACATCTCAGAGGCTATGAAAGACCAGTCACCTCGACAGAGTAAGGCGAATCAACCCAAGGTCAATGTCGATCCCCAGAACCCTCAGGATATCACAATTCATACAGAGCTTGTTGCGACTATTGACCTGGAAGAGGAGCTAGAGGACTATTCAAGACTGGTGAGACTGGGGCGTTTCAAGGCTGCTCAGAAATTCTTCACCTACAAGCTTTCGGGTTTCATAGAAAACTCATATGTTCTGGACCACTATTGCGAGGGCCTTGCCGCAATGCCAGATTTCCATAAACTCTCACAGATTGGGGAAACCTTTGTCCCGGGACCTCAATGTGGAGTTGTTCAAGCTCATACTTATATGCTGCTATCTAAGGCCGATTTCGTTGGGGGAGTCAGTATGTTATCTCGGGCCGCAAATAGGCAACCACCAGACTGGGAGAATTGTATGAAGACAGTATGGGAACACTGGCCCAAGTTAGACTCCACAGAGGCAAGTATCTAGAGACGTCAATCCGTCAATGGAGGCAGATAATCATGTTATTGCTGACACCAAGAAGATTCAGATACTAGCTGGCGGGCTTTCCCCGAAGGAGAATGTCGCGAAGTTCCACCACAATGAGATTGCCGAAGTATACTTACACTTGAGGGCAGAGGGCAGGATATGGGAATTTGGGGACTTGCTTCAAGTACTCCTACGTGGATCGCGAGAACCCGCTTGCCAAGTATTGGAAGTCTTACTTCATTGCGACCTTGGTGACGGTAGAGACCGTTTGATAAAACTAATCCAAGCTATCGAAGAGGATTGGAGCGTGGCCGAGACAAACGAGGAGACCTCCTTTGCTCTACTGGAAATATTCACAACTATAGTTTTGGATTCGATGTGTCAATCAGAGAATATCGGACTGGTAAACACGATATTCGAATTTTCCCGGAAGAAGGCACTGGATGTTCTTGAACTCAATCCAACCAACTCAAAGTCTCGACCATATCTTCGGTGGATCATATCGAAAGTCTTGCTGGAACAGTACCGCGACCCACGTATCACTGGCTTCTTCTCACTCAAGCGATGTCTCCACAACTTTCCTGGACACCGAATCGCTCCAAATTTGTCTGATCTTCCAAAACTGTGTATGATTTCGTATGCACCAGACGAAGATGAAGCCCCAAGGTGGAGTCCCGATCCAACTACTACGATCGGACACGATGAGGTCCTTCGAACGGTGCTTGGCGTGGCAGAAGAGCTTGGGGATGTTTGGATGCAGGCGACTTGTCTCCAGTTGCTAATTTATCAAAGCCCAGAGCCGAGAACTCTGCTTTACAGCCTGGATGATTTGTGGCGCTCGGCAGGAACACACCAGAGACATCTCGAAACCCGCCTGTATCGCTACATACCTGAAGCTTTAAGGACTACTGAAGACCGCGCTGGCCTCCAGAGACAGATTCTTCTGTCTGCCAAAGCTTCATCTCAAGGATTGAAGCCTTACGCAGAGTACATGATCCTCAGAGCGTTGGCAACTAGACAGGAGGAGAAGGACTCCTATCTCGAAAGAGCAATGGATGCCTTGAACTCATCATTCCAGGGTTATGTACCCCAAAGTCATACTCAGTTTCCCACTGAGAATCCATCGGCACGAAACACTGCAGGCCACGATTGGATAAATGGAAACATCTCAGCACCTCTAGGCGGGCCGTGGCAAAATATTCCATCTGGAACATCTGGAGAAGCGAACTATGTCGGCACACAATATCCACACATGGGATACGCACCGGCGCAAGGAAACACGTATGCAGCAGGCTTAGCTCCATTCCGAGAAACGAGAACGACGGGAAATCCAGGTTACATAGGTGTTCCCACAAACACTCCTTATGTAACCTCGAACGACCGATTTGGGTGGACAGGAGGAGCACAAAGTGGCCCTTTCGGCCAATATCAGACGAATTTTGGAACACCTTACGCACAGAATCAGTTCCCTCATCGTCAGCCACCGCAACCACCACCACCACCACCACCTCCTCCTCCTCCTTCTCCCCCTCCTACTAAAACCCCAGCTACTGGCACAAACTTCGACTGGGGAAGACAACATCCCTCTGGGCCAGGTCCAAAAACCAAACTGAAAAATGGTGGGTCACCCGGTCAGGCAAATAATCAAGCTGGGAGTGACAATCGCAAGCAGAATGAACCTGCTGACACCTCGTCATCGGACCAGAGTGACATGTTGGAAGTCTCAGATGTAACTTCCGAGTTGTATCTCAATAAGCATTAGGATCTATGAAGAGCTTAGCAAGAGAAAATCCTAAGACGATGACTACAAAGACTTACACGCACACATGACACAGGGGTTTCAAAGGAAATAGTCTGCCGCGTCCCGGAAGAGAGGAATGACGATATATGGGAAGGCTAGTCAGTGACTCACACGTGAAGCTTTATGTGAATGATGTGATTGCGACTGCTGCATGGATCGGGTCAGGCCTTCAACTGATGTTTCAATGTTGCATGCAGCATGTGCTCCATCGCGAAATCCCACCATCCACTTCATAAAGTATTATTTGACTGAATATATAAACTATTTACTTTAGGTGCCTTCGTCATATTTAAGTCTCAAAAATTCCAGAATCAGCTGTGCTTCTGTGATAAATCTTACCCTTGTGTTCCAATACCTCAGTTGGCTGAGTCAACTCGATAGCATCATTCTTTGGAAATAGTTCCCTTCTTTCACCAAGAATGTCCCGCAGCCAGAAGAGCTCGTACATGAGAATGAACCTGCTGACCATCGCCGATGCCATGTAGCGAGCCATGATCTTCAGACTATCCGTTGCGGAGATGAAAACAAGACTGGAAAACAGCATACTTCCGTAAATAAGATGACATGTACCTAGCAGAGACGTGAAATATGACAAGGCCATTGAAAAATACGTTTCGTCCTCATCAATGACTGCTTTAGTCCAATCCTTCTCATCTAGAGGTTTGAACTGTCGCAAAAGTACTTCTCCGATGTACCCACGACGAGTGCCCCTGGTGATCCGTGTTCGAGCCCACAAGCTAGCAGCTGCGGAGATATGAGAACTGATACCGATGATACTCCAAAGGAACTCCAAATAAGTCAGCTGGGGGGCGAGCATACTGACAACCATCACGCCCAGCTGATTGCAAAGTGTGTACGTGTTGATGATGGCCGCAATTGCAGCAAGGAATTCGACAGCGAGAGTAACCGTTCTAAGCGGTACGGCTGATCTTTCAGTACGTAAACGGTAGTGCCGGGGCTTGACCAACTTCATCGGGTTCATGTACTCGAACGATCGAACGGGATGGATGGCAGGCGATCCAGCTGCCACAAGTAGGGCAATGAGCGGTCTCTGGCCGATAACGCAGAGCGTCGAAGTCTCTTCGACGCTGTTACCGACTGTGGCGAGGATCGTCGGCATGAGACCGAGGACGACTGCGGCAGCTGCCATGTTGCTCATGATGTACTCAGACGTGTTGCCCAGAATACAGTTTGCTACGGGCTGAGCGAGCCTGTTCGTGTTGCCGCCTCCCGTAAACCAGTCGATGGAGGCATTCTCTCTCGGAATCGTTAAGTATCTCTCATACTCGGCGGAGCAGTTGCCCTCGACGATGGCTTCGAAGGTAGGCCCGAACTCAGGATACCAACTTTTGAATTGGTCTTTGGCAACATATATTGCAAGACATGGCCAGCAGAGAAGGGTAACGACTACGAAGGGAAAAAAGGATCGAGGCATCTTCGACATCGAGAGAAGTAATGCAGCAATGGCGATGGAGCCAGAAATAAAAAAAATCATGGAATATCTGACTAGAAATTGTACAGTTATGGCATGGAACTGATAGCAAGAGAAGAAATACTTCGAAACTCGTGAAAGCAAGGACATACCGGGACTTTTACTTGAAACATAAGATACTGCAGCCTTGGGCCTTGGAAGAGAAACATAGCATAACCAATGTTGGACAGGTTGAAAGAAATCTTTCCTGACAACCTCTGATGAATGCACATAAAGAACGCAGGACACAGAGCTGGACGGAAATGACATCCTTCGAGCCACCTTCTTTTCTAGGAAGCACCCAGGAGGTAGGTTAGAAAGCGGCATTCTTCCGACAAGTAAGCAGCCTCAAGAGGCAAGAGCCTTCACACTCGGGAGTCAAAGTGGTGTTCTCGTATGTATTCCTCCCAGTGGGTATGCTCATTTGACCATCATCCATTGGTACCAAGACATGGACCTCGGAGTTGCGAAGGCTACACAACTGAAGCCACATTCAGCACGGCTGATTACTGGAGTGATTGGAACCGATTCAACTCATCGAGGACGGTAACAAGCCTCTGAAAGGGTGTGCGGGAGAGCGAGACTGGGGTGTTATGGCTGTAGGTATTTATAGCAGGAAGTTCGAAGCTCAAGGACTGGGTCGTCAGATATGTTGACAAAGTAATTCTGTAAACGGAGAGTCGAGACTGACTCGTCCTGTATTCGGTGGAGTAAGATCATAAGCGCTCATCTTGATTGAACTTATGCATGTCAATTGCTATCGTAAGTCAATTTCTGCACAGAGTTATGATCGAGACCCTGCTGTCTAGCTTCCAGTGGTATTGAGTTGTGCATTTCAAAGGGAGGGTTTTCAGGACCATTTGGGCAGATAAATCTGTCTTAATTCAGCTGGGGCAAGTATCCACTCCACCAGCCGAGACCTTTACGGATTAACATCCAATGGATTACTCAGCTCGGTCTCGGTACGAACGGCTACCCTGCAACTTGCCGGATATCCATACTGTGGCTTCAGGCTCGCGCTTTTTAAGAACCAGCCAGACACGCTTAGACTTTTCACCTATTCACGACTTTCCCATAATCCCTCAGCAATTTTCACTTCGCCTTCCGCACCATTCAGTACAAACCACCGGGATGTTCATGAATTCTCCACATTCAAGGCGTGCAACCTCCCAACAGAGACGATTCGACACTGGCAGCTTCTGAGAAACAGCGTGGTTGAAGGGTAGCTTTGAGCTGCAACCGTGCTCACACGTAGCCGTCGGAGAAGGCGATCTAAGTCTCACAGAAACATCTACGGTGTTCAGCTTACTTTCCTCACCGTCGGCTCTTCGTTCCTACAACCTCATACCAAGCCGGAATGCCATTTCCGTTGCCATCCATATCTTACCCACCCTCCAGGGACGGGTTTTGGAATCCTGTCACAGCAACCATTAACTGGTGCGAAGAGGTAGGCTTGATGCGCAATATACCAAGAAGATCTGCAAACCTTCTCCCATCTGCTAGAACTTCACTGATTCTGATCTATCTTCCCAGGACTACTATGTCACTTCGTACGTGGCTGAGTTTGTCAATACTTTCACAAATGCGATATTCGTCTATCTGGCATTAGTTGGCATTTCCAGCTGTATTAGGAACAGCCATCCTCGCGTATTCCTGGTTGCATACGTCGGGTACATGACCATCGGTATCGCAAGCGTGGTCTACCATACCTCTTTGAAGTGTTCGTTGCCTCTGATGAAACCCTTAATCATGCTGTGCTACAGTACTAATACTCAAGAAAGACTGGATGCAGCTCTTTGATGAGCTGTCAATGATATACACCACATGCATCCTCTTCTATGCGGTATTTTCTCACGGAAAATCCTTGTTTGGCCAGGCTCTTCTGGGCACCTTCATCACTAGCTTGGCCATTTTCATCACCGTGTACTACCATTATCTCGGAGATCCCGTCTTCCATCAAGTCATGTTCGGAGTACTCACAGCCACAGTTGTCTTTCGAAGCATGTACATCATGGAGAAGATACTCCGGCCAAAGTCCACACCTCAGAGCAAGGCTGAGCTTCTCGACACGCAACTCCTCAAGAAAATGTGGACATTGATCACTTGCGGTCTTGTCTCCATAGCCATTGGATTTCTGGCTTGGAACCTTGACAACATCTTCTGTTCGCATCTTCGACAGTGGAGACGAGAACTCGGACTCCCCTGGGGCGTTCTCCTCGAGGGCCATGGATGGTGGTGAGTATCAGTTGGCATTGGGTGGCAGAAAGTAGCTGATGACTGAGCTAGGCACCTATTCACCGGTATTGCATGCTATATCAACGTGACTTACGGCGTCTGGCTACGCTATTGCAGAGACGGCAAGAAGGAAGAAGTCGTCTTAGCGTGGCCTTCGATGTTCGGCTCCATTCCCACTGTTGAGCGAGCGCAACATGGAGGACATCCGTCGAAGCCCGGATCTAAAACAGAGTGATCTTCAGTGCAACGACCGCTGGGACGAGGCTATCCAATACCAAGAACTGTGCCGGAAAAGCGGAACAGAGATGGCGGCGATGGCTTTGGTTGGGTGTCACAGTGTCTGAATTTTACCCACGGTCTGGCTCCAGAGAAAGGAGGGCCAAGAAGTGCCAGTGAGGGTGTGTAGGACAGCGAAGCGGCTGAGGAATATTGTCTGCGCTGACACCGCTTGGCTGTCAAATCGCAGACATGTCAGATAGGACTGTGCGGTGACATTTTCCTGCTAAGTCAATGGGGGGCGAAGGACGAGAAGAGGGAGCCACTCAAAACACACCAAGGCTTGGTCGCTACATGAGTGTTTAGGTGGGTGTGAGAAGCAGGCTACCAATCATGCTCTGAACTGGGAAACCGGTGTGAGGTGGATGTGACTGCATCCAGCAGACAATTCCAACAAAAGAATACACTTCGTTTCTCGTCACGGCGCATTGGTTTCGTTCCACGCAACTACACATTTGACCATTGACTTGACCCCCCTTCTCTTCTTTTTTTCTTTTTTTTTCAAAAGTGCTTATTTTCCCTAATAGAGATCAGCGCTTTACTTCAACAGAGGCCAGAAATGAACAGAGCTTGAACAAATCTCTGTCACTGAGATGAGCCATCCTAGCCAATAAGCTGCGGCGCCGACGCGCGCATGAGGTCTGCCAAGTGTTGTACAGACTCGAACCAACTGTCCAACACCCAAACGCTTGACTACTTGAACCAATCAGTTACTGTCCGGTAAATTGCAGCTGAGCATTGTTCACGGTGCTTCAATGGACGTTTCTCAAGACGGAGGGAGGGTAGTATCGACCCCTTCACTTTTCGGGCAAGTCCTAATCAATATCTTCATGTGTGCGGTTACACAGCATCAGGCTGCCAAACCAGTGAGCGGCCCCTGCGGGCCAAAGGACCTTTTGGAAAACTAGACCATCCGGTCTTTGTTTTCTCTCAGACGGAAAGGAGTGCCTCTTCCCTTGATTTGCAAAGTTTCCTCTGCAGTCTCTCATTATACTGCTACGGAGGCCGTTGAGCGACGACCGAGTGTTCCACGCCGTCAGTACACCCCCAAACATTCTTTCCACATCCAAAGTCGACTTGGAAGTTCTGTACGGCCAGCACCCTAAGGCGCATAAGCTCTGCCGTAGGCATGGCACGCCCATGGTCTTTTGTATGTCGCTGGCAGACTATCTTGGCTTTACTATCAGGCGTTTTCATTTCCACTGCAATATCCATCCCAGATGGTACCAATGCGTATGGCTCGTTCATTTCTCGCGATGTCAGAGAAGCAGTGCCAGACTATGTGATTCATCATGGTAGGAAAATGTCTCAACTACCCTCGCTTGTCTTGAAAGATTTCTACAAATTAAACCTGGCAAGATATCATGTCGATACTGATCTGCCCTCATACTAGCGCCACTGATATGGCTACACTCAGACGACCCATTTCGCCCGGCAGATATACTCGAACATGTTCGCCATACTACGCCGATGGTGCACATGGAGCCCATCAGGGGACTGCCACAACTTGATCTCGACAATTTGGCGCTGCTCAACGATTATTGGAACAACGGTCCAGTTTCACTGACTGCAAATGGCGACATCACCAGCCTTCCTGCTTGGCTTCTTGGAGAGACGCCAGACGAGTCGGGAAAGCTCCACAATGCCACCTCTTGCGTTGTCATCACCGTCGATCGGGGCTCAGAAGATCTGGATGCCTTTTACTTCTACTTCTACTCGTACGATCAAGGGGCAAACATCACACAAGTTCTACCACCTATGAATGGGCTGATAGAAGACACTGAGCACGGGATGCACTTTGGCGATCATGTTGGTGACTGGTCAGCTTCGTGATCAGATCTATATCAACAAGATTGTGTTCACTGACCTTTTGTTGGACAGGGAGCATAATATGATTCGATTTCACGACGGGAAACCTACCGGTATCTATTACAGTCAACACTCTTCGGGCTCTGCCTACAAATGGGATGACAAGGCCCTATCCGTGGAGAATGGCCGGGTGCGAGATCCCCCTGATCTTTTGACCGACTTCGACCACGCAGCTAACATTGTCTCAGCCCATAGTTTACAGCGCATGGGGTTCTCACGCGAACTGGGCATCTCCTGGGTAAGTGCGCCTTACTCTCTCATTTGGGGATTTTGTGTGATTAACGGCATTCTACCAGAGATCACGTTCACGACTCGGTCTTGTTAGACTACTGTGACGCAGGTCAAATTTGGGATCCTGTTTCCTCAGCATATTACTACAATTTCGATCCCGAAACGTCGCTATTAACGAGCATATTTCCAGCCGGCATGGAACGTTCCACCAACCTGACATCGTTCTTGTACTATTCCGGCATATGGGGAGATTTTCAGTATCCCGACGACCATCCACGCCAGAAGATTGTGCCGTATTTCGGCCTGAAGCGATACGTATCCGGCCCGACGGGACCGACCACGAAGCAGCTTGTCAGAAAAGGACTTTTCCCCGACCACCCAGAGAGGAAGAATTTTTTGCAGTGGGGAGTTAGCATATTCATGTCGCTGTATCCATGCTGTTTTCGGGGATGGAGAGCCTGGATTTCTGGCATCGCCTTCATTGGGATATTGATCTGCTTTGTCCTTGGGATCAAACGCTCTTTGAAATGGGCCAGGGCGCGTAAAGAGGGATACAAGAAGATCAGCACTGAAGAAAGCATGCCATTGCGGGAACTAGATTACCTAGAGGACAGAAGTTCAAATCATCGGGACTGAGAGAAAGGGCTTAGAGCGCCTGCTCCGTGATGCGAATCTCGGACGATTAACTGACGGATTCAGGCGAGGGTAGTATTCAGCGCCAAAGATCTTTGGCTTGAGTAACTTGTAACATAATTAGATCTAGTATGAATCACATGCACGTACACTATAGAGCTACGAGATTTCTTCTTTATTGATGAGTCTTGTGTTTCTCGAGTTTCAACGATTTTCTGCGCCCCTAGGCCCTTTCTTGCTTAGTTCAGCTTTCTCTTGCGACTCACCGAATGGTACCGGATTTGTCTCCTAACAAACCAAAGAGAATGCTGAGTCAAACTTCTGGATTTGAAGACCTGAAGTTTCTCAAGTCTAGAAGCTCAGGTTTTCGATACGGGCCTCGATCTGAGTATCAAAACTTTGGTCGGTCTTTTGGCCTTTGAATAGACGCAGAGTTGCCCACAGCTGCCTACCAGTAAGCATTCGGGCAGAGCCGACAAGTGAGTAAAGTAGATACCTACATACTTTAAGCATCCATTAATATTGTGTATGAAGTTCATCAGCCTGTAGGCAACGTCGCCTCGTCGACGAGCCTCGATGCCAAGCATGCGGTCTTGAAGCTTAACAGCCCGGGACTCAACACCACAGTCAAGGCTCACGTCTTTGAAGACCACTTCATTTGATCTGAAACGTTTACTCCGGACATCTTGGACAATCTTCTCCCCAACGCTCATGGTCCAAGCTGGCATACTAAGGCCATGTGGCGCACGACTAAGACCGTACGCAGTTAGTGAAAAGGTCCAGCCCGTCTAGGCGGTGCGCCTAAACTTGTGTTGAGGCTGCAAGACACTGTCAGCGTCTAGCCCACGTCGGGATAAGCGCCATTCCCGCACTCAAGGGATTGAGCTACCGGCTCTCAAGGGGGGAATCCGAGGAAGGAGAGGAGAAGAATGATTACAATCACAGAGCCTCCCTTTCACTTGGACTCGTAATGATCTCATAGTCTGTGCACTCAAACAACAAACAACATCCCATCGGCGAGCGAACACGACTCGAGCAGAGCTTCCCCGGGATATCGAACTCGAGAAAGCGATCCCATTGCATACTATACTGCAGTCCAATACGGAGGCAAGATGTCCGTATCAGCTTATCTCGCAGCTTTCGGCAAGGCATCGCCAGCGACGTACGCCCTCGGCACCGGACTCCTCGTCACATCATCACTCTTCTTTGGGAATATCGGGCTGTCTCTCACTGGGCCTCTTCCCATCATCAGAGATCAACTTGGCGCGTGCACTCTGAGCTCCAAGCAGAAGATCAAAGTATGGAGGCTCTTCTTCGACGAAGCCTCTGTGAGTGACCCCCTTGCTCACTGTCAGCAGTCATTTCAAATGAATGAGATGACGGTCTGTCGTGGTATGAGAAATAATGAGTACTGACGCCTTGCGCCAGAGATACATCATCGGCGGCACCGGCGTGACAGCGACGCTTCACCTGGCCGCCTTCGTACTGGGCGAATCGCCCGTATCCCGCAGGCTCGCCGTCATGTCGGCGCTCTGCAGCATCTGCATCCTGCCGTACACGCTCATCGCCATCATGCCCACCAACAATAGTCTCATCGCACTGGACGACAAGGTGGCTTTATCGGAGCTGGACAGGAAAAAGGTCGGGTGGCTGATTGAGAAGTGGGATCGGCTGCACAAGATCCGCTTCCTGATGTACGGGTGTGCGTGGTCTTTGAATCTTGCTGCGTTTACATCTTCTTTGTGAGCTGGTGCTTTGGGAGGAGTGATGAGATGCTAAGGGGTATTTGGCCGATCGCGGCATTTCCTTTGTCCTCATTTTTCGGGTTGGTTATTGGTTTGATGACTAGCGATAGCTCAGCCTAATGTTCCAGATGTAATGTTAAATTGGATATGAGTAGACACGATGAAACTGATAATCACTCTCTGACCAGGGCGAGCCATATCGCCCGCAAGATCAGAGTGAGGCTGAAATATCGGCTATGACTTGCAAAGACGGAAAAGCGTGACAAGGAACCCTGACGACTGCTGTTGACATGGCCAAACACACGAGTTCATAACAAATTCGTAGTCCAATTGTGTTTACTTAAGCTTGATAACAAGCAAGAATCCGTAGCCTATCAGATACGAAGTGCATGTGATGAAACCTCAAGGTCTCATGGCAAGAAAGCTTCCACGGAATGTAGACCCGGTGTGACCTGGAACACGTGCTTCGTCTCTCTTGAAGGTTTTGGGGGAAGAAACCTTGCCCCGATTTCTGGAAAAAGTCCGAGTCCCGGACTCCGAGGAAAGTTTGGCGGCAACTGCATATCACGAACTTTATGAGCCGATCGCCGTTGGCCGACCATACTGTGTAGATCCGACAGTTGTTTCGCCGGCATGTTGTGCCGTGATCCATATCCTGGTAATCTGCTATTTGACAATCTGATTTAAGGGGATTTTCGACTAGAAGTGTGCACCGACTACTAGCATCGTTATCCTAGTATAGGGTATTGCCGTCATGACAGCTGGTATGGCCTAGGACCCATTGGTGGACTTTTCACAAGAGCTAGGAGTCTGTACATCTGATGGCTATAATTCGAGACTAAGACTAAGTATTCAACATTTGACTACATCTGTCATTCACGTATAGAGACGGGACGGGACAATTGTTGAGAGAAGATTTTCCTTCTGTGTGACGACCCTGATGCCATCAACCCCATCCAAACCCGGAAGATGTGAGTCTATGTGGCCAATCCATGCGCCGCTGCCCAACCAAACTCCATAAAGACTTTACCAAATCATTTCCAGAAGCAGAAAAGCCCGGCGCTTATTGAAGCAGGCTCTACCTTCCCCCCTCTCGTCTCAACTCTACGACATTTCAGGGATCCTGGTGCCGAACGTGCGGTTACCCAACATCATGTCGAATATTCCCGTTGCTGTGGTCCCAAACAATGACCCCCAAACTCTGTCATGGAAGTGTCATAGAACCGAGGAAGCAGAATTCGGCCGTTGAAACGGCCCTATCGTCAGGTTTTTAAGCCATTCAAGTGCCATCATCATTCGATGATTGAAATAAGAAAACATCAAGAACTCTACAAGGCCAAAATCGCCACCGTGAATGTCGCGAGAAGGACCGCGAGTCTGAGTCCAGCACCGGAGATACCCTCAGCAGCAGCACTCTTGCCCGCACCAGGCAAGCCGGTGTTGTTCTGGCTCTGTCTGAACAGGGGATCCATCGTAGCATTCTTCGTGACAGGCACCTGCGAGCCCGCAACGCAGAACTGCGTGGGGTTGCTCCACGTGGCGTCGACGACGCGCTTCCACGCGTTGTCGGGCTTGAAGAGCATCTCGCGGCTGTAGAAGATGCGGCAGTTGGCCGGCTCCCAGAGGAACTGCAGCGGCGTCCGGGCGTCGGACATGCTGTAGGCGTTCTTTGCGTTGATGGCACCGGCGCTCTTGGGTGTGGTCGCGCGCTTGATGGCGTAGCCCTTTGCCAGCTCGCCGAGCTCGCCGTTCATGATTTCCTCCTTCTTATCCTTGGGCGTGAGGGCGATGATGGCCTTGGCGTCAGTGGTCATGTCGTTGAAGGCGAAGACCTGGGCGCCTTCAACACCGGCGATAGACTGCATGATGCCAGCTTGGGGACGGCCGCCGATGACGGTGGTCTTGATGCCCATTTGGAGGATCATGAGGTAAGAGAAGATTGTGCAGGTGGAACCGCAGGTACCATCGGTGAAGAGGACCACGTTCTCAGGGTCGAAGACGCGAGGGGGCGGGTTGGCCTTGCTGCCAACGCCAGTAAGGTTAAAGGTGGGGTCAGTCTGGTTGAGCGGTGCCTGCTGGTACGCAGTGAAGGTGTCACCGTTCAGCGAGACCGGTGCCAAGATCTGGTCGACGGTCGTGAAGGCGGCTTCGTCGGGCGTGTAGACACCTCCTGGAAGCAGGTTGCTGACAATGGAGCTGCCGCTCAGAGCCTCAATGGCATCCTTCTCCTCGGGTGTGGTAGGCGTGAAGTTGGCGGGGATAGCAGCAGAAAGACGCGCAAGATTGGTGAGACCTTCGGACAGACGCAAGTTGTTGGCCTGGAAGCGGTTGACTTCAGGGAACAGCTATCATGACGGTTAGCAGGGCAGAAGAAGTAGGCGACAGTATGTAACAAACCTGAGCGAAGAGTTCGTATCCAGCGACGACGAAACCACCGCCGTTGGCGGCAACGTCAATGACGAGGCGCTTCTTTCCGGCTTCCTTGCTCTTCTGCAAGAACGTGGCGACGGTGCTTTGGAAGTTGGTCAAGTACTCAGTAGCGTCAATGGAGTCGGGAGGAGCGAAAGATGAGACAGCGAGCACGGCAACATCTTCGTAACCCGTTCCGTTGAGGAAGTAACCAGACGTGGTGTTGGCACCGCTGTCACGTACAATCGGGAAGGGGTATCCCTCGATTGTCGGCTTGGGAGGGGGCGGCGGGCCAGAAGTCTTTGGCGGTGTCGGCATCGTCTGGTTGGGCTTCATGCCGGGCTGCGACGGCTGGGGCTTGGCGGGCGAGTCGGGGTTGCAGAACTTGTTGTAGTAGTCCTCACCACTGTTGACGCCAGTAAAGTTGGCGCCGGTGCGGATGAGCGCGAAGCTGTCCTCCGAACGCTCTTCGCCATTGTCATAGGTGATCGTCACCTTGGGGCCCTGGAAGGCGAGGGAGGCGGCAACGACGATGAAGCTCTCCTTAGAGGCGTATGACTTGAAGTTGGCGTTCCATTGCGAGTCGGGGTCCTGGTAACCGCTGAACTTGAGGTTCAGGTCTGAGATCATAGTGGCGGCATCTCTGCCGTTGATTCTGACAATAGCGGGGGCGGTGGAGTTGCCATCAAGCTGGGCTGTTGTGAATTGTCAGTATTGAATAATAAGGTATGAAGGGGTTACGTTGGGACTTACCAAGATGGTACAGCTTAGGCACTTCGACACCATCACGCGAGACCGACACAATATCGGCAGCGAGGTTGTTGCGGAAGCTGAAGCCCTTGAACACATCACCGCGGAAGGCAAAGTGACCGTCGTGAGCCGAAGCAATCAGCTGGAAAATGGCAAGCTGGAACTCGTATTCGCTCTTGTAGGAGCCGGCCTCTGCCTTCTTCTCAATCTCGTCCAGTCCGCCTTCGATATCGGTGGGCGGCAGCATGTACGACGCCGGCGGATTCTTGAGCCATGACAGCGTCGACTGCCATTGAACGTAGGCCTTCAAACTCTTGATGAGGTCCTTGGCCGGGCCCTTCTTGTTCGGCACCGTCTGGAGGCAGTCAAAGGCCAACTGAGCCGGGACTTGGGGTGTTGCTGTTGGTTGGGAGTAGACTTTGTTAGCGGATTTGCTACTATGTTTGCTTCACACCATGACGTCCGATACTTTTACAGAGGATCTCGGGGAACATCTGGCGTTCCCCGCTGTACTACTTGGTCTTCCCCCCCAACATAGAACATAGGCTCTTCCAACGTACCTTTCGGGCTCGCCATGAGGAATTGTTGGACCTTGGGCTGAATCTGAGCACATGCTTGGGCGTTGCCGCTAGGAACCGTTCCATTGGGAGCGCTGGGCGTTGTCGGCGTTCCGCTGCTCGTGGGAGTTGGCGTTTGTCCCGGGGCCTGGGGAGCCGGCGCCGCCAACACAACGGCGGCCGAGGCCAAAGTCCACCAAGTGATTCTCATCTTGATCGTCTGCTCGCGAGGTCTTCTTGTTTCCCTGTCTCTTCTCGTCTTTCAAATCTCCCTCGTTTACTTCGAACTGTCACACCTCTTCAAAAAAAAGAAAAAATAGAAAAGAAACAGATAGCACAGCTATCGGCGAGGCCAGCTCAAAGTCTCGAGACCGAGACGGGCACTGAAAGGAAGGGAAATGATGGGGCTGGAAGCAATTCGCCGAAGCCTGAGGAAAGAGACTCAAAATGAATCACGACCGGCGGGATCGACGAGCACATGGGGTTTTAAGAGTTGCATTGTCCTCTTCCCTCCATTGCCTTCTGGACCAGTTTCCGAGGTCGAAGGGTAACTCGCGAAATAGGCCGGGTCCCGCTCATTCGCTCTCGTTATTCCCTTGGCGGCGGGCGTTCTGCGTCTCTTGCGGCGCGCTGTTTACCCCCATGCCCACACACGTCCCAAAATTGTGCTCCCAAATCATGAAGCCATCATGAAACACGACAACCCTCACATCTTCAGATAAGCATCCGCGCATCCTGGGGGCCCCGACGCTGCAAGATTTAAACTCGGACATCATGCAAGGACACCCCCCTCTACGACCCTCCTACTAGTTAGGAATACGGCCAGATCTGTGCACCAAGGCAAATACAGAAGAGGCCTAGGGCAGGCCCCTCCCGAGGCTAGACAGGCAGAGTGCGGCGACATTTCAGAGGGAAAGAAGAGGGCCCCCGTTCTGTTGCTTGGCGGTTGATTGGGTTGATGTTTCGGTGCAAATCGGGAGAATTCAGTCTCTGTCTGAAGTTCAAAGACAGGCCATCCTCGACAACACACTTCGATACGAGATATCAATGAGTGATACCTACTCGCGCCGGCTATCTACCGGGCTGGGCGTCTGAGGCTTGAAGACTGAGCAGATCAACTGTGTTTTGTGCTGTGTCCTCTTTTCCGTGCCTATCCTCCGTCTCTTCCATTCTTCCCGTGCTCTTTCCCCTCATCCCACCCTCCTTCATCCCGCCAGAGCCTCATTGTCCTTGTCCCAAGATCAACACAATCAAATCCGTATCAGCTCGGTCGCGGAGAATGGGAGCGGCCGGTCAAGCTTCTCGTCGCCTCACCCTTGGCGAGGATTCTTGGCAGCCCTACCCTGCTGTAGCAGATCCCGCCGGAGGAAACGCATTCCGCACCAGTCACGCTCAACCCCCACCACCACACCACTGACTCTGGGCAGAGCCAGATCTTGTGTTGCATACAGGCAAGGAACCCGACTCATGTGCTTCTCTCCTGGACCATGGACCTTAACCCATCTGTCTCGGTGACGCCCGGCGCTAGCTCGGATCGAACCCCACGGGTCCTCCAAGCCAGTAAACAGCCCTAAACACCTTTAAGCTCACCTTTGCTCCGTGGATTAAAACAGAGTCAGGGGATCACCCCCCACGACCAGACCTCATTTGAAATGGCCCGTCCGGTCCATCGTCCACCCAACTTGCACCGGGGACTCTTTTCTTCTGCACAGAAGCCTGTGAAGAAGTCGTAGCAGCGCGCACGGATAAGAGCTCTAAGTCAAGCTGAGGCGGGCAGTTCTTACACACAATACACGCGATGAAAGGTCATGTCCCTCGTGTCCAAATCTGGTCACGATGGTTTTACCATTGCCCGCTTCGTCTGGAACGCTTCTACCCCGCCACAGCGGAAGAAGCCTTATTCACTTGACTCCTTTTTGTTGATCAACAAGCCCCCCTCCCGCTCCAACTGAAGCTTCGTTAAAAAAGGGTAAACTGGCGAAACTCTAGGTGCCTCGTACGATAAGGTAGCAACCGGGGAACCGATCAACTATGCCAAGCGGGATGTTTGTCGATCGAAGCTTCACTTTCTTCGCGCAAATCCTATAACCAACCCCGCGGTGGTACGGAAACCATGGAATGCGGATAATCAAAAGCCAATTCGATATCTCATCTTCAGTTACGAGAACGACAAACAATATGTTAGAGAGAAAGGTAAACAGCCAAGTAGTAAGCAAACGAACTTGGCGAGCCGCTCGACCGCTCGCTCCCTCACTCAAATCAAGCACGGGTATCTCAGCATCCGCTCCTCTGTCCAGAGTTCCAAAGTCCAAACACCGCCCCAGCCGTCTCTTCCACGGACGGTAAAACATATGAGTAAACTCCCCTCCTTTCTCCTCTTCTTTCTGCCCCCCTCGCCCGAACTATCTTACCGTCCGTTTGGACGTCGGCCGTACCTTATCCCTTCCCTGTCCATCCATGCAATGCGTCCATCATGCCTCACTCTTCTTCCCTAGCCAATCCGCCTCAGACGATGACACCCAAGGCCTCCATTCCCAGTACTCCCATAGCCAAACTCAATCCAGCCCCCGCAGCGGCAACGCCCACTAGGCCTGGACCAGTGCACCGCGCCGCGGCGACACCTCCGGTGCTTGAGCTGGGGGACGCTACCCCTCCCGTGGCCGTCCCTCCAGCCCCGCCACCGCTTCCGCCGCCGGACACCGGACAGCTCGCCGTACAAGGCAGAGCAGAAACAAAGGGCGTGGGAGCCGCGGTCCCCGTCTCCACCGTCCCTGTGACCGTGAAGACGGGCGACTGCGCCACGGCCGTCACGTTCGGGGCAGCGTTAGGGGCGTCAACGTTGAGAACCGCGTCAATCATCTGCACAACGCCGTTGGCAATCAGGATGTTTGTCTGAATGAGCCGCGCCGAGTTGACAAAAATATCGTTGTTGAACAAGGTAATGTCCAGGCTCTTGTTCCCGGTAGCAGCGGTCGCGAACTTGGTCCCGTTCTCCAGCGAAGACGCCTGCACCACTCGTGAGGGTGCCAAGTGGTATTGCAATACGCGGCGTAACGCCTCCTTGCTCATACCCGAAAGCGTTCCCGCAACCTGCTGGAAGGCAGCATTCCGCGGCGCGAAGATGGTGACATTAGGCGTCTCAGCAAATTCAGCGACAAGGTCGGCCGTGTACAGCGCCCCGAGAAACGCCGTCAGGTCCTGGTAGGCGTCGCGGGCGGTGGTCTCGAGGCGCGCTGGCGTGACCATGAGGCTGTCAATGATCTGGACCAGCCCGCCGTCAAAGGGGACGTCCGTCTCGAGGACTGTCGTGCGGGATGCGACGCCCGATGTGATGACTACATCGTTGTTGGGCTGTTTTGTGACGAGGACGGTCTGGCCGCCCGTTACGTTGGAGTAGCGCACGTCGGTGAGAAGGGTGGAGATGATGCTCGAGTCGCCTGGGGAGAAGGTGTTGAAGGCGACTTTGGAATCGAGGATGCCGTATTGGAGGGCGATGGCGATGGTGTCCTTGTTTGAGTCCCAGCCTTGGCCTTTGAGGTATGCTGAGTCGCTTGGGGCGAGGATCTAGCGTTGGTAACATGGTCAGTAACTATGTTGCGCATCGCAGTCAGGGCATTTTGACATCTATGCGTTGGGCTATTGCTGAAGTGCCATGTTCCAGGGGGATGGATTGCATCAAATGTCTCTTTCCTGACTGGCCTGAAAATGCGACATAGAAACGAAAATAGGGTGAACCTTACCGTGACACCGGATTTGGGCAACTTCGAGAAGATATCTGCGTGGTCCTATATCGAGAGTCGTTAGCTGCAATTGCACTGAATGTGTATGAGGCTCAACCAAGTCTAGAGTCTACATCGCAAGTTCGCCCAGGCACCGAGGTCCGATCGTTGGCTGCTTGTTGCGCATGCAATGCGCAAGAGACACATGTCTCGGACCTGGACCCGCGGATAAAGGTGCGTTGGAGATCTGAGCGTGTAGCGAAGAGTCGCTGTTCTCTTTTCTTCTTACCTTGACCAGTTCGCGAAACGTTGTTAGATTCGCTTGCTTGCTGAGTACTTCTTCTAAACTCTGGGCTTCGACTGTGGATATGCCTGATACCACCAATGCGACGGTAGCCCACAGGGCGTTTGTAGATGGCCTCATCGTGAGGAACGGCTCGCGTGCTTGCTTTAGAGGGACCGGAGATTAAAGACCGAGACCCCAAGGATGATTGCTTAGAGAAGAGGCGATGGCGGCGCGGTTATAAACATCTGCTGCATGCCCGGCAAAACTGGCAAACGAAACACACAATCGTCGTTACCAGGACGGGAATGTTTGTGAAATCAAGGGACCAATGGATGAGAGGAACGAAAGAAGGTCTGACAGAAAGCTCCGAACGTGGAACAGGATGCAGATGACATTTTGAAGGGCAACTAGCTAGATCTTCTTTCTCTTTACAACCTTCCCAATTCGCAATCCCGCATCCCGCATCGAGGCGGCGACGCGGGCCTGGACCCCTGGGTTGAAGCAACGGGACAGGGTCGCAATGCAGCATGGCAATAGGATCGCGGGCCCTTTGCTGGGCAGACTATTTCGTGGCGTCGTTCAACGCGACCCTGGCACCACTTTTCGAACAATCAAACACGCCGTTTGAGTCTTGACAACTTTCTAAGCTTCTCAGCTCTTTCCCCGGTTGAAAATTGGCTTGAAGGAGCTGAGAGCTCGAGATGCAGCCAATCTGAGGGTGGCGTTCGACTCTTTGCGACTTTGCAGGATCGTGCGAAAACGTGGTGAAAGGGGTGATGAAAGGAAGCTTAGGACGCGGCTTGGACAGGTGCAATTAAACTGGAAGGGCTGAGAGGTGGTCAAAGAGGGAATGGCGGCGCGTTCGTTGGGGTGTTTGGCTGCGCTGCCACGCTGGTCAGCTTTTAGCGTCATGTTCTTGTGCCTGGACCAGAGCCAAGAGGGTGCATCGCGCATGTGTTGTAGACGAACCGGGGTGTCTGGGGCCCCTCTGGGGAAAGGTCATTCGTTGAGAACTTCAACGAGAACCAGCGGAATGGCATACAGGCAGGACAAGATTAGGCCGAGTTGAATGCGACTGTGAGTCTGTGCCTGGATGATGGGCTTGGAGCGGCGCGGGAGATCTTCATTGTGTGGGCGGCATGTGGGCAGTTCATGTCCAAAGAAGATTGTGGACGAGGGAACTCCGTCAATCCAATTACTCAGTCTCCTTCAAGTAAGATGGTCGATGGACACTACAGTGATGGAGTAGTCAACTCCCAAAGCCATATCCTGGATGTTTGAGCTGTCAACCGGGATGTTCTGAGTAAGAACCGTCACCAGATCACCAGGCTATCCGTCAGGCCCTGGATGGTGTTCGAGGTATTTTCGGAGCCTCGAAACTGTTCAAAGACCAGGGGGCGCAAATCGGCGGCACGGCTCAGCTGCCAAGCCAATACCCTGCATCTTATTGATGATTGCATGTCAGGCTGCAACAAAATGTGACTTAAATTGGCCACGACCGGGTTCACGACGAAAAGTGGCCGGTTCTACGGATATCAACCATCCTTTACGGTTATTATAGGCATGCTCCTGCGCTCTCGGAGTTCTACAATCATCGGCCCCGCTTTATTCTCGGCAGACCCGACCCGGTTCTTCGGCGCCGCCCATGCCGCGTGGATCTCGGCTGTCAGCTTCGGTGGGCTCCCTGGCCGAAAAGGCGATGTAGTTGTGGCTTAGCAGCAACAAGCGCCGCTTTCGGCAGCTGTCAATGATGATCATGATAGGCTTCTCATGTTCACAGCCACGGGTGGTGATGCAATTGAGCAGAGGATCCGCTATTTGGGACTTTGGGATCCCAGTTTCTGCATACCTTTGCTCGTTGCCTACGAGAATGGGACTACAAAGACATTCTGGTCTGCACATTGATGGACACGCTAAGTTTCCCGTTTGGCAACACATTTCAAACTTCCAGATTAAACAATGTCCTACTCTCCAGAAAAACAAAAAGAACCGGTATACTCCTCAACCGCCGACGCCGGCCTAGGAGCACCTCCATCTTACGAAGAAGCCGTGCCGACCGCCGCGCAAGACGCCCTACCAGAATACGACAACCTATCAGACAACCTCCACGCCGAAGTCGGGCCCTCATCCTCCACAACTCTCAAAGCCGCAACACACAAGTTCCCGCCTACAATAAACTGCTACTTCCAATGGGCCTTCACGCGAACTTTCATCCTAGGACCCTCCAATGAGGAGAGACTCTTCGCCGCCTCGCCGCACGCGGGCTGGCGCACCAAGAGGCGAGAAATCATCCTCCACGATGGGCCTACAGACAAGCACCCCGTCCTCGCAACGATCGGCAAGTGGTGGGCTGCAAAGGCTCAGACGCCTGCGACGATCGTAATCCCGCCCCGGGAAGAACGCGGCGAGACAAGCGGGTTTGAGACGGAGATTACCGGGGTCCCGTGGGGCTTGGACCAGAGTTCCGCGCGGGTGTTTTCGATGACTGTCGGGGGGAAAGAGACGGGGACGGAGGCTAGGACGGAGAGGTTTCAGTGGAGGGGCAGTCGGGGCGGGGAGGTCTCTGAGCTTGCTCACGGGGGGACGTATGGGTGGAAGTTGGTTAGGTTGAACGAAGTTGCTGAGGGCGCTGGGGGGAGCAGACGGGAGAGGGAAGCTGGATGCACGAGCGATGGGCACGAGATTGTTGCTATTCTGGCGACAAACTACAAGAGTTTGACAAAGGGGCTGAAGTTTTCGTTTGCTGGGTCAGGGTTGACGGGGATGTTGGGGGAGAGGTGGGAGATTGTTACGGTTGCGACTGCGTTGTGGACTTGGTATACTCACATTGAGGGCACGGAGGGTTCTTGATCTTGATGACGGATTCGGATGGGAGGAAATTTGTCTTTGCATTTACATATACCCTTCTTAATCCGAGCATTGCTTAGAACACCACGACTTCGCCTTTCACTGAGGATATGGAACACCTTCATCGTTCTGTTCATCGCTTACCTTACAGCAAGCATTTAACGTGACTGCAACATTTTACATTGCTCAATACGACTAGGTGTCCTACCGCGAGGCTTTGTGTGCATTGGATTTGCAAAGACGATGCTCGGCTGTCACCCTGATTACTCGGCAAAGGCTGGGAGCAGCCGAATCTTTCACGGGGCCGTCGACCCCGGTGATCCCAACGCCGTTTCCTGAGCTGGACCCCGCTGGGATTCAGTATCAACCCCGCAGCAGAGCATGAAAATCGTTCCTTACCTTAGGTAATCACCATGTCCTCCAAGGGCGCGTTATCAATTCTATTAAAGTAATGGCTTTCATTTTCCTGAAAGCATCATCTCGTCAGACTCTAGATTACCCAGGTTGTTACCGTTCGAACGCAGCAAGCTTTAACCGTAGCCATGCCATCGTCTAAGAAGGATAATGAGGAAATCTTCCGTAAAATCATCGACAACTGCAACGCGGGCAACGAGGCCGGCCTGGAAGTCCTCCTCCACATGACCTGTATCGGAGTCAACGGAGAAGACTGCTTCACCGGCGATTTCGCGCATCGCCTAAACAGACCATTGGGGCCGAACAGCACCAACGCGGTGAAAATCGATACGATTCTAGTTGATGGGAATTCTTCACATCTTGTCGCCCGTCTCATCAACAGGACGACGCTGCTGGACTCTGGTACGGTCTTTGAGTACGCAGAAATCGTTTTTGCTGATTTCATGAACGATTCCCTCCTCGGATGGCGGTCACTACGGGACGAGGACGCAATTTTAAGCCGGGAACACTCTTCGATTCCTACTATTACCCCGCCGCGGGATGTGGCTCCGCCGTCATCCAAGGTATCAGTGCAGGAAATGAAGTCGTTCTACCAGGAATATATCAAATCCATCAACGAAAAGACAATGACACGAGACTTTGCGCAGTTTTGTCAGCCAGAGTTGATTCATAACGATCGCAAGCTCTCTATCGCCGAGTACATACCCCTTATCAGCGAGAGCCAAGACGCCATAGACGACCTGTATTTTGACATCGACATGTTGATTGCGGATGAGGAGACCCAGCAGATTGCGGCGAGGCTTGAGTTTACGGGAACTCCTATCAAGGAATGGGGAGGTGCAAAGCCCAATGGCAACAAGGTTGAATTTCATGAGCATGTCATCTATCAGTTGGTAAGTGGGAAGATCTTAAGGGTGTCGTCGGTTATAGAGTTGGATGTGTATCGAAAGCAGATGAGGTGATCCGTTCATGGAAAGGAAGCCGCATTACATTCGTCATGTTATGGTACGGTACTTTGCAACTATTGGGCAATCGATGTAGCTGAGCCCTTCAGTCGGCCGCTCACAACACAGCGGCTATCGAGCATTGGCGATACGGTTGGAATTGGTATGGCGGAATGACTCTTCCAATACAGCTTTCTTCATTGGAGAAACTTCGCCTGTGTAATTATGCTTATTGAATTTTTGCTCATACATCCATTCCAGTTGTGCGCCACAGGACCTGTCCTTGGAGTCTCAAATGGAACTCCATCGTAGCCCGAATCTCACGGGGCTTGGCTTGCTACCCGTACCAGCTAACCATCACCTATTTGACTGATGAAAACAAAGCCTATGGATGATCAAACCACCTGATGAAGTTGCCGCCTGCTATCTTGGTCTCAGTGGATGTAGCGGCTGAAGCTTTGACAGAGATTTCGAAGAAGCTGATATGGGCAACTCACCTTTCTACATCTGTCTTGATGAGCAAGTCTTGTCACATCTCTCAGCCTGCTATATCAGTCGACCAAACTGTAAACCTCTAATTCCCAATTTGCGTTGCGCATTGATGCATGTAGCATATAGCACCAAACATATCTTACATTGACGTTCAGCTGACCCACTGAGATTCTTCATGTTCCTGCGCAAGCTCGTAGTAGTGGCGTCCCCGGCATCGTTTCCTTGAGACTTTTACTCGTTGGATAGATAATCGATTCCACCGTCACATGCGGAGTTTGCGATAACGGTAAAAAAGATTTATCCATAAGTCTGACCGCATGATGTCAGACAGAAAAGTACACATACCCACGGCGGGAGCGGCAGAGTGGGAGACCTATCTGCCCTTGCAGGCTCGTGGCAAGTCAGAAGGAACGGCAGATGAGCTTCCAGACGAATGCCCAGAGATGCTGCATCTTGCATCGAAGCGGTCCAACCCAATCTCAAGAGCCCAGGCGAGCCCAGGCTTTATTGCGGGGTATTGGCATAAGATATGTAAAGCTAAGGTAATGGTGAGGACTTGATGACTGTCAAACTGTCGATGACTTGCTGCCCCATCGGCTTGAGAAAATCACAAAGCCCGAAGACACCATAATCAAGTCATGATGCATGCCATGCTCTCATCTAGCGTCAGGCACGAAGTGCTCGCAGACATGGGGTAGGCACACTCTCTTTGGCGGTAAAAATGAGCGCCCCAATATTGTTGTTGATGCGCTCGAATGAGAGGTCGCCATCGCCACGCTCAGAAACCGGTAGATGGCTAGGGTGGATCCGGGGGATATCCCAGACGAGGCCGCGGACCGCTCTCTATTTCTCCAACTTCCCCTCATTCTTTTCATCCCAAGAAGTCAAAAGTTCTGCCCTGGTCTCCTTATCCTCCAGGTATTTCCCCACAGGAGCGGAGGAGGGGAAGCTTGCAAGGGGGACTGAAATAACGTTGTCCTACTTTCGCGTTCGCGCGCGAAGCTTCAGACATCAACCGGTGCGCGGCCGATGTAACGGTACGCTTCATAACTTGCGCGCAAACGCCCAATCCAAGCTGCTGTTGCTTCTACTCCGGGCCATAGACCCTTGCTCTTTCAGTGCTCGCAGATGAAGACGCGAAATATCAACCGAGCCGAAGCAAAGAAGGCCCCCCCTAGTATCCGTAGAGTCCGCGGGGCAAAAGTCTTGCCAAGATTGCTCGTCCTCGGCCCTGAAGCCACCGACAAGCGACGCTCACGATGTGGGTTCTGCCGTCTGGGCGAAGAGACGTTCACGCCGGGTACCACCTTATCTGAGCAGAATGCGGGGTGGTCAGGCACATCAGGAACACCGGTTCATTGCGAGACGATCTTTCCCAAAGGCCCTGTCTATCCGGGCGAAATGAGCACATGTTCTTCCTCCACCCGGTTCGCATGCGATGCTACGCAAGTATGGCAACATTTTCCCCGGTCCATTGAGTCCCGTGGGGATCAGCTCATCATGGAGTCGGGGAGCTTGGGGCTCCTTATAAAGAGGATGTTCCTTCGTGGCGGAATTGACGGCTTCTTTTGTTTGACACCCTCGCGTCATTGCAACCTCAATCTCAAGCAATAGGGAAGCAAACATGGTGTCGCTCAAGTCGGCCATTCTGGCCGCTACTTATGCCGTTTCGGCTGCTGCTGTCGATGTCTCCATCAAGGCATCGGGTGGCAATGCTACCAGTGGTCACCAGTATGGATTCCTCCACGAGGTTTGTTCTTCAATGCCGTTTGTTGCTCGAAAGCCTTTCATCTAACATCTGCGACCTCAAGGACATCAACAACTCTGGTGACGGTGGAATCTACGCCGAGCTGATCCGCAACCGAGCCTTCCAATTCAGCCCCAGATTCCCCGTCTCCCTCGACGCCTGGCACGCCATCAACGGCGCCAAGCTCACCCTCAAGAACCTCACCGAGCCCCTCTCCTCCTCCCTCCCCGTCTCCGTCAACGTCGCCGGGGGCAACGGCTCCGGCGCCATCGGTCTCGAGAACGATGGCTACTGGGGTATGGACGTCAAGGTGCAGAAGTACACTGGCTCTTTCTGGGTCAAGGGCTCCTACGACGGTGTCTTCACCGCCAGCCTCAAGTCTGCTCTCAACGATGACGTGTTTGGCTCTGTCGAGATCGAGTCCAAGGCCTCAGCCGACGAGTGGGTTGAGCACGAGGTTGAGCTCACTCCTGAGAAGGATGCTCCCAACAGCAACAACACTTTTGCCATTACCTTCGATCCTGCGGTACGGACCTCTTGCATAACTCCAAACTGAGCCACATATACTGACGACTCGCGTTCAGGGCGCTGCCGACGGCTCGCTGGACTTCAACTTGATTAGCCTCTTCCCTCCTACCTACAAGGGCCGCAAGAACGGTCTTCGTGTTGATATCGCCGAGGCTCTGGCCGGACTTCACCCCGTAAGAACTTTCCCCGATCTCTTATAAAAAGAAACACTTCTGACTGGTAGATAGAGCTTGCTTCGCTTCCCCGGTGGCAACATGCTGGAGGGCTTGAACAACGGCACCTACTGGGACTGGAAGGACACCCTTGGTCCTCTCAAGGACCGCCCCGGTTTCCAGGGTGTCTGGGGCTACCAGCAAACCCACGGCCTCGGTCTCGTCGAGTATCTCGAGTGGGCCTTGGACATGGGCCTGGACGTCGTCATCGGCGTCTGGGCCGGCCTCGCTCTTAACGGCGACGTGACCGCGAAGGAGGATCTCCAGCCCTTCATCGACGACGCCCTCGACCAGATTGAGTTCATCCGTGGACCCGTCGACTCCAAGTGGGGTGCCCGCCGCGCCGAGCTGGGCCACCCTGAGCCTTTCACCCTCGAGTACGTCGAGATTGGCAACGAGGACTGGCTCGCCGGATACCCTGGCGGCTGGACCTCTTACAAGGAGTACCGCTTCCCCATGTTCATGGAGGCTATCAAGGCCAAGTACCCCGATATCACCGTCATCTCCTCCGGCGCCACCACCGACGGTGATGGTTTCGAGATTCCTGCCCCCGGCATCGGTGATTACCACCCTTACCGCACCCCCGACGCCCTTGTCGACGAATTTGACCGCTTCGATAATGACATCGGCCACATTGTCGGCGAGGTCGCTGCTACGCACCCCAACGGCGGCACCGGCTGGGACGGCGACCTGATGCCCTTCCCCTGGTGGATCGGCACCGTCGGCGAGGCCGTCTCCCTCATCGGCTACGAGCGCAACGCCGACCGCATCCCGGGAACATTCTACGCTCCCGTTCTCCGCAACATGAACCGCTGGCAATGGGCTGTCACCATCGTCCAGTTCGCCGCTGACTCGGCGCTGACGACCCGCTCCACCAGCTGGTTCGTCTGGGAGCTCTTTGCCGCACACCCGCTGTCGCACACTCTCCCTACCGTTGGCGAGTTCGGCCCCGCATACTGGGTCGCTGGCAAGAACGAGGCCAAGGGTAGCTTGATCTGGAAGGGTGCCGTGTACAACACTACCGACAGCGCTGATGTTGATATTAACCTCGCGTTTGAGGGTGTCACTGCTGGCACTACTGCCTCCTTGACTGTTCTGACGAATCCCAGCGGCGACCCGTTCGCGCACAACGATCCCCTCAACGGTGGCGAGACTACTGTCGCTAGCAACACTACTACTGTCGTTGCCAACGCCGATGGTGTCTTCACCTTCAGTCTGCCTGAGCTTAGCGTTGCTGTTCTTGATACTGAGGGTTCCAAGGGTAACCAGACTGCCCGCGCTATCAGACGCTTCCACGCATAAATGATGGGGAAGAAAGGATAACGGAACCTGGTTCGTAATGCGCTTTGTAGAACTTGGATAAGAAATAGTTCAAAAAAAAAAACAGGACTTTGATTAACTACATCTGCTGCATTGCTGTCCTCGAGTGTACCTCAACACCAGGCGGGCGGGTTGAGGCCGAAATGGAGTGTGCCAAAGGCAAGACCCAACCCTTGATGTGTCCAACGCTAGAATCATGTGCAAGCAAAGTATCCTGAGAGGTAGGTCGTCAAAGTAGCCTTTTCCAATCACTTCTCACTTGGATGATGACGAAGATACGCGGGCGGTTGCCTCCTTTCTCACTAATGAGGCAGTGCAATTGGCCTCGGGGCGTTGCATGTTATGCGGGCTTACCAGTCAGCCACTGGCATTTTTGTGCAGCTAAAGAACTGCTACGACGAATAGCAAGACGATTCGGCCACAGCACAGCGGAAGCGCAGCCACATTTGAGTACATAGGTAGGTAGGCATCCTTAGCCCACCTGATCCTTTTTAAGTTGGACGGCCAGGCACCGAGGCTGACTTTGTGTTAAGTACAGCATGGCTTTCTCCGATGAAGTCGAGACAAACACAAAGATGTTTTCCTTTCTCTAACAAACAACACAGTTGATTGAGTCCCAACCTCACTCCATTGCCGCTCATCATGTCTAGGTGGCACGAACGCGGTTGCACCCGACCTGATGTCGTGGTCTGCGGTGGCCTTCCGTGCTGTCGATTTTGTTACGGAGTAGCATCGATTGACGACGTCCAGTTCGATACTTCTCTCAAAACAAGACAAGCTCCTTTCCTTGTGGACAGCTCCAAATACAACCTTCGATGGCCTCCATGCGTCGATTACGTCGATTCTCAACCGGAAATCCCGCTCAATGCGTCTACTAGCTCAAGCTCTGGCTCTACCTATCCATTCGGTGGAACGTCAGGTTCTCAACAAATAAACCACCATCCATTGAAGAGGCCAAGCGCATCTTTGAAAGGCTCCGGGATGACAGAAGAGCCACGGATGAAGCGAAGAAAACTCTCAATCGCAGACGATTCGTATCGCCCTTCAAGATGCTACCCAATTCTATGGGGCAGCCAAGAGATACGAGTGTTGGAACTGGACTCGGGGGATAATGATAGCCTTCTCCACGGAAGCTTTCAGAACGTTCCATTGGAATCCAAAAGGGCAAGATACGAAGCTCTATCATATACTTGGGCCGACTCGTCTGGAGACTCTACAAGACGCAGACCAATGTTCATTGGACCGTACTGGGACATCATCCCTATTACTCGGAACTGCGAGGATGCGCTTCGTAGCGTTCGACTGGTTGGCGGAAGCTCTCGCTCCGTCTGGGTCGATTCTCTTTGCATCAACCAAGATGACGCTGATGAGAGGAATGCACAAGTGGCTCTTATGCCAGAAATATACGCTACCGCCATCGGCGTCTTGGCATACCTTGGCCCAGCAAGTGATGACAGCGATAGAGCACTCAGTGCTATATTCAAGTCAATGTCTCATCAAAACTGTGGCCACAATGGAAGGGAGAAAAAAGCATGCGTAGATTGCGAGACTCCTATCCGGATGCTTCTCGACCGGCCATACTTCCGGAGGCTGTGGGTGATGCAGGAAGTTGTCCTAAGTAGAACGCTGACGCTCTACTGTGGTTCAAAGTCCACTCCATGGCCTTTCTCGGGGATGTTGACTCCTTTCATCAATCATTCCTGGATTATCACACGGGACAAAGCGAAAGTTTGTCCTCTACAAAATCTTCTCAGCCTTATGGTCGATACTTCCGAATGTTTATGCAAGGACCCGCGAGACAAAGTATTTGCTCTGCTAGGCTTAGCCTCGCGATGGAATGCGTGGCCAGTCTTCCCGGACTATAGGCTTACTATAGAGGAAGTCAGCATTGGTATTGCGGCATATTTGACACAGAAATGTGGCCTTGGTATGGCTGTCCTTCTCTTTGGAGGTGCGAACCGAGTTCGACGAAGCACTCTGCCATCTTGGGTACCAGACATACGAGTGTCGTTCCGCCAACGGGGCAACGGTGGAAACCTTTACGAAAGACTTGTGAAGTCTGGGAAAGTCGAGGCAAGTGGAGAGCTAAGCTTCGATAACGTGACCTTGGACAAGGGATGTCTCTCGTTGCAACTGCCGTCTTCATGCGATATCCGCATTGTTTCGCGGAGTGGGTATCTACAGGTTACAGCTGTCGAGCTGTGCAATGTTCGCGCATTCTTTACCGATGACGGCCGATATAAGGGTTCATTTGCGAGGACTGGATGCAAGGACGGCCCGGAAACGAAAGCCACATTGATTCTCCCCCATCCGTCTCGCATGTACCGAGACAGCCATGAAATTGACGTTTCCCACCACATACGAGAAGGTGACAGTCTTTTCTGGCTTCACGGCATCAACGGATACGCAGTGCTAAGGTCAATCCGTGCCTCTTCAACTTATCATCTCCTATGTGCCTGTGATCTACTATTCGAGAATCTCGACACCGGTGAAGTGGCAAAAAACATGAGCTTCAAACCATTCAGCCTGGGAGATCATGCACAACTAGAAAAGCGATAGGGATGTCTCATAGATGATTGTCGTTCGATGATTGGAGGAGACTATGTGCAACAAATGTTTGAGTTGCCAGCAGAGCCTCTCTTGTTGAAGCTTGCAACATACATTCCCCGCCACAACAGCGATTCAAAGATGCGACTCTGGAAGATATGGAAGCAACTCGGATTCAAGTTCAAGCCTTACCTTGAAGACGAACGGGGGACTCAGCTATTACTTTGTGGAGTAACTGGTGCAGAACACATCACGTTGGGAACCCGGCAAGATGGTAGGTCTTTACAGGCCTTTGTATACAAAGGTTGTATGCTGAGGTCATCGGAATCCCTCCTAACTCTTCTGTGGTCGCTGCTACCAAAGACGAGACAACGCGCCCACAAAGCTATCGATGCGGAAAAGCTTTCGGTTTTGGACGAAGAAATATTGAAGGGTTTTCAAGAATGGGCCGACATAACAAGCGACCTCTTACATGTCATGTCCCAATCGATTCAATGTGAGGATGAGTCCTTTTTTGGAATTTGGTCATCCGTGGAGATGCAGAAAGGCTGGTCGAAAGCATTCAACAGGTTCGAAAACAAAATGTTGCCTCAACGGAGTAATGTCATGGGGGTTATGGAGGCCATTGCTCACGTGTTGAAATTATTTCCGCACATGGAGCAGAATCATGAATATTCAGGCCCTTCTAGTTACATAGATGAAAGGCTGGAATCTCAAACAAAAGAAATTGCGTGGTCACACGCTACAAGAAATTGTCTGTGGGACTGGGAAGTGGTAGGAAGCAATCTTGAAAAAAGGTGGAAAATTATGCAGCACTTGGGCCAACACCAATGGCTGGCTTCGTGGCGAGATGGGCCAACTGATCAACTCGATGGATTGGAGCAACAAATGTCGATTCGCTATCGACTGGATTCATTTGGGTTCAACTTGACTTTACCTTCTCAGATTACTATTCAGTAAGTTATGCTAGATTACCATGATCTTATACCGAAACATAAAAGAAGCCCGGGTGGCCGCAACATCTCTGCTTTCTTGATCATATCCAACTAGAATTTTGCAGTTACGTCAGGTTACATTGTGCACCTAAGAATCCACAAATGCCAGATCCTTCACGAATCACCAGGCAATAAATACTACTAGGTGTCGGTTTGGTAGTTCCCATGAAGACATTGATCAAAGCTCTGAGACTTCGCCAGACAGAAACGTATTCGTCTCGCCCCTAGAAAATTGGCTCAGCCTGCTCAAGGGGCACCACCATCCGAAAACTTCAGTTCCTGGCCGGAAACACCCTTCAGCACATTTCCAATGCCTGGCACTTCGCCGTTTCCTCCTTGCATTATCGCAGCATAGTTGTCAGCAATGAGCTGGATTCCGGAATCAAATCCCTTCTCATCAAATTGACAATGGCCTCCCACTGGCGTATTGTTGGCTGTCTGAAGCTTGTTGATTGCTTCTGTCTTCATTCCCTTGTCCTTGACAACCTTTTCGTACGCCTTCATGGTAGCCGAGATTGATCCTTGCAGGTGCTGAAGCTCCTTCTGGGTGCTTTGATAGTGAAGTCGAGTTTTCATAAGAGCGTCGCGAGAGGACTGCGATACTTCGACGCGGGGTTCCATGGCACCGCAGCCAAGCATCACTCCATTCCCGGCGAAGTTACCCATATGCGCTGGCATGAAGTATCCAGAAAGCAGAAGGGATCCGCCTGAAATCCCAGAGAAGAAGACATTAGAGGAGTTGAAGGCCATGTACTTTGGCAGGGTCTGGAAGACGAGATCGTTCACTGCTTGAGCGTGCGCCACGCCGTCTGTGCGATTGAACCCAGAACCCCCTCCCCAGTGGAGGTTTCTGTCCGGAGAAAGTACTGTGACACCCGCCAGATTGTTTTTTACGCCTTGATTTGGCATTTCAAAGAAAGATGAGCCGCTGTCACCGTGTAGCAGGACGTGAAGCCCGAGGTTGCCCTTCGCGCCTGTTGTCTTGCCGCCTCCGGGTACCTTGCTTGCCGTTGTAAATTCCCCTGCCGGACCACTGATGCGGAAGCGGATTTTCAAGTTGCTGACTCAAAAAATTTAGCGCTTGCTCCGTTGAAAGTGCACGGCAGATTTTATTTCTTTTCAATCTTCACTTACTTGATTGTCTCTGTAGTATCAAGAATAATCGAACCATCCTTTGCGGGCATAATACCTTGGGGTATCTTGTTCGCTCTGTCGGCAGGAGACTCTCCACCTGTCTGCTGTGGTAGACACTGAACACCACTGAGGAGAAGGAGAAGCGCTAGCGTCAGGGTGCGCTGAAAGTGGAAGATTAACTCCATCTTCACTGCTATTGATGGTTCAATTCACTCTATGAGGCGACCTAGATAGGACAAAGAATGTTGGTTACTGACGGTAATGTGGGAACAGCAGCCCCAAGGTCATATATCTTTTCATCCAGTTACTCTTCAAAATCACCCCTTCCTTCCTCACGAATAGTGATAATAACCGTTTGATCATGAAGGTTTCCTCGCAAAGAGTTTCATCTGAACTATCAAGGGATGTTCTACGTCGGATTCGAGGCTCCCGGGGATAGGGACGAGTAAGGTGGGGAGCCAGCAAACAGATGAACAAGGTTTCAACTCGCATAGGTTCGTTCGTGATTTGTGATCTACCTTGAAGTTAGACATGCTGCATTGAGCCATGGGAAACCAGTCATGTCAACAGGTAACATCCTTGATATTGCGAGGTTGCCATGAAACGGTTGTAAACACAGCTCAACAGGCGGTAGATGCTTCTACTGCACTGATATCCTCAAGTTGTGAAGTTGATTCCCAAATCGAAAAATCCAATTAAGTCTCAGTCGCCCGTCATGGTAACCTTGATGGCGGGATCTGTGATGGAGCCGGCGCAGATCTTCGCAAGGAGTAGAGCCAATTGGAGGAGAGCGGTTCGATGTTCCTGGCAGAGCACCGAAGCACTTGTCAATAAGTCAGTGTTGAAAGCTAAACATGGTCGAATATCACAGAGCCGGTTTACTGTAGGCTTGAGCCATCTGCCAGATTTGAGGGCAGCCTATTGGTATTTCTGACACATCTCCAGAAGACCTGAAATGCTGCGATAAAGCCTCCGGCCGGGATTCGACCGGCCGACGGCGCACACCCGCCCCAATGATCCAGTGCCAGTGGACCGAAGAACCCCCACCAAATGTCCCCGCCTTCGGACGACAGCGCACCGATGCGGAGATCTGTGGTGTTGGTCCTTTCAAATAAAGATCGCAGCTTCACAACTCATACGTTGTGCTGATTCCTAATTCAACCATATTGTTATTCACAAGTCCTTAAAAACAGCAAATTATACGGCCAAGATGTCGATGTCCACTGAAGACTGCGCAAAGTCCCGGGAGGGCTTCCCTCGCCCGTTCCCCAACACACCATCTAACGTCCTAGACCAGTTACGAGTGACGGGCAAAGTTATCGTGGTCACCGGTGCTGCCGACGGTATTGGCTATGCTGTTTCTGAGGCCATGGCTGAGGCCGGCGGCAATGTTGCCTTGTGGTACAACTCGTAAGAGAAGATCTCAACTGGCATACTGCCTCTTATTTGGAGCGGTTCAATGACTAATGACGTCACAGAAATGACGCTGCCATCCAAAAGGCACAAGATCTAGCAAGCACACACAGCGTCAAGACCTCGGCTTACAAGGTGGATGGTTAGTTTACCAGATGGTTGAGCTGATAGTAGGAGCATGGAGGCTGACATCCACCTAGTGTCCGATTCCAACCAGGTTCAAGAGACTATTGCCAAGGTTTTGAATGACTTTGGCAAGATTGATGTGTTTGTTGCCAACGCTGGTGAGTGATACCGTGGTCGGCACAAGCTTTAGTTCTAGTCGAGTTGTGACTAAATTCACGGCAGGCATGGCCATTTCAAAGCCCATTCTGGAGCAAACCCTGGACGAATACAGGAAACAGATGTCGGTAAATGGTACGTTAAGCGAAGAAATCAAAGTCAGGAATTACTCCGCTAACACTTTTTTCAGTGGACGGAATTGTGTACTGCTCCAAGTATGCTGGTGAAGTCTTCAAGAGCCAAGGCTTCGGCAATCTCATCATCACTTCGAGCATGAGCGGCCATATCGTCAACGTCCCTGTTGACCAACCCGTCTACAACGCCACCAAGGCGTACGTCACGCACTTTGGAAAGTCCCTAGCCCGCGAGTGGAGAGAGTTTGCCCGTGTCAACATTGTATCTCCAGGCTTCTTCGACACCAAGATGGGCGCTGGCCCAGATGCTTTGCAAGAAGCATACCGCATGGCAGCTCTGGGTAGACAAGGCCACACCAAGGAGATTAAGGGCCTGTACCTTTATCTAGCGAGCGATGCTTCTACCTACATGACTGGTAGCGATGTCCTTATTGACGGCGGGTATGTCTTGCCTTGAGCGACCGTACGTCAAGAAGACGCGGAGTTCGGGGTTATTATTAGAAGCGGTAGAGAGAATAGAACGCGCTCAATATCCATGACTCTTCTCATACCACAGAAATGACATTGATGAGTTCATGGGTAGGCTCTATTTGACAATTGTATAGATAATTGGCCATAAACTACAGCCTATCGACTTAATTATTTCGATGCGCAGTCACCCCTCACGCCCTTCTCATTGTGCAAATGCCCGTAGATCCTCTTCAGACCGCTGTTATCCTATGATACTTGACCTGAACACCTTCACAGACGCGAGCTGCCGTGCACAAATTTCTTATCGAAGTCGATTCCAAGATCCTCGAGCACTCTCTTAGCTACCGGACGACCACCACCCCAGACACCTCCACCTGGGTGCATGAAAGGTCCGGCGAGGTACAGACCCTTAATTCCAGGCACACGGTACTGAGCGAGGGCAGGTGTAGGTCGGTTGATTCCCATCTGGTCTGCCGCCATGGAAAGACCGGCAATATCGCCACGTTGGAAACTTGCGCTGTCGGACTGGTGATCCGGAGGAGCAACTACATGATAGGAGCGAACAATATCGGGAGTAAAGTTTTCCAAGTACTTGGAAAAGTACGAGAAGACCCTCTGCACCCAGTCGTCCTTGATACGATCCCACGCAGCCCAACCGCCGTCAGCAGGCTCTGCCTTGCACATGACAACACAGTGCAGCAGCGACTTGCCTGGCGGGCAGCGAGTCTCGTCACCTGAGCTGATACAAGAGGCTCCGATCATGATGTTCTTTGGGAGAATTCCTTGATTCATTTCGTCGTAGCTCTGGATCAGGTCTTTGAGGTTGCCGGGGCAGCAAGTGTTCATGACAGCCTTGTCAGCGATTGTCCCTGCTTTGAACTTGAGAGGGCGTTCGAGAGCGGCGTGAACGACGAGCAGACTGAAATCAGAGGTGCGGGTATTTGAGGCGGCTGATATGACTGACGGGTCGATTCCATCGACAAGATGCCCAAGGTTGTGAGGGTGGATTTGGCCGATGACGGCCTCTTTCGCCCGCAACTCCCCAAAACGAGTTCTGACTCCAACGGCGCGTTCGCCTTCCGTTATGACCTTGATGACTTCTGTGTCCAACTTGACGTCGCCGCCGTGGTCTCTGAGACAACGAATGACAGATTCTGTCCATACAGATCCAGAGCCCTCGGGGACACAAAGGCCATAGATGTCGAGAAGTCCAAAGGCCAGGTAGGCCATCAAGCCTGTGCCAGTCGTTTTTGGGTGAGCGAGCTGGATCTCAGTTACGAATCTCAGTAGCGCAACTTGGAGAACCTCGCTCTTGAAGTATCTCTGGATGATCTCCAATGAGGAGCTGGTTGATGCCATGGCAATTTCTTCGGCTGACGGGCTGCTAGCAATATCTGCTGACATGTCGCGGGGAGGCTCGAACATAGAAGGCATCAAAAGCTCGGTGACTTGTCGACATTTGTCCACAAAGACATCGTAAGCATCGGCATCTTCCGACGAAAACTCTCGAATGGCATCGACGGTCCTGTGACGTTCTCTGTAGATGGGTAGGACCTTGTCTTCCATGACTATGGCGTAGCACGGATCTAGCTGCTTGTAACGGAGGCCGTACCGAGACTGTAAACCAAGTTCATCGTGCGTGATCATGGGGTTTGCGAGAATCATTTGATGAATGGCGCTGTGACGTTCGCTGATGAACCCTGGCTCAGCCATCTGGAGGCTGGCCACACCACCCCCGGGGTAAGAAGCCTTTTCGAGGACAAGGACTTTCTTTCCAGCCACCGCGAGGTAAGCGGCTGCGGTCAAGCCATTATGGCCGGATCCCACGACAATGATGTCCCATTCGGTCATGGCTGGCGAGGAGGTAAATCTTCCCACCTTGGAGAAATCGATGGCCATGGTGAAAAAGGAGCGCGGTGGGTGAGTCTTCCAAGTGAGGGGGAGCTATCGGCTAATGGCACTGATAATGTCCTAATATTCGACTTGCGTTGAAGTAAGGTGACAGAAGGACGAAGCGAAGTAAGATAGAGGAGTATAGCATGGAATATTTAAGAGAACGTATGGCATCATGAGTTGCCTTTATAGTCAGTACATTTACATTAGATTAGTCCCAGTACCCTGGAGGAACGGGGCCAATGGTTTATGTTGTCGCCCGAGTTGTTGCAATCTTAAGGTGCTTTACACATTTCTCCACCAATTTTGACACACGAATACCTTGTCTAGAACTTCGGAGCGCTTGGTAAAGCTGTACCTGAGTTGTCTTTCAGTACAAGTGGCGTAGAGCCAATGGACGACCTTTTCCTCACTGGTGGCATGAGGGTCGACGCGTCGATAGGTGACCAGGGTGCATCCTCTATGGATGGGCGACTGCAACATGAATCGCTGGTATAAGTCTCTAATGCTACATCGCAAATCGGCGACGGACAACTCATAGAAGCCGATCTTTTCATTCGGCCAAATCGAGATCAGGCACGCTTGTAGTTGACTCGGGCCGTCTCTTGCATCCGCGTTAGATGCCGCCCCCACAAACTCTGTCCCCGCGATTCTCTATTCCGAGAGGGGTATATAGAGCTATCAGAGTCCCCCGCAGCCTCCGAAAAACACTCGAGCTCTTTGTTGCAACTACCCCACAGCCTCCTACGACACCAGCCTGCCTCAACAACCACCGGTGATAACTCCATAACAGGTTGGAGACTCAGTGTGGTAACAAATCACGTCTGTATTCTACTTGTCCTGCTTCCGACGGGGTTGAAGCAAGACCATGGCTCTGAAATGTGACATCTGTCAAGCCGAATTCCGCCGCACGGAGCATCTCAACCGCCACGTTCTTCGTCATCTCGGCGTGCGCCCTTTTGCGTGTCCGACATGCACCGCTAGCTTTGCCCGAAGGTAAGATGTTTCGAGCGACACGAGTCTCGTATGCCACCAGGTTGCTAGGTGCACAGTCGCCCTGTTGATGAGACATAGCGGCAATCAAGTGGCTGATCTTCAACCCCGGCAGAGACTCTCTTCAGCGCCACATGCAGAGTCATGTAGACGTCGACTCACCACCCACAGGCTCCGATACTCCGAGGAAAACTCGCAGAGTTTGCGTTCCTAAAGCTTGCCAGCACTGTGCGCGCTCGAAACAGCGTTGTGATGGTGCCAACCCCTGCGCCAGATGCCAATCCAGAAATCGTTCTTGTCTTTATGCAACTGACGACCGGCGCAACCCTGACTCTTTCCAGGATTTTCGGGCGCCAGCATCTGATACCGGGGAAGTCTTTGATGGATTCAGCTCATCGGGTCTTCCTAATCAGATTGCAACGATCAATAGAACCGAGGTTGTAAGTGACTACCGCCTTGTTACTTCCTCCATGAAACCCCTTTTGTGGAGCGGAGGAACAGTAGTCTGCGGCAAAACTTACACGAGTTTGTAGTTGCCAGAGCCTCAAGTGGGAAACTCGCAAGAACAGCTATATCAAGGCCCAGACCCAGGCCCAGATGCCAGAGACAATTTCCAAGCTGCTCTCTGGAACCAAGATGGCCTCCAATTGGAGCTGGATCCGCTATTTTGCACACCAAGTCAATGGTACTTTCCATTTTCGACAGCTAATGCATGGCTGAGCTGGGATGATATTCTGAACAATGAGTTGGGGACACAAGAAACCACCAGGGCCGCCTCCATGGCTGATGAAGAGGGCTTGCGAACTCAGCTTATCTCGGAACATGCATCGAATGAAAGACGTGAAGAAGCCCGGGATTGTTCTGTCCATGCAGAAGTAGATGGCGCAGTGTCAGAAACAGCTGTACAAGAACCTACGCCAACTTCTCTTTTATCGGAAGATACCCCAAGGGCGATTTTTACTAATCACTCTCAACTTTCTTCTACTTTTGCGAATGCTTTTAGGCGTTCATCGGCTTTCAGTCGAGATTACGACGACTCCGCAGAGATTGAACAGAACCAGACCCGTCGAAAGAAGCACTTCGTTACCCATGGCCTCGAAGATCTCAGTCGAATTGCAGGTTCTCCCTTTCATCCCGAAGGTGTCGATGAAAATGAGGACTGGGATCTCGAAGCCTACGACCATGTTCCGAGCTTAAGCCCGCATGCTTACTCGATCCTCCAAACACAGTTTACAAAGCTAAATGCGGACACAGACTACTGCAAAGCATTCACGGATAAGTCATTTCCATCTCAACAGGCCATTGACGTATACATCCAATCTCATTTCGAGCACTACCACCCTATCTGGCCTTTGCTCCATCAAAAAACTTTCGACCCAGAGCACGTTCATTGGATACTACTTCTCGCCGTTGAGGCGACAGGGTGCGGGTTTTCGAAGTTTGGCACAATAAGTGATGTCTTTCTCTTGCAAGAGCTTCTGCGGCGCTCGATCAATCTTTGTGTAAGTTCAAGGCGAAGCCTATGGGTGCACAGAAGGCAGTCTATACTAACAACCTATACAGTTGGACCTTGACCCTGAGCCGGATGCGGCTTCAGAGTTGTGCTTGACACAAGCTGTATTACTGAGTCAGATAGGGTTGATGTTTTCTGGAAGCATGTCTTTCGCCGAACACGCCCAAAGAAACATGTCTTTACTCGCGACACTTTGCCGACGAGCAGGCTACTTCAGCGAATCTCAGTCACTCCCCGAGGGTTTTGCACCCCTACCAGCCAATTGGAAAAGATGGATTTGCGCGGAAAGCAAAAGAAGACTTGTGCATCTCTCATGGGTAATTCTACAAATTCCATTTCCAATCTGTAAGCGCGTAATCGCTGACACCGCAATTAATCTCAAGCTCTTGGACGGTCAGCTGGGCTTGTTCTTTGACTTACCTCCGACTATACCCACCGATCTCCTACTACTTCCGCTGCCGTCTGACGAAGGACTCTGGGCGTCGAGTTCTGCAGGATTATGGGCAGATCAAGCCTCCAGATCACCAAGTGAGCAATGCCCCGTACGCCGCAGATATTGAACAGGATGGCTATTAACCGGTAAGATTTAGCCAATGACAGCCTTCTTCGAGAACACCTTATACACTTTCGGCGTGACGAGAAGGTACCGCAAGGCTTGAGTAGCTTGAATAGGCTCTTCTTTACTTTTGCCGTGTATCGAGACTCCGCAAACAATCAAGACGCTATTCACTACCTTGAAGTCTTGCGTAGCGACGAAGACATACAGCCGCCAACCGACAAAATACAAAGAATCACACTCCAGCACAATCACGCTTTCAGCCTCCTTCTCCATATGCCTTTACGAGTACTCACTGCATTTTCTGGCTGGGGTGTTAGCCCCCAAGTTAGAGAAGCTGCAGACCGGAGACTTGCTCTATGGCTCCGCCAGAATGAGGCAAAGGCGCGTGTGATTGTTTATCATGCCGCCAGATTATTCTCGTATATACGGAATTATCCCACTTGTGGACACCATGAGAATAATGCCTTGCTGTACGCCACACTCTCCATGTGGATTCACACTCTTTTCAACAGGCATCAGACGAGCGCTCTCAGAACTCTTCGTCTTGATAAACCAAATCATCAAGAGGCCTTGGTTCAATGGCTTTCAGTGGACTTTGACTTCCGGCTATACGTGGCGGGCATTGGAGATTTGAATGATGAACGTGCATCCAAGCGTTTGGTTCAAGAGAGTGTGCGGATTTTGACTCGGAAGTCGGGCTGGTCTCTGGGTCTGGCTGTAAGCATGGTGATGAGGGCGCAATGGAGGTCGAACCGTGGAATACGATGATAGTCACTCTTGCTTAAGGTCTCCATTTGCCGCCCTTTCGTCATGAAATCTTTGTCACTATCAGGAAGCTCTTGTATTGCTAGGTAATGGGATTAAAAGTGTTATACTATTCAAAGATCATCACTATCACCAGTTCAAGTCCTGGAGTCAATTCGTAGATTACGCATGCTTCGGTTCTCACGGTGCCTTACGGTAATCATAGTAAAGCTAGAACTCCAAATCCTTCTTCACCACAATATTTTCCTCTCCGATCACCGCAAAAGACTTCTCTGTGTCCAAAGACTTTGGCAACTTCTTGAAGAGGGTCTCTAGCTTGTTCTTGTCGCTTAGGAATTTTGCCGCGGAGGCTCGGTCTGGGAACCAGTACTGCTCGAAAGCAGCCATCGTATGCCAGTCGGAAGTGGCAAAAGGCGTTCCGGCGAAGAAACTGGCAGTATCTTCGGGGGTGACTTCCCGGTTGAGGACATATCTCATCAAAGATGTACCGGCTCCGAGTTCTGTGATGGACGCTGCTCGACTAGTAAGGTCGTTTTCGGTGTAGGTCGCGTCTTGAGACTTCGCTAGAAAGACCAGAAGCAATGCTGCTTTGGTCCCACGCTTCTCAAAGAGAATGGGGTCAAACAGGCTCTCTGCGAAACTTTGGCTGAGAATGCCAGTCTGTGCTGAAGTGTCTGCAAATTCGTGTGTGCCAGCAGAAGCTTTGTACTCGGGAGCTTGGAATGAGCCCCAGAGACCTTTCAGTGACGTCCACCCGAGGGTCGTCACGGCATCCCACGGTTCCAGACCTCCATTCGGTAGGCCTGGGACACTGGAATGAGGGAGTGCGACAGCCTGAGTGTAGTTCCGGAGGATGGGAACCACGTCGGAGATGTGCTTCGTCATTGCAGCATGGACGCTTGTGTATTCCTCGAGAAATTTGTCTTCCGCCCAACCGGGGATCCGTCTGCAGGCAATGGTCATCTTGACGAGGGGCCTCTTTTGGCTATACGCTTCCTTGACCGGTGGGATAACGGGCAACAACAGATGTGAGTCGTATCTTCCGCCAAAATGGATGACATGGCGTCCTTTGTTGATTGTGGAATTATGCCTGGGGATAGGAGCACCTGGCGGGTACTTGCCGTAGTCGTGTCCAGAGACTACGAGGCTAAGTCGCTCTCCCGCCCGGAATCGACAACTCGTTGGCTGTATCTCGATCTCCACAGGCACCACATCTCCGGCTTTGAGAGGCTCCAGATCTCTTCGATGGAGATGAACTGGCTTCCATGGGGTTGAGGCGGTCTCATCCAACTCGCGTCGAGAGGCTCGAAGCCAACCGAAACCAATGGGGCCGGTATCGACGACTGTGATCCATGGGAAGTAGACATCCTTTCCGTCTTTATCCTTCTTTCGCAGAGTGATAAAAAGATCCAGGTTATCGCCACCATCAGTCACTTCAACCCAGAGTTTTAGCTTGGAATGGCCTGCAAACTCAAGGGAGTTTCGAAGAGGAAGCTCAAAGGCAACTTCACCCTCGCTCGCATCGTATGATGTATGGCTCTCCGCGCGCTGAGCAACCTTGCTCAAGCCAAGGCTTGAAGTCGGGAAGTACTGCGTATACTGGGTTTCTGGAATTGGGAATGCGTCACTGTATCGCCATTCTCCAGTGTAGTAGCGTTCCCTCATGGTGTAACGAACTTTGGGCCAGTACTGGATTTCTGTCGATATCCCGAGCAGATGATGATCGAGGAAAGCCTTCTGACGGGCCAAGGACTCCTCAGTAACCGACCACTCCCATCTGCCATTCATCACACAAAGGTCAGAGATGCTACTTTTGGCGGTGACAGTGGAGAAAGACTGACTTTTGGTACTGGTGGATCTCGAGATATTTGTCCTGAGAAGCGATCTTCTCCCAAGCGTTGAGTGTCCCACGACTGTGTATAGCATGATCGCCCCATCCGCAAATGATGTATGCCGGGGCTGTGATCTGAGAGAGAGCTGGAATCTTGCTTTGCCAGTATTCATCGAAGTATGGGTGCGTCTTGGCCCCATCCGTCGTATCCTCGACGAGATTCTTTCCCCAGTTGAAGAAGTACGGATAGCTTCAACCATTTTCAGTTAGCTCCACTTCCTGAAAGGTCTAGTTCAAGAATATTCTGATTGAGGAAGAAGACTCACACGGCACTGAACTGGGTTTCGGGAATTCCGCCTTTCAAAGCCATTTCACGATACATGTCAGTCATGCCGTCGATTGGAATGATGGCCTTTCATCATTTGGTGGTTAGCGATTCGAATTGATCCGAAGCAGGGACAGGAACACATACCGCAAGGGATGGAGGTTGTTCAGCTGCTACAAGCCAAAGCACCATCGCATAGCCACTGGCTCCATACAAAGCAACCTTGCCATTTGACCAACTCTGCTTGGCAAGCCATTCGACAAGATCATATCCTACCGGGATAGTTCAGCTTAAAAATGGTCCTTCTTTGAAAGATAATGTTATAAGATACCAAGATAGGCACTTACCATCGATTCCGACATCTCGAGAGTAGTAACTCTTGTCGCCATCCGACTGAAAACAACCCCTGGCATCTATGCTGGCAACGATGTACCCGCGAGGACACCACCATCCCGGATCCGCCGCTTCGAACTCGTAGTCTTTGGTGATACGGGCTTTGTCGAAGCCTGCACTTGGTGGGAAAACTGCAATGTCGGTGGCGCCGTCTTTACTGTAGACGCTGTAGTTGAAGATCACGGGAAGCTTCGTGCCTTCAAGGTGGCGAGGCCGGTAAATGTTGCCTCGCAGGATTGTATCGTCTCTGACTGGGATGGCAACATCCATGTCCGAGACGATATGGTTATCTTTGACGATACGAGGATTCGCATCCTTGACGCCCATTACCTGCGGGTCCCAAGCTGTGGGTGATATCAGCAAATATCTCAGAGAAACACGGCATGTATCGTTCCGCGTGGATCTGGACAGTAACTAAGATCTCACCTTTGATGAACTTTCCCAATCTATGGGTCTTTGCCAGTTCGGCCTTGAGAAGTTCAACATCAGCCATGTCTTTTAGGGTTTGTTTAATTATCGATCAATGATAGAAAATTTTAGTTGTCCGAGAGTTGAAAAGAGTCCATGAGAATCTGTAGTGAATGTCCATAGATTCAATGACAACTTGTATTCAGTATATACTTCGATGGTAGCGCATTGAGTCTCGCTCTCGCCCTCTGACTTCGATATTATCACCGCAATTCCCGACTCCAATGACACATGCGATATGAGACAACCCCAGAACAGACTGAACATTGCGGGGATCGGAAATCGTGGGGTAGCGGGGCCGACGCCGGTTGGCGGGGCCGATGATAGTTTGCATCTCGGCAGCAGCACTCGGCTTCGGATTGCGCAGCGCGGGGAATATGGGGAACTGCGATACTTAACTCGCGGTAGCACATATCAGATTTGGGGTTTACTTTATGTTTCAACTAATCACACAAAGTTAGGTTCCTGAACTCGTTGGGTCATCTGTCATCTATCACTGTTACAACGACGGCCTATTCCCGTCGTTGGGAGCTGAGACTTTGTAGGGGCATTATGTAATAATATTATCTGTGGCTAACGATAGAATAGAACCTTCTAAAAGCTCGTTACGTGCGTTCATGCCGTAAACCACAGATCCCTCTCCCAGGTTTCCTTAGTGGTTGCACTGGCTGGCGGGCTTCTGGCCCTTAACACCCTGAATGCAGTTGTTGGTAACATCAAGGACATGGTTCTTAAGCAGAGCAGTGCAGGCCGGTCCCAGAGTTCCGCTGAAGTTGTTGCTGGTGAGGTTCAAGACTCCCAGAGTGTCTAGCTTGCACAGTCCCTCGGGAACTGATCCGGACAACTTATTATCGCTAGCGTCAAAGACGGTAAGGTTCTTGATGTTGTAATCTCTAGGAAGCGATCCGGACAAATCATTGCCAAGGAGGAGAATCTCCTGAACGTTCTTCATGTTTCCAATACTCTTGGGAATGGATCCGTTGAGCTTGTTGTTGGCCAACGTCAAGTAAATGACAGGGGAAGAGCCAACGTTGCTAGGAATGCTACCCGAGAACTTGTTGTCGTTCAAGAAAAGGACATCGAGGTCGAGGTTGAAAGCCTCCTTCGGGATGGGACCAGAGAACTCGTTGAACCGCAGATCGAGGAAGGTCAAGTCGAGGTCGAAGACGCCAGCCGGGAAAGGACCGGAAAGCTTGTTGTTGCTGACGTCAATTTCCCACAACCACTTGAGAGCCGAAAGATCCTTGGGAAGCGATCCCGTGAAGCCGTTGCTGTTGGCGTGGAAGAAGGTGAGGTCGGTCAGCTTGTCGAGGAAACCATCGAGGACAAGGTCCTTGCCCTCAAGTCCGAACCCATTCAGATCGATCCCTGACAAGGCGTTGTTTCCGGTATTGGGGTTCTTGGCGCAACTGAAGCCGTCGAAGTTGCAGACATTGCTTCCGGTCCAGTTCTTGGTGACTCCTGACGGGTCGACGGTGATCTTGTGCTTGAAAGTTTGAACGAGAGAAAGGTCTCTCCCCAGGTTTGAGCTACTGGAGGCGGCGGGCGCACCGAGCGCAACGGAGAAAAGGAGCGACGAGAAAAAGAGCGAAAGAGGAGCCATTGTGAAAAAAGAGTGTATGTCGAGACGATCAAGCAGGTGAAGTCACGATACTCCCCGCCAATGGTAACATGGGACCGCCCAAGAATTTATATGTTTGCCAACCGGCCAGTCTGGATTCCCTCCGCCTACCTAATTTCTACTGAGTTTCGACAAGTCACCGGCTCACGGCGCCTTTGAGTTTTCGTATTTAAGTGTATCACGACTCGGTTTTATTTCGCCCCCACAAATGCACTGATGAACTGACCTGCAATTGTTTATTAACCTTCGTGCTAGGGCGTCCGTGGGGCGAACAAGATGAACACACAATCAAACTGTCAATTCCGCTTGGAACTCTCTAAAAGCAAAGCTCTCTTCTCCTACAAAATGCGTCGGCAAAGCGGGAATTGCTTTCTAAGCTTCTCAACTAGCTTCACCGATACTGCTTCTAGTAATTCTTCGAGGAATGTGCACTAAGTCAGACGATGACAGATCCGTATTCAATGGCAAACTTCTCGGCGTGGGTGGGTATCAGCCTTCACAACTGACCCATTACCCAGTCGCAAGAAGCCTCTAGCGTATTACAGGCCACACCCCATGGCAGAACTACTTTATCTGCAGCTCATCTTCTGCCATAGCTTCTAATCGCAGCCAGCAAAATTGAGGTGTTCATGCGTGGTCTATGAAACTCTGTACACAAGGCCAGTGGTTTAAACAAGTGTGCTTCAACCCAGAATTTCTTAGGTAAATCTTCGAGGCCTTGGGGGTTACCAAAAACAAAAACGGCGGCAATATCAAAGACCAATTGACATCAACTTCATACTCATTTAAACCTTGCCGGTGCCAGACCGGCCTGTTCTATATGTACATTATCCCAGTCTAAAACGCCAGCCTCAGATGCAATGTGCTAGAACATTACGAACCATGGAATCCGACCAGCAGAGTTTGATTCGTTTTTCGGCTTTGACATGTCAACACGACAGCGACTGCTCGGAGCAATAGCAATGGGAGTGTGCTATTGCCGCCCGGTACAAGACGCCAGCGCCTTTGTCCCGATGGACAGCTTACTACCTAGCACAAGTTTTTGCTTATGATGGTCGACGTCGCGCTCTGCGTCGAACGCGACGTGAAACAGCGCTTCACTGTTGTACAAACGAACTCAGAATGAAAGCGTCGTATCGGCGGTCATTACTTATGCGGTTCAGGAATCAGATTGAACGAATCTTATTTGACCCTCGTCCCTGATCGGACTATTCATTATGGTATCCCACGCTTAGCATTACTAGATCTCCCGAAAGCTTTGTTGCAAATAGTTTGTGTGTGAAAGAAGAGAAATGAAAGGAAAAACCAATGTGTAGCCGTCACTGCTTACATTGTACCATTGACGGGACCGCTTCGGGCCTTCGCAGCGTCAAAGAGAGCCTTGATGTCGACCTGCCACTGCGCGAGGTCGGGTCGGAGAACGCGGCGATCGTAGGTGACGAGACCGTTCACTTCACCCTCGACGTCGGTTGTCTGTGTCCAGACGCCGCCGCTGCAGGCGTACATCTCGACCTGTTCGCGGAACTCTCTCAGCAGAACGCGTCCGCGGTAGTTGTACGCTTCGAGGTTTTCGTTGATTTCGTAAGTGGCATTGATTGAGTCGATTGCCTGCTGAACGTTCCAGAGACTATGTAGTGTTAGTTTCACCTGATCGAATTGGGGCTTCAGGTTGGACTTACTGCTCAATCGAGACGTTGTGTCCGATGCCACCAAACTCGCCCTGGAATCCGATGCGCCTATTATCGTAGGGAGGCGAGGCGAGAGAGTAGAATGGTGTGCCGCATTGAGGGTTAGCGTAGTGGTGGTTGTCAGCGTAGTCACCAGAGCCATGGTCGAACCAGCCGCTGTTTGCGTTGATGAGCCTCGTGGGGTCAATCCCGCGAACGACGTCAACAAGTTTAGCCTCCGGGTAGGGTGGTGTTCTAAGTTGACCCCAACCTTCGTTGTAGATGGTCCAAGTGACAATGCTGGTGTAGCTTTTGTGCTCTTCGATCATGAGCTGAAGCTGACGCTCAAACTCGGCTTGTTGGTCGGCGTTGGGCAGACGAGCCGAGTTTGCTGTCAGACTTGGCATATCTTGGATGACAAGCAGACCGAGGGTGTCGCAGGCGTGGTAGAACAGATCCGGTTCCACCTTGATCTACGGGTTGTTAGTCTCTGGCCTTGAAGAGAAGATGCACTGGACAGATATTAGACATACGTGCTTGCGAACCATGTTCATTCCGATGTTCTTGAGAACCTTCAGGTCATATGTCATTGCCTCTACACTTGGTGGAGTGTGAAGTCCATCAGGCCAGTAGCCCTGGTCGAGGGTTCCAAACATGAAGATGAACTCTCCGTTCAGCAGCGGGCGGTTAATGCCGTCCACGATACCATGTGAGATGGTGCGGAAGCCAGTGTAGCTAAAGACCTCATCGCTACCCATCTTCAAGGTGATGTTGTACAGGTTGGGGTTTGTCGGAGACCAAGCATTCGGGGATGGCACAGTGAAGTTAAACGCTGTTCCAGAGTTGCCGGTGCCTGTTCCTACCGTGTTACCGTCTGTGTCGAGGATCGCAATGGAAACCTCCGATGAGGTGTTGGAGGAGCTGTGAACAAGCGCATTCACTGCGGGAGGTTAGCAATGACACCCAGTCATTCATATAATGAAGCTCTGTGCCTCTTACCATTTCCGTTGTGGTCAGCCGAAAGATCCAGCTTGGTGATGTAGGTTGACGGCGTGCTTTCCAGCCAAACCGTCTGCCAGATACCAGAGCATGACCGGTAGAAGATGTGCGAAGGAGTCCTCGTCTGCTTGCCAATTGGGATGACGTACCCATCCGCGTCGGTGGGATCAAAGACAAACACCAGCCTAGAAGCCCCAGAGTTAGTTTCCAGAGCGATTAAATCAAAAGATGGAATGAAGCACTCACAAAGTGTTGTCCCCTCCAGCATTGAGGTATGGTGTCGCATCAACCGTGTAGCGGAAGTATCCTCCACGGTGGAAACCAACTTTCTGACCGTTGATGAACACCGTCGCCTCGTAGTCGACAGCTTCAAAGTTGAGGATCACCGATTGATTTCCCCAGCCGCTGGGCACCTGGAATGTTGTCGCCAGCCAGAAGTGAGTGACGCCAAGCTCCTGGATTCCGGACAACCCGCTCTCAATGCACGAGGGAATGAGGATCTCGCGATCAAGCACGGCGCTGGTAGGCGGGTGGTTTACGTCGTCGTCGCTACTGGCGGCCCTGTAGGTCCATAGGCCGTTCAGATTGAGCCAATTCTCTCTGCGAAGCTGCGGGCGCGGGTGTTCCGGCCATGGCTTCGTTCCGACCTTCGCTGTCCAGTCTGTGTCAAGAGGCGGAGTCTGGAGCTGGTATGGTTCCGCAGTCCCGGCCGTTGGCGCTGAGCCTCCGGCGGTCGTCGTCGCATTTTGCGCGTTGGCGGCGACGGCGAGTGACAGCACCGCCGCTGCGGATGAAAGGAATGAGCGCGTAAAACGCATCGTGGAAGAAAGACTAGAGTCGCGCGCCGAGGAGGAGTGAGAGAACTTCCTAGTCCTTAGGGAGAAAGGGACTAGTCGACTGGAAGCTATCGACGAAGCTTCGAAGAAGATGCAAAGAACGAAGGATAAGACGCGAACAAGAGGGGTCAAAGCATTCAGGGGGGGTTTACTCCTGTTATACTTCTATCCTGCTTGAGAAAGTAAGATTTAAACTTTCTTCGCTCTTGGGACGAGCGTTGACATTCAACTGACTTATAAGCTTCGTATTAAGACCTGCGGCCGGCGCACAGCTTGTCAAGCAAGGCAAGCACGCACATCAGATTCTCCACCACTCCCGGACATCTCGGCATTGAGTCAAGTGGTCTGGTTTTGGACCTGACTTGGCGGCGGGAAGGAGGAACTACCGCAAGCTTTTCGAAAGTTCCTTGCAGCCTAGCTTTCGGGGTTGGGCACTCGCGAGTCGCGGCGACGTGCCATTCAGAAAAGGAGACAATGCAATGTTGCGCGCCGGTGAGCTAGACTACCTAGCTCCCCCGCACTAGAGAAATTGGCGTTCGCGACAGAATTTTTAGTTTCCCATGTCTTGGCCTGCTTGGCCATGAGGGGAAGAACATGCGGGATTCGCCCTAGTGCTACTACGTCGCGTTGGTTGGTTGGATCGTCCGATGGCATGTGAGTAAGAGGAACAGGAGCTGTTCGAAAACAAGCCCAAAAAATCTTCTAGTCTTTGCACGATGCGAGCTGTGTGGTTGTTTCCATTGGGCGGCACGTGGAGTCTTTCGATGGGTGGCACAAAATAGCTGCATGATGCGGTCATCTGGAGAGGGGGAAATGGCTGGCCACAAGACCTCTCAACGGTCGATCTTGTCTGTTCTCGAATGTCGAGCAGAAAGGGCCGTAAGCTTCCCCTAGTGTTAGGCTGACATCTGTGGCCGACGACGTCAAAAAATGGGATACGGAAAAGGAGAAGCGGTGCGGATATTGTGTGACCATGGAAAGTTTGTAAACCCTGACCGGGCATTACGCTTCTCCCACCTTAACCCAAAAGATCCCATCTTGATGAGGCGCAGCTGCTACGGAGTAGATGAGAGGGAGTCTGGAGCATCATGCTAGCTTAGTCCTTAGGACGAAGGAGTGATCGACAGGTCCTTTCGACTAGAAGCAACGCCAAAAGTCGTCCGGTTCTTGTCATGGCGAACTGTCACCGCTTGCCAGATCACAAGCGGTCAAAAGACCTTGACCCCCTTCTCCTCATCTATCCATCTCAAGCTACTACTCTAAGTCATCGGACATCTGCACCTCAACAGGCACGACACCAGCCAAGACTCTCGTCTTTCCTCCACTTCCTCGCTAGTGCGGGGAGCGGTAGATACAGTGGGTATTTCCGACTGGCTCTCCTTTTTCCTCCTCGTCGCGGGAGGGGCTGAACCTTGTTTAATCCCCGGACCGTGCATGCGGGGATGGCTGCTCGAGATCGACGGCAAATGTCTTATTTTCCCACTTTCCCTCTATCGGCTTGGATCCAGATGTCTTGGGACCTACCTCGACAGGAGAAACCATCCAGGTGACCTCTTTTTTTGCTTCAAGCGATCCAATGGTCTCTTGGAGACTGGGACTGATCATC